GGACCCACACACCAAAAAGTTAGACGTTAATAAAGTCGTAATTAATCGCAGTAACAGTTCTATTTCCGATGGTCTGAAATCCGTTTTAGCTAAAGGTCTAAACTTTGCAGTCACACCTAAACACATACCAGTTAATGATATAATTGCCCAAGTAGACGTTGCTCTCAGGGGCCTGGGTCACATCGCTGCAGACGTAGCAAGATCTGAAATCGCTGCAACCCTCAAAAACGCTAAGATGCCAGCTAGCAACCTCAGCAAAGATGAGCGTTTTGAATTATATAAATTAAAAAAGAGGAATGATATTGTAGTTCTCTCAGCTGACAAAGGCAATGCTACTGTTATCATGGATAAAATAGAATACAACAACAAAATTAAAGAATTACTCGACGATGGTAGTTATACAAAAATAAAAAGAGATCCCACCAACAGCCTCGTCACACAAACCAACAAAATAATTTCTGATTCAACCGCATTAATTGATCAATCTAAACAGTTTTCGTTGAAACCTTCTGCTGCCAGGCCACCAAGATTATACGGCTTACCAAAAATACATAAAGTTGATACACCTCTTCGTCCCATAGTCTCTACTATCAGCTCCCCCACCTACAAACTAGCTCGTTTTTTGTCTGAAATCCTGCGTCCTTTCACTGGAAAGACCACCTCTGCGGTACAAAATTCTACTCACCTGGTATCAACAATCAAGGGTATTTCCCTGTCCCCAGACGACCTGCTTGTCAGTTTTGATGTAGTTTCCTTATTCACCAAGGTTCCTGTACCTGACACCATTGCAATCATTGAAGACTTGGTTCATCAAGGACTAAACACTGAGGTACCCCCCCTGGTGAGACACTGTTTAACCAATACATACTTCACTTGGAATGGAACTTTCTACAAACAAACTGAGGGCACCCCAATGGGCTCCCCCCTTTCTCCAGTTATAGCTAACATTTTCATGGAGAAATTTGAGACTGACGCCATCCAGACTGCCACTCTGCGCCCAACCTTATGGAAGAGGTACGTGGATGACACTTTTGTCATCTGGCCACATGGCCGGCCTGCTCTAGACAAATTCTTCGACCACATCAATTCCATACACCCAGCCATCAGATTTACCATGGAAGTCGAAATAGATGGCAAGATACCTTTTTTGGATGTCCTAATTAAAAAGAGACCTGATGGTTCAATGAGCCACTCTGTCTACAGGAAAGCTACCCATACGGATGCTTATCTGAAACCGGATTCCCACCACCATCCATCACAGAAGAATTCTCTCATCAAGACTCTGTATCATAGAGCCCAATGCATATCCGACCAGGAACACATAAGCAGTGAACTCAAGCACGTACACCAAGCTCTTAGGGCTAATGGTTACTCCGACTATACAATCCGCAAAGCTATCACTCAAACCATGAAGAAGAACCCTCTTGAGGAGCCTTTCAAAACCATCACTTTACCCTACATTGCTGGGATCACAAAAAAGATCTCCAAAATCTTGAATAAACACAAGATCCAGGTCCGTTTCAACACATTACATAAAATCCGTGATCTGGTTCCGTCTGTAAAAGATGTGATTCCGGACATACAATACCCTGGTGTCTACAAACTAAGTTGCCTCTGTGGTAGTAGTTACATTGGAGAAACCAAACGCCATATCTCGGACCGCATTCGTGAACATAAAGCAGACCTTAAACACGGTAGGACCAACACCTCGGCCGTAGCAGATCATTGTTCTAATTCAGTAGGCTCACATGCCATTGACTTTTCCAAGACGGAGGTTCTTTGTAAGCCATCTGGCTTCCATGAGAGATTCGTTCATGAGGCTATCCACATATACAAACACAGAGACAATTTCAACCGAGAAGATGGATTCTATCTTAGCAATCATTGGAAAGATTTGATAAATCATTTCAGTTCTTGATTGATTGTTCACGCTTACAGTGCCTTTCAGACAGCATACATAAAAACAAATTTCGTCTCCCCCCTCCTCTTTTCAAAAAATAGATGGACTAGTCCTGGCAAACTGCCATCGTTGCGCGTGACGCAAACGTTATTTTTATATATATAAATAAATATGCCGTTTTCAAAATAAATTTATGCAAACCGACACACCTGATGATGACCGTTTGAGTTATGGTCGAAACGTCGTGAGAATTTTTTATTGTTTTATATATATTTTGTTATTTTGTTGTTTCTCTTCAACGTGACTTTACCGAAAAAACTAAGAATATGAATTACTGCAGTCACGAAAGCTTTAAATCAAAATTTAAAGCATACACCATGTCAGATAAAGTATGACATTGCAGCAGCGTTTCATAAAATTATGCCCATGCACGATTTGCCTTGGGTACGTCAACCTCATATATAAGCGCAAGGTCACATGATTCCTGCAAATAGCGTTGAATTACGGTGTTGCTTCTGGAAGACTTTGCTGTTTTTTTCCTGGATTTTTCTGTTGCGTGTAGTCACTTCAAGATGTTTTCTTGTTCATGTTCTTGTTTGTTGCGGTTGCACCCGAATCAAGAGCCGCATGGCTCACAGGGCTATACCTAATAAATGAAACTGAAACATAAAATGAAATATATAGGTAAACTAATACGTAATAAAATAATAATAACTTACAGCCCTTTGTTCAATCGACTGCTGGATGTAGGCCTCCCAACACTATGTCAGAGGGGTTTGTTGACCATACTTTACATTGGTGACTTGTAGGATTAGTTCAGATATCAGTTGCAACTGATGTTAGCCGTTGCCATGAATGAAACTGAGGTATCTGGGTTTATTGTCCATTCGGCAAACAGCAGCATCACCGACCCATCCCACACCGAATATACAACGTCAGTGTAATGACCAACTTTGCTGTTGGCTATATAATCTCAGATTTATCCTTGAATGTGGGAATATAATTCACACCAAAATATATTTCACAGTTTATTGCTTGTTTTTTTTTACTCAAAAGCGTGACAATTATACAATATAACATCTATGGGACCTTCTTGCCAGTATCAAATTATGCAAAAATATCTATGGGACCTTTTTCTTATTTATCATGTATAATGTAACTATTTTGTGGAATTTCCAGAGGTGCTCCCCGCAGCGGGGTGGGGGTTACTTCTGTAATACCAAGCTGGAGGGCCTGTGGCTAAATTATTTTTGAAACCCCAATCTTTTCAACAATTGGCAACCACCCAACATCGCTTACTGCTAACACTGCCACAGTTACAGATGGCCAAGGCTCAGATCAATGAAGTTCACTCCGTGAGATATTTGTTCTTTTTTTTTATTAAACCACTATTTATATGGACTATTGCGGATGGCAATGTCGGCAGATCTCTAATGTAACATTTGACTGAATGTGGCAAAGGGAAGCATGCTCACAATGTTGTCCATAGCATAAAAAGGGGAAATGAAAAAGAATGAAAAAATACATCATCCAAGGAGGCGTGTCCTCCTTGGTATATATGCTTGAACTCAGGTCGGTAATAACCACGCACACATCTCTCACCGTGCGCGGAGTGTATAAGAAGTACAAGATTGGATCAACCATCGTCGTTTTCACCAGGGAACAAATACACACCTGAACAAGCAGGTGAATACTTTAAAGTTCATTTGTGTTTAATTGCACTGAATTATTTTTCATCTGACCTGTTAAGAATACTGTACAATATGTTAAAGGGAAAAAATGTGTGTGTGTGCTCTACAAACCCATATAATCTGCGAGATGTTATCTCCCTCGCCTCGTATGCAGGAACGTGAGTCTTCGATACCTACCCTGATGCCTGTATATTTGGAGTTTGCATGTTCTCCCAGTGGTCGTGTGGATTTTTCCCTGGGTTCTCCAGTTTGCCCTCCACATCTAGAAACATGCGTTTAGATTATTTGGCTGCTATAAATTTCCACATGATAAACCACTTCTTTGGGCTATCATTTGTGGCCAGGTTGCTTCTGAAATATAATTAAATAGCTCACTGGGCTTCAGCTGGTAAATAAAATAGTTTAGTATTAGTTTAGAATATGTATACAGTATATCAATATGTACATGTCCCTCGGTGATAATATTGGAAGTTCTTTTGGCATTTGATATTGATTGTTACAATGTTCTTTCAGTGTAAGACTGTTTGGAACGTGGTTATATTGATGTTAGCATTCAGTGTGCATCGATGCTGTGAAGTGCTTTAACAGTGAAACTTATCTTCTGCTATGGATGTTGTTAAACTTTTGTTGATCCTTTAGAGTATAAATCTTGACAAAGCTTTCGTGACTGCAGGAATTCATACTCTTTGGGTCTTTCGGTAAAGTCACATAGATAGAAAAGTAATAAAATACAAATTTATTATTTTATAATTTAATAATAATTTATTACTTTATTATTTTTCTTCTATCTACGTGACTTTACCGAAAGACCCAAAGACCATTACAGAAAATTGGCTGCTGCCTTCCTGTAAGAGTTAGAATAAACTAAACAATCTTAATACGTGTTTCCAGTCAGAGGTGAGTAGCAATTGACAAATCAGGGGAACATCAAGGTGAATAGATAAACCTGTCAATAACCGTTGATAATTGGTTTTTTACCCTTTTATCTGGCAACAAAACTGACACCTTTTTTTACAAGGAGTCATGTTTACATTGACCACAATACCTGCGGTCGGAACGCAAACAAAAAACAACAACTCTGATAATGTATGCACTGTCTTTGAAATGTATTGGTCCACACCCGAGACAGCTTTCCGTAGAGCCTCGTCTCACATGGTGTTGGACCAGATGACGCCAAAAGGTTTTGTTGCCAGATAAAAGGGTAAAAAAAACAATTATCATATTTTGCTACTGGCAAAGGAGGTTCCAATGCTGTAAATAACCGGTTTTACTTTTTCCGACATAGCGGTTTCAATCTCCACAAATCCACAACATTGATACAAGTAATGTGATGCGTTTTTGCAATCCGTGTTGAACTTGAATACTTGGTAAGGTGACTCAATGAAATATTGAAACCCATTGGTACGTCTATGTTCATGCTCGAGGCGACCCTATACTGGGTTCAGAAGCAGGAGGCAGGCAAACGCCTCGACATTGTAAACTTGGGATTACATTCCGAGTAGCTTTTATTTTACAACGACGGAGGCAATTTGCATAATACGGGAGTTATCTTTTTCAATTGGGGTCAGAGGAACAAAAAATTGCCATTTCAATCCACGTTGGCAGGTTTCCTTATATGGTTGCAAAGCGACGCCACTTTCGGATCAATCAGTAAAGGACAATAAAAGTAGAAACTGTCAGGTGTAGTACAAAGGTCTGATGGTTGTGTTTCCTCCCAGCAGAATAATCTTTCCACGCAATGTCTACCAAAACATGTACATTACCGGTAATTGTTCTCGGAGTAACCATCATCATTGCCCTGACGGTGGCGATGGTCGGAACGGTGATAACCGGATATCTACTGAAGAATGCGGGCAAAAACCCAATGAAGGTACGCATGCCTGTATACACAATATCACAATCGTGTCATACTTACGTATATAATTCTAAATCATGAGGTGGATGTGGTCCAACGTCTATACTCCTTGCCTTAACCAAGCCCCACTTACCAACGTTGTGAATATAGCCAATGATATTTTTATTTCAATATATATAAAATGCCCCTTGAGCGCTTTACAACACGTCTTATCTCAAACATCAGTTGCAACTGGCTCTGTTGACACAAGGTGACTCCAGCACCCGGTCTGCGAGTGTTGGGAGATGACTACACTCAAATGTGTAGAAAGTACACGTTGAGTGATTTTGCAGGTAATTCTCGAATTTTGAAAAAAAAAATGGAACAGCCGCACACGATGGCGTGCTCTTACCAATGGCATCGGGGGAATCATTAACATCCACTGTGAAGTGTTCGGTGCGTATTATTTCTACGGTTATTCACACAGTAATAATTTTCAGGACGGCGCGCCCGCCCTGGATGTGAACCGTGGCTCTCTGCAACAAGCGGTCAACGAGATACCGCTTAAGGCAGTGCCGGATTAAGCTAGTGCGGGGCCTGTAGCATTTGTTATGAAGGGGCCCTAAATAAAAAAAAGAACACGTAAATATTAAACACATTTTTGTACTTGCATAGTAAAGTAATTGTTTTTTTTCGTTTGCTACACAGCCAGATAATACGGAAAATCGCTAACCTTGAACACCCAGTCGTTCATAAAAGTTGAAGGCGGTATATTGCTATGATAATAGAGCAAGTGCTCTATTATCGGAATAAATAGCTTGAAAGCATTTAGCGCGGGGCCCTTGAAAGTGCCGGGCCCGTAGCATTATGCAGCTACATCATGGGGCCTCCTTTGCCTGTACCAAAATATGATAATAGGATTTTCCCCTTTTTTATGGCAACAAAACAGGTGTTGAGATGTTAAAACACCAAACTGAAACCTTTTACAAGGAATCATGTCTGCATTAACCACAATGCTTGTGGTCAGAATGCAGAAAAAAATACTCTGATGATGTATGCATTGTCCTTGAAACTGATTGGTCCACACCAGAGACAGCTTTCTTTTGAACCTCGTCTCAAACGGTGTTAGACCAGAGGACGCCAAAAGGCGTCTTTTGGCGTTTGAGACGAGGCTCAAAAGAAAACTGTCTCTGGTGTGGACCAATCAGTTTCAAAGTCAATGCATATATTATCAGAGTACGTTTTTTTGTTTGCATTCTGACCACAAGTATTGTGGTTAATGCAGACATGATTCCTTGTAAAAGGTTTCAGTTTGGTGTTTTAACATCTTAACACAGCTGTTTTGTTGCCAGAAAAAAGGGGAAAGCCCTATTATCTAATGTAGCTACTTTTGCTTCGAGGATAATCCGGCACAGGGCTTAGGCCACGCCCCAAAGTCCCCCCCCTCCCCAACACGGCATGAGGTGGGGAGGCTTCCGACCAGTCAGTCATTGACAAAAAGGGGCTGTCTATGTGTTTGAGGTGGTTGGATGGCGTTGGGTTCATAACACTCCACCGACACTCCTGAGAGCCCGAGATTGAACTGGGGTCTGCCGCAAAATATTAAACCTGGTTCACGGGTGTGGTGAGTTGATGGCCAATAACTGTGCAAACAAAACACAAGTCACACCTCATTTGAAATTGCATTGATTTAAAAAAAAAGCAAGTAGAACATTTAAAAGTATCAATTCGATCACCATGTGACAAATGTTTATTGGCAATTGGGCATGACGAAAATGTGTCCCTTAGCGCATGGATACACAAAAAGTCATTTGAAGAGGTGTCAGAAGCAGCTCTATGATATATGCTTCTTTGGGTTCTTCTTTAACACGTGGAAATTGTAGTGCGTGGTCAGAGCCACAATAAACATTTAATCTCATAACATGATGATGATAGCACAACTGGTTTACTATTTGGGGAACATTTGTTTTCACTTAAAATAATCATTACAATGGAAACCCATATTGCATGAGGGATTATATATTTAATATATCATACATTACTCATCTGTGTGCATTTACACCGAACACATCGCTCTTAAATGCCATTCCTTTGTGGCTGCAATTCCTCCGTTGCAAAATTATGGCTATAGATAGCTGCATGAATTTCGCCTTTGAGATTGTATCATCATAATTACAGTGAGTGAACATATCACTGACAGTTGTCCTTACCGTAATGTCTCTCTGCCGTGTCAGTACGGGATAGTCCTGGATGCCGGCTCTTCCCACACGGCGCTCTTCGTCTACGAGTGGCTGGCGGAGAAGCAGAACGACACGGGGGTGATTGCACAGCGCCACCTTTGCAACGTCAAAGGTGAATCCGCTCAGCGCAGTTAACCCCGCAGCGTCCAGTTTAACACGTAGGCTTTCGCGACCAATATTATTCATAATAAAGGTTTTTGGGTTAGATCGCGTTATTTATAAATGTGTCGTAACCCTCCACCACCCGACACGGCCAATCAGCAAAAAAAAGTGTCACGTTGACAAAAGACAAATAATTCACTACTTTAGCCCACCGGTGTGTTGAAGAGTGAATCCACAACATTTACAGTTTGAGTAGTACGACGTTTCACTGGTAATTACATCCAGCATCATCGTCCAGTTGCAACCGGAGAAAAGTCATGCATGCGTTTGGAAGGGATATCTCTCCACACGAACTGTCCTCTGCTGTGTATTTTCTTTCATGCAGCAATATGTAAATGTTAATGAAGCCTGACCCATGATGTGAAAAGTTGGATTTTATTTTAATACATATCTAGCCAGGCTTAGAACCAAGCACATTTCCTATGACTAAACTGCCCAGCATCTACTCACCAACTGCCTCTCCACGTTTTTCCCTTTACCCGACCCAAGCTAGTCAAGCTTGAGAGTGCTTCAGTGATTGATGTTGCCCCACCGAGTCCGTGCCTTGTTCATCTCTGTAATCTTGGTCACGTTTTATTTCGTTTATCTGTGGTGTTCTCGTACTTTTTTCATTTCAACATGGCTCAAAATGTTCAGCGTTTTTTTAGATGAAATTTGCATGAATGACGCTATATGAAACAAATCTAGATTGAAAATGCATGTTTTTAGAACTGCTTCTTGTGTTTAGTTGTCCTTCCACCGCACCTCCGATGAGCACAGTTGGCTACGTACGGTGCGGAAGAAGTTCAGTGTACATACAAATTGTTATCATTATTATGACCTGGGTGTTTGTGCCCATCAGCTCGAAACTGATCTCAGGACAGCATTGCAAAAATGAGCACCTCACAAAGCATTCGGACGTCATCACAGAACTCCCACTGGCTGTCCGCTGTTGCCATCCACGCCGAATGCATCACGAGGCGAGTTAGGGACAGACTTACTCCCGCAGTGTGCTCGCCACCGACCGGACTCATAAGAGAGCGGTCTGCAAGACAGCAAACAATATCATTCTTGCATCACCTACCTCCTGCATCAAAGGTTGCATCCAAACCACCCCAAGCAGCACTCGCAACCTTTGGAAATCCCTCAAAGGTCTCCTCCATCCCGACAGCAGGCTGGCCCTCAGTCACAATGGCCCACAAATAATTATAAATGAAGCTCGCAACCTCTATTCTGTATGTGCTTCACCAGTAAACTTGCCACAATCGCCAAAACCATCAAGGCATCCCTTATGCTTCCCCCAAACCTCTCTCACGCACCAGCCCCCCCCTCCACCCGCCTGACTCCGACTCTGCTCCTGTCCTTCTCTAGCCCATGCTGCCAAAGCACATCTTCACCCTAACCCAAGTGCTTCACACGAAGTCGTCTCCCCCTGGACACCCTCCCCGGTTCCCTGCTCATTTTGCCACAGAACTCTCCATCGTGATTGCCAATATCGCCAATGCCTCCTTCAGAGTTCGGCCATTTCCCTTGCGACAATACACACATGGTGAAAACACCCCCATCATCAGCATCGTCGTCGTGCTGCTGTCAAACCCCCAATGGGTTCAAATGTGTGGTGGCCCTTGCACTGATGTCTTATTGGCGAAAGTGGCCCCCCTCTGAAAATGAGTGAAGAACACTTAGCTAGAGGATGGTGACAATGCAAAATGCCCCACACTTACTGTGTACTCTGCCAAGTAATACGATAATCTGGGTTAATGTACATGTCCTGGTCACGGAATATTTAATGATAATTATTGACGAGGATACGGAACGAAGCAAGGTGAATCCAGGACTACACAAAGTTAAAGCAACCAGAGCTTTAGGGGCCAGCAAGCGTCTTTAAAGCCTGCCTTCATCCTTGGCCCTACAAGCTTATTCGTCAATTCGTGCAGCACATTGCTCGCCGAGTGGAGCCCATGAGAAGGTTCATGCAGGAACAAAACTTCAACTTCAAGTGAACGATTGAGCAACGGGTAGCATCCGAAGACAATCGAACTGCACTCATTCGGGACACAGTTTTGTAACTTTAGCATGTAGTCTTTCGCGACCAATATTATTCATAATAAAGGTTTTTGGGTTAGAGCGCGTTATTATAAATGCGTCGCAACCCTCCACCACCCCCCAAGAGTGAATCCACAACATTTTAAATGTTGTGGATTCACTGTTCAAACACAACGGTGGGCTGAAGAAGTAACGAATTGGCGTTTTGTTAACGTGACACATTTTTTACTGATTGGCCATGTCGGGTGGTGGAGGGTTGCGACACATTTATAATAACGCGATCTAACCCAAAAAAAACCTTTATTATGAGTTTTGTAACTATCGTCTACAAACCTCGAAGTATACACGGAACGACAATTATTGACACCGACATCGTAGGCATTGTTGGAATGTTGCTACTGCAGAGAGGAGCAGATGGCCATTTGTGTCTGGTCTACAAAATGAGTTTTCATCATGCTCCAGGATTGAAAATGTAACACACTGATGTCCTCGGTCACACGCTGGTCTGCGAGGCAATGGAGGGCATGCTGGAGACTTGTATCAGTGAACATCTCAACACCTGCTGACCCTGAGGACAAAACATTAAGTTTTGCCATACCAGCAAGATGTGGACGATCTCAAACCTTGGCCACCTGCTGAACTTTAAGCAATTGCACGCAGTGGATTGAACAGAAGCATCGGTATATATAAAGAGGGCACATGATAAGTGTTGCCCCCCTGGCAAGATTTTTTAGACTGTGTGAGTGACTAGAGCATAGCAGCTATGGACTGTAGAACAGTTTAATCCCTGGTTATACAGCATTTAATGCAATTTATGTTATTATTGACAACGCCAGTTATTTTTTTAATCCTAAACGGAGGCAGATTTAATTGTCAGAATAGGCCAAGTGTAGACAAAATGTACATGGGTGCATAATATTTATTGGGATGGAGTTACATTCCCCGTGGTTTATGGGACTGTGGGCAGTCAACAAAACGCTGTGCTTTGTGGTTGCTCTTGCTTTTCATGAATTATGACTTCATTGTTGTTACCCGGCCGTCTTGTCTGAGACTTCCCTTTATCTACCTTCACTTTGACCAACTCGCATTGACCAGGGTGGTGAAGTGTGATCAAATAATTCATACGGTCCACACGGCGTGGGCGGGATGTCATCCAGCAGTGGATTGACAACAGGGCTGTTGTACCTGTGCATTGATTACATTTATTTCAGCTTGTAGACCTCTTAACACCTGGCAGATCTGTTGCCTGGAATCTGGGTGCCATGGTGGCGAGATGTTAACTACCCCACCTGGAATACAGGATGTCGTGGGTTTGATCCCGACCCTGATGCTTGTATATTTGGAGCGTCCATGTTTTCTGCCGTGGTCGTGGGGATTTTTTTTCCACGTCCGCCAAGTTTTTTCTCCTTCCAGATTTAAGAAACATGCGTTTAGATCATTCGGCTGCTATAAATGTCCACCCAATAAGCCACTCCGTTAAGCTGTAATTTTTGTGGCCAGGTCGCTTAAGCAAAAGAGTGTTCTAGCTCAGTGGGCCCTTACCTGGTACAACATTTATTTTGATGAACTCGCAGGAGGAGGGATCTCGAGTTACAGCAGCTCCCCGTCTGGGGCCGGGGAGTCACTCCGGGCGTGCATGGACAAGGCCAAGGCCATCGTGCCCAAGGACCGCTGGGCTGACACCCCGCTGGCTCTGGGGGCCACTGCCGGCATGAGGCTCCTGGAGTGAGTGCCGGAGGGGGGCCCCCCCTGACCTGCATTACCCACCACACATTGTCTATGGGGTTCCAACAGAGAAGGTTGGAGCATGACTAGAGATAGACTACGCAGATTCACTTGAATCTGTGGTGCGACATCTCAGACCGTGCAACGTATCGTGACTGACTGCCCAATTGGATCATTCAACGGCGATCTGAAACAAATCCACACGGATTGTCCTGAAGAAGTCGAATGGATATCAAATCTCGACATCAATTTGTAATCTATTTCAAACCCCAACAAATCCATACGAAAGAAGAATAACACTTTAATCAAAAATATACCTCAATATGCGAGGGTGACTTTTATGTATGGGCATGCGTGTGTATGTTGAGCTTCTTTCGCACCGTGTAAGAGGGAGTATTGGAGCATGCCTGGAGATTGGACTCAATATGTGCTGGTGAATTGAATGGCATGCCATCACAAAGCAGTTACGGGTTACAGTAGCAATACATCATTATCTGTACTCGCAATTCACAAAAAAGTGTGCACATAATTAGACCATCGCATAGAAATGAGACGGTGGAGGTGGCCCAGTGACTCTAGCAGTAATGTTTCCGCTTCGCTACGTGGACCCCCAGGTGACAGTAGCAGGCCATGCGGCCTAGATGTGGGCCTCCACCCCACACCTTCTGGTGGCGGCATCTCCCTGCTGGGGAGATTTTGAGGATTTTTAGACCTCCTCCCGGCTTGCTGGGGACCCAAGCGTTCACTTTCTTCTAAGCGGGGCTCTGCGGCTTCGTTGCCGTCATGTAGCGTACAAGAGCAGACACTGCAGGCGTGTGGCTGACGAAGCATTTCGGCAGAGATGGCTCCATCAGATTAATTGGTCTCTCACTTGCAACGTGCCCTTTACGGGGACAAAATGCGGCAATGAGCAGCGAGACATATGAATGGAAACGAACAATAATACAACCCTGTAACCCTGTGCACAGTTATGTTAATTAACCCATAACACCTAGACCTGCCCTGTGACCTGATTGCAAGCCTCGTCGACACTTCATGCGGCCTCAAAGTGCTGTGTTGACATCGCCATCGCTTCGTGGCGAATGGTGGTGACTGTTTCTGTTGTGTTGGCGAACGAAGTTTTATTTTTAGCCATAGTTGACGTCGATGTCAGGTCATATCTGAACTGGTCCTCATGAGCAGTGCCGGATGATCCTAGTAGCAAAAGTAGCTACACGTGTAGTAGCTACGGGCCCCGCACTTTCAAGGGCCCCGCGCTAAATGCTTTTGAGCTATCAATTCCGGTTCAGTGATTCTGCACTTGCTCTATTACTATAGTACTATACCACCTTCAACTTTTACGAACGACTGGGTTTTAAGGTTAGCGATGTGTCGTATTATCTGGCTGTATTGCAAATGAAAAATACTATTACTTTACTATGCAAGTAAAAAAATTTGTGTTTTCATATTTATGGGGTTTCTTTTTTATTTAGGGCCCCTTCATAACATCATGCTACAGGCCCCGCACTAGCTTAGTCCGGCACTGGTCCTGGGTTTCTCGTAGGTCGTCCCAGCCTTAAAAGGGCACCGCAGGCAGTGTGTGACTATCAGCAAAGACAAAAGGCAGCAGCAGCTGGCTGCTGCTGCTGGGTTGGTGTCAGCAGCTGGCTGCTGCTGACACCAACCCCAATGAGCCATCAGCCTGCACTCGATAGGCGCTCTCTCCCAGTACGTACACAGTCTGGGGAAGGGTTGTATTGGTGCGAACGTATATGTTGTGTGTGTGCGGTAGTACAGCGTTTAACGCGCTGCGCTATGAACCCGCCCACGGCCAACACCAGTGACGATTATCTGAACCGGTCCTGGGCCTCCCCTAGGTCGACTCAGCCTACAATGAGTACCTGGTGCGGTGTGTTAACATCGCCACTGGGGATACAAAGGCGGTCGGGCGTGGTGCTGGCCACACCCACCCCCCTCGTGTACCGTTCCGACGTTCATAGGTGCTCGCTAACAGCACTTGCCCCTGCAGTCTGTTAAGGCTATACGGGGATCTTTGTCTTTGTGTGTATGTGTGTGTGTGTAGGATGAGTGACTCGGTGGCAGCGAAGGCAGTGCTGTCCTCGGTGCGGGAAGTGCTCGGCTCGTATCCCTTCTCGTACCGTGAGGCGCGCATCATCTCAGGCCAGGAAGAGGGAACCTACGGTTGGATCACGGCCAATTACTTCTTGTACAACTTCATTCAGGCATGGAAACGACCCAACGCCCATCATAAATAGCCTTTTGCTGCTTTTGGCTAGTGTTTTTCAACTTAAATTTAGTAACTATACAATGTATTTTCACTATTACTGTCAACTTTCTATTGGCTTGAGAGTAATGGTCACCATCGAATTTCCGCTATTGCCAAGTACACGACATTATCCATTTCTATCCACGGGTTTTCTTTGGGAACTCCACTCTCCTCTTACCACAAACACATTCACTGTGGACTTGGTAAAAAAAATCCCAGAGAAGTACGCTCCCGAAAAAAAGGATTGATGCTCAATTAAAAGACATCACAACTGTTATATGACCCACATCTTCTTTGGGTCTTTCGGTGAAGTCACGTAGATACGTGACTTTACCGAAAGACCCAAAGAATATGCATTCCTGCAGTCACGAAAGCTTTAAGTCAAGATATGACCCACATCCACAGTGGTTTTTACGAGCAGGGAATTTAAGCGAAACTATTTGTGATCAGTATATATGTAGTGAGTCCAACTGAGTCGCAGACGTTGTCTTGGGAGCAACACTTTTATTTACATTAACACCAACACAACATTATGTAAACTAGACTGGGGTGTTTAACGCCCATCTAACCACGCTACGGCAGAACTAGACACGGTCCCACTATCCCACAAGCTGGGTCCCAGACCGCGTGCCTAGAGGCTTCTTCAACCCGACGTGGATCTTCTCTCACCAACAGACAAGAACTCCGGGCCCCTCACGGGGCCCCCGTTATATCGGCCCGGGCTGGGGCTGGCTCCGCCTCTCGCCCCGCCCACCTTCTCGATCTCTCTGGCTCTTTTTCCAAGGCTCCCGAGAGCTCTTCTATACCACGTGACCACCCAGCGGCCCCCATCCACCGGTGGCCCCCCTCCAATATCATCCGGTCACGTGTCGGCAGGTCAACCAGCGTGTCATGCCCCAGCGTAACCCTGGCTGGCTGACACTCTCTCTCTCGCTCCCTCACCGGGAGCCCGCACCGCACACTGTACGTGGTGCCTCTGCGCTAACCAGCGCTCACCCAAGCCCCGCTAGGGCTGGTACTACGCCCAGTAAGCGGCCTACACGTAATGCCAACAATATCCGCCGTGGCCTCGCAGGCCCGGCACCACACAGTGACATTCCCAGTCACTACACATATATTAAATTCAGTGTTCGTGATTAAAACATTTCACTGGACCAGTGCTGAGAGAAGGTAGAGTCACGGGGGCTACACTTGGTGCTATTACTGTAGCATAATACGATGCCGTCGGTGGCATAGTCTGGTTGCCAAGGGTCCTGGTGCAAGGAATAAAATTGGGCCCTTGTCCAATAACTTCCTCTGTGTCACTTGGAATCTGCTTCCCTCTGGAAGCCTTGATGGCTCTGTCATAGAGTATAACTCACCTGCCAAAAGTGTAAAATCTGTTGTTGTCTGTTTTTTGGATTATCTGCTCAAACCCTCAGTTCACATGGCTGGGCAAATGGCAATGGACCACATCCACGAAGCCCATAGGAGCCTTGGACCTGGGTGGAGCATCCACTCAGATCACATTTATGACTGAGGAGCCTCTGCAGGGCTCACCGGACAGCCTGACCATCCAGCTGTACGGAAGAAAGTACCACGTGTATTCCCACAGCTACCTGTGCTATGGACGTGACCAGGCAATCAAGCGCTTCCTCTCCACTTTATACAAGGTGGGCTGAACACCAGTGAGGCAAGTCTGGAGACTTGCTGACATATAGGCACGTTCATTTGTACATGCGCACGAAATAGTTTACAGTTTTTGTTGATTTACTGCCAGATGAAGGCCTCCTCAAGCAATGATAGTCATGGCACGGAAACAGTGCAAGGTAGTCAAGGGGCTGACCAGGAACCGATTGAGATATCGCTTCAGATATCACTCACTCGATCTACTAGAATGTGTGTTAATAGTGTGCAAATCCATAATCAGTGGTGAAGGGGAAGTATATCGATTTGAATTCATGTGGAAGGGTGGGAGCAGTGCAAACCTGGGCTAAGTGTTGTGACCTGCTGTGTGGTGAACACATTATGGATGAGATGAAATAGTCTGGCAAACCAAGTCCTCAACTTAAGTGGGGGTATCATTGAGTGAAGTTTACTGGAACAGTGACCATGGTAATAGCACTATAAGTGAGATAAGGTGACTGACCACCCGTGAGCATGAGACTGGAGGTTAATCGATTTATATGATGATGCAGCAGAGACCTGTCACGGCCAGGCCCTGCTGCCACACACAGTTGTGATCTCACCTCACTCGCAGATGCCGGTGCCACTGGCATTTCACATGCTGCTCATGTAGGCAATATGTTTGTTATCTCTAGCTGGGGTGATGGCTCGTTCTGTCACAGTTGCGGCAGACACAGTGAGAAGGCGAAACCAGCTGGATGCGTCAATACATCAAGCGAACCGTTGATGTGACACGAAAGGACACTAGTGGCTCAAGTGTCAGTTCTAGATGACACAGAGCGCATGCCCAATGTACTGCAATTCACTTTTTAACTTAGGATGTTTTGTTGTATTTGTTGGAATAATGCCTAAAGGAAGCACTTTTCACCAGCATTGACTGCTTTAGTATAGCAAGTGCACCTACAGCCAAAGGCTACTCTATTCCCGAATTGGGCCCCACCAGTGCCCCCTGGAAATCATCTGCCTGAAACTCCCTACAGTCATGAACTGGCACAAAAGATGCCTCCAGATTATATGCCTACTGATAAGGCACCCTTCCAAAGCATTACAAATGGGTTTGGGGCTTTTGTACAATCAGGCAGCCGGCCTGCAGGAAACCATTTCACTAAGAGTACCTTCATAACTACTGCTAGAGCAGAATAATACGAGTTTCAGTACTGGCTAACAACCTCAACCAGGTGTAAAAACAGGGCAGAGCCCCTCTAGAATACCTATACTATTAGCCAGTGGTACTTCCCCAGACGATGTGTTAAGATACCAGTGTTTAGGACACATCTACATGAGCATCATAGTAGGCAGCTCTGGGAATAACGCCATGGTCCACCAGTAAATGAAAGCCACCTCTCTCTTTGGCTTGGCTACTTCTCACTCACCTACCCCAGCCTACCAATGACTCTGAGAAAATATTCCATGATAAATTAAGGGATGGTGGGAAAAAAGCAGTTCACGTTAATTCAATATTTTGCCACGTTTTAAAACTCTAACTCATTTGAGCCCCCTTCGTACACCTCCCTTCCCCTCCTCTTGTGTTCCTATTTCTTTCCCCAACATTTACCGAAATATCAGCAACAAGGAGAGACTGGTGCTTTATTTGGTGCTTTTGTAAACTATGTTGATGGAAACACGATGAGCTCTTATCTTCAACAATAAACTGTATATTTTGTATTGTTTTGTGTAAGCAAAATTCTAACCGATGACACAATTCACACCCCACAAGGCTTCTTCTGGAGCCCATGTGAACAACCCATGCTACCCAACATTATACTCCGTTGCGTACAACCTCAGCTTCATCTACGACAGTCCCTGTACGAGCGATGCGAGGCCGGCGAATTATGATCCCAACCAGTCCGTCACTTTCCGAGGCACGGCAAACCCTGCCGAATGCAGCAACACGATCTCCAGCATCTTTAACTTCTCCGCCTGCAGCTCGCCCAACTGCACCTTCGACGGAGTCTGGCAGCCGCCCGTGCGAGGCCATTTCTTGGTAACGTATCACTTCTTATTCTTCTTCTTTCATATGGCCGATGTAGATGCAGAGCCACAACTACATTTTCACATTCAGGTGGTCAAGCCTGATAACTGCTGCGTCAGGGGCAGCGGAGTGTATCGCTGTGATGTCTCCTTCCTATTTGTGGGTCGGGCGTTGCGTCGTTACACGTTGTATCGTCTGTTCTGGATGACCACAGTCGCACACTACTGGAGAGTTTTGAATATTCCATTTGTACATCAGGTATCCGCATCTGCCATGGTTTGTGCGTTGGGTCATTAGCAAGTCGTCGAATCACTACTCCACTGTACCACTGACCACATCACCGGGATCTGCTAGAACTTCTCTCTGGCAAAAAAAAAACATAGGAAACATCTAGTGACAAAACTGCTGAATGGAGCCGGCGAGGAATCACCCCTAGTGAGGAGCTCGCATCTGACTCCAATTCCAAATGGCTCACATGACGGAGCCTAAACAGACTGAGAGTGGGTTTCGGCAGATGCAACTCTCTCATGAAATCATGGGAGGGGGGGGGGTGGTGGTTCTGCACAAACGAACAATGGTGCTTATCAGGAGAAACAAACCACGTGGATCATCTCCTGAGATGCCCTGCAGCACCACAGTGCTGCTACTCCTCGAATTTTGGCAATGCCAATATCAGAAGCGATGGCCTGTGCAGAATATTGGGAAGAGACTGCAGAGGTCGCACAGGAGACACGAAGAAGCACTTCAAAGTCACAACTGTAATCTTTCAGTAGGTTAAAACTCATCGCCGTATGCACAGCCTTTATGGTTTTGCTTAATTTTACCTGGAAATTTGAGACTTGTGTGAAAAGATGTCACCAGTTTCGTGAGTACTCTACAGAGTAATGTAAATAAGTGACTGGTCGATGGAAATTTCCTGCGAAACAGTGTTTGGGTAGAGGACTGAAGTTCTAAGTATATTATTCATTGAGAAAGACGTTTCAGCGATTTTATGACAATGTGAATCGGCAATGAAATGAGTGGCAGCGTTTGCGTTTAATCTCGTGTGCAGTACTGTATTCTGTCTCTATTTGTTCCTCCAGGCTTTTTCGTCTTTTTATCACGCCATGGCCGCATTCAACTTAACCAACCCGAAACCCCCTCTGAATGACGCCACGAACGCTTTCGATTACTACTGCCGCAAAACCTGGAACGAGGTTTGTTTGACCGAACAACGCTCACCGCACGCGTACCCTCCTCACTTGCGATCACAGCTTCAGCGGACGCTTGATCCAACCGAGAGATTGAGCGTTCGTATTGCAGGAAGACAGCCGCGCGCAAGAAAGGCTCCTCGAATCAGACAACAGACGAAACGTCTCGACTTCGCGTTTGAGACAATGCACCGAATGCAAGACCAAGTTGCTTGGCTCTTTTATTCCGTGTGTTTTCCCAACGATCACAATTGAGGTACGGGAATTGCCAAGGTTGTCACGTTTCGGATACCAATAACCCACCAATTCGCCACGGCGCCCGTGCCAGGATACGTGCACTTTGAGGCCTTTGGCGCCATCCCCAGTCACACACCCCATTAGCATGAACGCTTTTAATTGGGTCATATAAATTTGATGAACCTCCAGTCTCATGCTCGCCGGTGGTCAGTCACCTCCTTATCTCTCTTATAGTGCTGTTACAAAATGTACGACGTCTGTGCGTTGACATGAAAACCGAAAGGGGGTCGAATGTGTCATACGTGTATTTGACACGACAGCCCTGGAATATGTTGACAGTTGGTATCTAGATCTCATCCTTTGGATTCTAACCATTGTTATTGTTATCGTTCTACATGCAAATTGCTATTTTCGAAGGTTTCCATCTATAACTATGGATGCTAGTGGAATCAGAACTGGTCATATTTGACCACTTAAGCGAGTCACAGGCATTTCACGAGTGAACTTTTTTCTCCATTTAGGTTAACGCACAGCATCCCGGAGTTGCAGCCGAACGTTTGAGAGAATACTGCTTTCAGGCCTATTATGTTCACACGCTGTTGATTAAAGGCTACAAATTCGACAAAGAAAGCTGGGAAAACATCAACTTTCAGAAGGAGGCAAGTATTGAATCCACATATTTGTACAGAATCTTGCACATCGAAGAAAGCATATTGGATACACAAAAATACACTCATCACGAAGTTAAACAAAATGCAATGCTCACATGCACGCACAATTATTCGTCACTGGAGCATTGTGTGTGTGTATAATTCAAATGTAGGTACACTGTAAATTGTCTCACATTCGCTTTGATGCGGGGAATCTGCAGTGGATAAAGCTAATGTATGGATTAGAGCAGGGCTCCCCAAACTCCAATACTCACATCCTTCTGTGTTGACCAATCTTCTGCATTTACATACAAATTGTCAGATTGGTAAACATGGAAAGATACAGCATTGTGGATCATGGAGATCCTAGATTAGATATCCTCCCAAAAAATGTTACCCAGTTCTTGTGCATTAGACTTGTTTTCATCTCTGACTTGTTAAATTATAATATTTTCCACAAATATATTTTTTGTTAAATAGAATACTTTTGATTTAAAGTTTTCGTGACTGCAGGGATTCAAATTCTTGGTTCTTTCGGTTAGTTCACGTAGAAGGGAAACAATAAAAAAGCCAATAAAATTATTATTTATTGTTTCCCTTCTACGTGACTTTACCGAAAGAACCAAGAATATAAATAGAATACTGTGGAATGGGATTTGGTAGAAATCAATATTTTATGGATTAGGAGAATATTTTTGTAAGACTTTATATGATACACATTCATACAAGAGCTGGGTGATGTTGGCCTGGCTTGGACCACCGTATTCTCAGTCCACTCCTCACGGTCCCATGGTCCCAATGAGCTCTACGAGCTGCGCGACCATGGCCCAGAACCATCTGTACACAGCGCCATTCTCTTGAGCACGTGTTGTGCGTGACTGTGAGCCTCGTTAAAATACACACACACGGCAAGGCTCTGTTCCTGCTGCACCTATTACACCTTTGGGGTTTTGTTAGGTGGGGCAGGGGAGCATTAAAGGGTATTGTTAAAGTGTTTAAAGTGGTTTCAATTCATTTCGTTTCTCAATCTTAAATGTAAAAAAAAAAATGTTAGGGTTCTAAGAGATTTTTTTTTTACATTTATTTAAGTTTTTAGGTTTTTAGGGTCTAGGGAAACACTCGGAATTCATTTGGGGCATTCAGGATATATTTGTGTCTCCGGTGAGGTTTTTCAGTTGAGTGATCCCCACGGCCCAGTGGTTCTGGGCGAGATTGACGGCTGGGACCGCGACGCCTTTGACGGGGACTTTGGCCCTCCACTGCCCCCCACGTACCCCCAACAGTATTTTTTTTAACCATTGCGGGAGACCTCATGGTCACAATCGGTGATGTAACGGTTCGCACACTGGACTTGCAATCCAGAGGTCACTGGTTTAATTCGATCGCCCAGCGCAGCAGTTAAAACAACGTGCATCTTAAATCATCTTGTTTACGTCTACCCAACAGTATCAACTTGTATTATCAGTCAATCGATCGGCAGGTCATATGGGGTAAAGTGTGGGGTGTGCCCACCTCTCCCAAGACGTCTGGCCAGAAAGTAGGCCAAGCATCCTCGGGAGAGACTTCTTAGAGCAACCTCTAGTTGAGATCCTTCCAACAGCAGTAGCGCGAGCAAGCAATTTCAGGAATACACATTTACCGCTTACCGTTCACGTACGATTGTAACGCACCGTAAATACTCTCATTGATGTCTCCCATTCACGATTGTTTCTGTTGCAGGCGGGGGGTGGAGAGTTGGGTTGGGCCCTTGGGTTCATGCTCAACGTTACGAACATGGTGCCCGTCGGGAAGCTCCCAGAGCTGTACAGCACAGCCGCTGTGGGCTTCTCCTTAATCTTCACCATCGCGATATTCCTCGCTGTAGCATTGGCCTCTTATTTAGCGCACAACCGCAACGCATCTGCCAAGGACAAAAGGGGGGACAATCACACCGTTATTTAGTGACACTTAGTTTTTAAATCACCAGAAGAGCAACGGCAGAACATGGCCTATCCAGTGTCACCGCTCAACCTAAAAGCCCCAATCACTAATTATATTTGTCCCATTCCAACTTCCCTCCCTTTATCCTATTTCTCCACCGGTTGGCTACCTTAATTCCCGGCGAGCTAGTCGACTTCACGTTTGGTGTGCGGGGCGGCTGGGGGGGGGGGGGCTATACACTATTAATGCATGGGAATAGGATGCCTGGTATGTGTTATGTAACTCAAATTGTGTTAATGAACCTCGTGGCTACGACATGGGACCTTTCTTTCCAGTATCAAAGTATAAGAATAGGTTTCACCCTTTCTGGCAATAAAACAGGCGTTAAGATGCTCAAACTCCCAAACAGAAACATTTTGCAATAACATGCAAACAAAACCATGCTCTTACCAGAGCGTATTTTTGTTTGCATGTTCACCACAAGTATGTGTTTGTTAATGTAAACGTGACTCCTTGCAAAAGGTTTCTATTTAGTGTTTGAACATCTTTTAACACCAGTTGTATTGCCACAAAGGGTAACACATTCTTATAAACCTTATGGCTGCTGACCGTACCTAGACCACGAAGGCGATTAGTCACAGTAGCTCTCTGCGACACACAATCGCCCGTGTGCCTATGTATATTACGTACGTACGTCTATGTAGCATGTCGCGTGGGGGATTTGTATGTGTGCTGGCGAGTATGCAAATGACGTTGTTAAGAGAGAGAGAGATAATGTGTACAGATGTGAATGTGTGTGCGGGATGTCCTGGCTCTACATAATAATTCCAGTCGTTCAACATGTTTCCTTTACTTTATTTTCACACACGTGTATTTCGTTACAATTCACAACCGTATCTAGAAATCAATAAACAAAATATATCTAAAAGTTTATAGCATGTCGAGGATGCGCAGGGATATGGTCCAGACTAACCCATGCTCTGGGATCTGCCGTCCCGTTTCTTGTTCGTCGAGTTCGAAAGCGCTCTCTCTCTCACGGTGACCCCTGCCCTCTCTCACGGTGACCCCTGCCCTCTCTCACGGTGACCCCTGCCCTCTCTCACGGTGACCCCTGCCCTCTCTCACGGTGACCCCTGCCCTCTCTCACGGTGACCCCTGCCCTTTCTCACGGTGACCCCTGCCCTCTCTCACGGTGACCCCTGCCCTCTCTCACGGTGACCCCTGCCCTCTCTCACGGTGACCCCTGCACTCTCTCACGGTGACCCCTGCCCTCTCTCACGGTGACCCCTGCTCTCTCTCACGGTGACCCCTGCCCTCTCTCACGGTGACCCCTGCCCTCTCTCACGGTGACCCCTGCCCTCTCTCACGGTGACCCCTGCCCTCTCTCACGGTGACCCCTGCTCTCTCTCACGGTGACCCCTGCCCTCTCTCACGGTGACCCCTGCCCTCTCTCACGGTGACCCCTGCCCACTCTCACGGTGACCCCTGCCCTCTCTCACGGTGACCCCTGCCCTCTCTCACGGTGACCCCTGCCCTCTCTCACGGTGACCCCTGCCTTCCACGGTGACCCCTGCCTTCCACGGTGACCCCTGCCATCTCTCACGGTGACTCCTGCCCTCTCTCACGGTGACCCCTGCCCTCTCTCACGGTGACCCCTGCCCTCTCTCACGGTGACCCCTGCCCTCTCTCACGGTGACCCCTGCCCTCTCTCACGGTGACCCCTGCCCTCTCTCACGGTGATCCCTGCCCTCTCTCACGGTGACCCCTGCCCTCTCTCACGGTGATCCCTGCCCTCTCTCACGGTGACCCCTGCCCTCTCTCACGGTGACCCCTGTCCTCTCTCACGGTGACCCCTGCCCTTTCTCACGGTGACCCCTGCCCTCTCTCACGGTGACCCCTGCCCTCTCTCACGGTGACCCCTGCTCTCTCTCACGGTGACCCCTGCCCTCTCTCACGGTGACCCCTGCCCTCTCTCACGGTGACCCCTGCCCTCTCTCACGGTGACCCCTGCCTTCTCTCACGGTGACCCCTGCCCTCTTTCCCCAGGACCCTCTCTGCCGCTGTCTAGGCAGAGCATTCATCTCGTTCCTAACTCATTGTTCACCTCTTTCCTTTGTATCCGCCTCTGCAGCACAAGCCCTGTTTTAATCTCTTTCCTTTGGTCTGGCTCTTTCTTTCAGTCCTTTGGACGGGGCTATTGTCCAATGGGGCTGTTCTTCACAGGGTTTATTTCGATATTTTATAGTGTGGGTTATTTTGCTTTTATGTATTATCAGCTTTTACTGTATTTCGATTGGAATGTATCTTTAAAGGAATCCCTCGATTTATAAAAAAAAGATACGCGTAAAAATAAATTGGAAATTGCTTTTCCCATTAATTTTACACACAAAAAAAATTCGGGATGTGTTTCAGTCATTCCATTTTTATTCCTAACCGACAAATATACGCTCAAAAATAATTTAAAAAAAACATTAAAACTATTGCATAATAACTAATTAAAACATTTTCATGGAACTCGCCAAAAAGATCCGCATGTTGTAATGAGAGTCAAGGTGACGTGGGAGGAGGCCTTGCTGTTGTACTCGAGGGGTACTGTGACGCTGTCGTGGATGACCAAGGACGGCAGCGTCCCGCGCGGCTTCTCGGATCGACGATCTCGGGGCGCGGTGCCGCAGGGGAATTTCGTTCACGCACAAATTCGATTTCGCTCATCGAAAAGTGCCCAGAATTATGTCAATTGCATTAACGCGAGTATTCGTAAACCGAGAGTTTGTAAATCGAGGGATGACTACTTGAGTGTGATTTTGTTTGTTAAGTACAGCGCTTTGAGATATTTAGAAATGAAAGTTTTTTTTTAAATAAAAGTAACATTGTTACGGTATAAATTAATCACTGCATATGGGTATAAGGTAACATATTTTATCAGTAAATACATGTTTATATTAATACTGTATAGAGGAATATGTTAACCTAAATATATGTATATTCAGTGGGAGTTGTTGATTTCAAGCATAGAAATAAACAATACAATAACAGTTTGCATGAATCGCATTTTGTACCAAGCACATGCCACGCTTAACATGAATATTTCTTATTGAAAATTAGACAGTGATATGATCGTGTCTGACAAAGTTGAAACATTTAACAATGAAGATAAACATTTGCCCAAAGTATTGCAAAATGTATTTAGGCAAATGAAGAAGTCCTCTTTTTACAATCGTTATTGTCGTGCAATTGAATTTATAGAGACTGATCATCTTAATTGTCGGCCTGGAACCGGGGTTTATTTCAGCCGGGTTTATCCGTATCAGCGACACAGAAAAAAACTTTCCATGCCTGGCACACACCACATCCACTAATACCTCTTGCTGAGCCTGCGGCGACTCGCAGTGCACCGAACTCCATCCTACCAACGTGATGTTGTCGTTCTAGCAAAAAAATGTTTACCAAAACATTTACGCCCTGCCATGTTACGTACTTTCGCTATCACGTACTCAACGTATCGATAACCCCAATGCCGATTGTCGTTACATCGTGGTACCTAAATTGTTTACGTTACATTCGAGCGCCAGGTGGCACCCAAGCGTTAGCCTTCCTGACTATAGTACCAATGTTAACTCTTTTTTCAGATGTAAAACAACTAATAATAATACGTATGGTATAATAGACAAGTTAATATATCAAAAATGTATACTTTTCACACCGATGGTTGTGCAGTACAAATGCGCCATGGGTTACTGAGCATCCTCTGTTTAGGGACTGTACTGTACCACATTACCATCCACCATCTCTTTCCTTAGATTTAAGAAACTTTCCATTCACGTTCTCGTTTTCAGGAACGCATCCTGGGCGTCAACCGGGGTAAGCCGGAATAACGCCAATGTAGTTTACTGGAGCCAATGTGCATGCATATGCAGAGTGTTCTGCTTGAGTAACCTTTCCTAACTCAGATGACCTCTTGAGAAACTAGTTGACATGTGTAGCTCTATTCCTTTTCAAAGGTTTCCAAACAACAAAGACGTAGCATGATAACAAATGGAAAAAGATAGCATATACCACGTCAGATAAAATTAAGATGCAGTCCTTTTTGGAACCGTAGCAAAATTGTGAGAATAATCCCTCCCTTTGAACATTGGTCGTCCGAGACATTTCTTGTCCACTTCTGATGCGGAGAGGCTGATCCGTGTCCTTGTGTTTTCAATGATTGATTTTTCAATAGTATTCTGTCACCACCTCTGGATATATTGCAATGTCAACAACACCAGCTTCCAGAATCTCAGAAAACGTCCCGAGGCATGCGAAGATATTCCAGTCTTGGCCTTCTTTTTTTCACTGGCTTCCTATAAAGCTCATCGCAGCGTTTACATTTTTCTTTTTGGCATATAAGGCTCTCAAAAGCGGACGACCGAGGTATCTTCACAGGTTCGCCGATCTCACACGCGCGCGTGTCATCCCGAACGCTTCGTTTGTCGATGGCTGGTGCCCTGCGAACATTCCTCGGCCGTTGTCCGCACACAAATCTGGCTGTCGCCTGATGAAGCTAGTTCTAATTACTGGCGAAACGTCGTACTGTTGTGGATTTGCTCTCCAACACACCGGTGTGCTGTACTAGTAACGAATCGGCATGTTCTGTTTACGTTACAAACCTTACGAATTGGCTGCGTCGGGTGGTGGTGGGTTTAACGACAGATCTAACCCAAAAAAACCTCTATAATGGATGATATTGGTCGCGTAAGCCTACCACGTGTTACACTGCCTGAATGAGCTTTCGTACACTTCTTAGTCTTTTTACACCCCTTGGGCCAGACATTTTTCCGAATATTTACTTACTTTGTGGCACGTAGCACCGTTCAGTACCATGCGCAAAAGTACATGTATCAATGTAATCTTTAGTTACGTTTATTCAGTACAGCAAAGAACAAACACAGTTATGGGAAGCCGATATTGACAAAACAAAAAAATCACATTTAGAAAATGTATTTTGTATCGTATCGTAAAATACGACACTATTAATGAGGGTCCCACTGGGATCAAATGAGCAAGGAAAAATGATGACTGTATTGTACTGATGAGTCTTGAGGACGAAACCAGTTCTATCATATATGCTGCTTGTTGTGAACTTCTTGAGTTGGTGGTTTAAACCAGCGGTCCCCAATCTTTTTGGCACCAGGGACCGCTTTCGTGGAAGACAATTTATTTCACGGACCGGGGCGGGGGTTCATCATTGGGTCTTTCCCCCTATTCAAAGAAGCTCTTCAGCGACGTTTGTTTTTTACTCATTGTGGCTGCTAGGGTTGTTAGCTTGTGGGCCTACTCATTGTGGCTACTAGGGGTTAGCTTGTGGGCTTACTCATTGTGGCTGCTAGGGTTGTTAGCTTGTGGGCTTACTCATTGTGGCTGCTAGGGTTGTTAGCTTGTGGGCTTTATACCAACACTGTGACTGAGACAAGCGCGCAGTGCGGGAAAGAGGCGCGGCCGGAAGTGGTGAATAATAAAATAATTGGGGCGGGCCACGTGCGGACTCACCGCTCTCACCTCCTGCTGCTGTGCGGCCCGGTTCCTAACAGGTCACGGACCGGTCCGCGGCCCGGGGGCTGGGGACCCCTGAACTAAATGACAAAATGACCACGGATTTAGTTACGTTGAGATGCGGTCTTGAGAAGGGTGATGAGAGGTTTTGTACAAGCAATGCACACGTTTGAGTGTTGTCACATTTTCTCAAGTATGCCTTCCAAGATTATGCCAATGTGGTGAACGTTTTGAGGAAATGTGTGGTCAAATCGGGTTATGGTTAACTCCTTTACCTATCTTCATAATAATGAATTTTATTTAGGTCGTAATTTCCGCAGCCTGCGTCCATCTTAATTTGGACTATTGTATGTGGGGTGTGTAGGCATATATACCTATGTAGTGGTGTTTATTCATGCGGACAACTTCTTCATTTTCTCCTGTGTCACTTTATTCGCAGCATCCCACACGGATGCTCCTCACGTTCCACCACACGTACTCTTCTCGCGAACTCTCCCTCTCTTGCTCCGCTAGCCTGTTAGTCCGAGCTCACTCTGTTAGTCCGAGCTCACTCTCTCTTGCTCCTCTAGTCTGTTAGTCCGAGCTCACTCTCTCTTGCTCCGCTAGTCTGTTAGTCCGAGCTCACTCTCTCTTGCTCCGCTAGCCTGTTACTCCGAGCTCACTCTCTCTTGCTCCGCTAGCCTGTTGCTCCGCACTCTGCTCGCCTGTCACGGACGCTCTCTCTCTCCCTGGCTCCGCGAGCCTGTTCTCCGCTCACCTCTTACTGTATTCTCCGCTAGCTTCTCACCCCGCTTAACCTCTCACTGAATCCCCTGCTCGCCTATTCTCCGCTAGCCTAACACACTCACACTAAGGATCCCGCTAGCCTCTCCCCCCGCTCGTCTGTTACTACACCCACACCTCCAACCTCGCCCGTGCCCCCCAGCGGGGGTTCAGCCAATACCGCTGGGGAGGACGAGGTGTGGAGGGCGAGGTCCCGGAATTCTCTTGTCTTGACTCTACACTTCATCTCCAACCAACTCAACCCTGTTGCTTCACACATCCCCCTAATATAAATCTCCTTATTAAGTGTCCTCAGGTGGCCCTCGTTAAGCCGGCGTCCTTCCGGCGTCTCTTGCACGTGCCCCCCCCCCGTTATCGCCTCTATCTCTGCCCTCCTTGGCGCCTACCCCGTGTTTGCATTCGCAGCCAGCCAATCACTGCCTCTTTCCCTAATTGCTGGCATCTGTCTGTTGTCTCCCAGGTCACAAACTCGCACCTGCTTGTCCTGACCTGACCTCGCTGTTTGCAACCCCGTACATGAATGCAACAGCTATTTGCAAGCCCTGCGTGCGTTATGCCACTACACCTACGTAAGAAATGTCTTTGTTTGGAGGGTGGTGAAACAAACATCTGGGGGAGGAGGGGGGGTCCACTTTCTATAACTTGATTCAGACCTTCTGAAAGGCTCTCCTCATTTAGTTGACGGACAAACGGTCAAGTGGAAAAACGGATAAACGGAACGCCGGGCTTTTATAATCGGTAGCACTTTTCCCATGGTCAAAACAGTGAACAGTAAAAGTTTTCAATATCATGCATACTAAAAAGCTATTAATTAAAAAAACAATGGCATATGGATAAAACATGAGAGCGGCACAAAGAGCATTCAAGGGACGGAATATACAAGATGAGAGAGTAGAGGAGGGAATCCAGGCCAGATTTTAAGCCCTATTGAACAGATGAGTTTTTAATTGAGATTTGAAGGTGGAGATTGACTCAGTGGATCTGATCTCAATGGGCAGTGTGTTCCGTAGCCTAGGGGCAACTGAGGAGAAGGCTCTGTCGCCCATGGAGCGGAGGTCGGTGAGAGGCACAGCGAGTTTCATTAAGTACTGAGGAAACAGTGGAATTGTGGTGAGTAACAAAGTCCTGAAAGGGGGCGGCCAGAGGAGGGAGAAGGAGGCATCAGTCATGGCATCAGCTCGGCAGCTAGGGATGATTTTTTTTAGATTTCTACAATAAATCTGCCGTTTACAGCTTGTGGTCAGAAAGCCTCAGATCAGTGCAATGGTGGATGATTATAGATAAACCCGATGAGCACACTAGGTCTAGGATATGGCCACAGTGATTGGTGGGAAAATCAACATGTTGGGATAAATCAAAACAGTTGAAAACAGATTAAAAAATGCAGAGCAAATTTAAAATTAGGATCACCAACATGAATGCTAAAGTCACCAAGCAGTAGAATAACAGAGGAGAGTAAGCTCAGCTGAGTCAACAACTCAGCCAAGTCACTCAGAAAATTAGCATTGGGCTTAGGTGGTCGATACAGGACAATGAGGAGGATATGGCATTATATAGCAATCAGTTTCAGTATAAGACGTTCAAAAGAGGGTGAATTTTCAACTGGCACTCTTTTCAAATTCAGGTCCAAACGGTAAATAGCAGAAATACCACCACCACCACGACCCAAAGTGCGAGGTGAGGCAACACTTGCCAAGCCAGGAGTAGAAATTCATGAGGTGTCTGCATGTCAAGGTGATTATATGTAGTTAATTCAGATATCACGTGATCTCTAGAAACAGGGAAATAATAGTTACTTTTGAAAAGGTAAAGTAAAGATTTGTGATCAACACCTCTATAGTTCAGTGAACTAAGACGTGCTGAACGGTGTATTTTATACCAGATGGATTTGATCGAAGTTCCAGTATTTCCAGATAGGGAGAAATTGCGAACTGGACCTCCGGTGAATGTACTTAGGGCGCGGCAGTACATCTAAATTACGCAATGTGTCCAAGCCAAATACTTGTTTAACAAATGTAACGCTTCTTTGAATTCAGAGCGAGTGTACCTCAGCATATTGAAGCTCAGTCCGATGGGGCCAATAAGAGTTTAAATCGACATTGCAGCAGCCCACAGCCAGGACCAGGCTTGCCAGAGGTGGTAGCAGCCGACTACGAGGACCAGGCTGGCCAGAGATGGTAGCAGCCCACAGCCAGGACCAGGCTGGCCAGAGATGGTAGCTGCCCACTACCAGGACCAGGCTGGCCAGAGATGGTAGCTGCCCACTACCAGGGCCAGGCTCGCCAGAGATGGTAGCAGCCCACTACCAGGACCAGGCTGGCCAGAGATGGTAGCAGCCCACTACCAGGACCAGGCTGGCCAGAGATGGTAGCAGCCCACTACCAGGACCAGGCTGGCCAGAGATGGTAGCAGCCCACAGCCAGGACCAGGCTGGCCAGAGATGGTAGCAGCCCACTACCAGGACCAGGCTGGCCAGAGATGGTAGCAGCCCACAGCCAGAACCAGGTTGGCCAGAGATGGTAGCAGCTCACAACCAGGACCAGGCTCGCCAGAGATGGTAGCAGCTCACTACCAGGACCAGGCTGGTCAGAGATGGTAGCAGCCCACTACCAGGACCAGGCTGGCCAGAGATGGTAGCTGCCCACTACCAGGACCAGGCTCGCCAGAGATGGTAGCAGCCCACTACCAGGACCAGGCTGGCCAGAGATGGTAGCAGCCCACTACCAGGACCAGGCTGGCCAGAGATGGTAGCAGCCCACTACCAGGACCAGGCTGGCCAGAGATGGTAGCAGCCCACTACCAGGACCTGGCTGGCCAGAGATGGCAGCAGCCCATTACCAGGACCAGGACCAGGCTGGCCGGAGATGGTAGCAGCTCACTACCAGGACCAGGCTGGCCAGAGATGGTAGCATACCATAAAAACGCTGCACAAGAGAATAAAGTAATAAAGAAAATCCCCTAAACATCCTCTGCGAGCTTCTGTCTACATCAATGTTTGTGTATATTCATGTTAAATGTGTCTATGTGTGAGTGTTAATGTGTGTATAGGTGTATGGATACCTGAGCAACTAGTGTGTTATATTGTGATTGTGCGTGTGTTTGAACGTGTTTGTATAATTGTGTGTTTCGGTGTTGTGTGTGCTTCATTGCAAATGAATGTGTTAATTTGTACAATTTCTTTGTAGATATATACACGAATGTAATTGCGACTGTGTGGTAAGTGCATAGGCATATGTTACTTTGTGTTGCAATGTATTATACAAATGTGTTTACATATATAATACACAAGTGAAAGTGTTCATGTATGTTATCATATTAAAGCAAGGCTGGTTCAGAAATTCCACTGCTGGATTATATTATTTCCGCCTGAGGACGACCGCTTGTGTTGCGATCGAAACGTCGTGATGTATTTTATTTTATACCTACGTGACTTTACCGAAAAAAACAAAGAGTGTGGATTCCTGGAGTCACGAAAGCTTCAAATCAAGATTGAAGGCATGATTTAATGTGAAGTGAAAGTTGAAAGATGAATATTTCAATGTGTGTGCTAAGGCATATGTGTGTGTTATACTGGTAGGAACCTCCTGGTTACACCAGCCCACAGGGGATTATTGTGTCCGTCCGTCGTGCATCCAAAAATGGGAGGGGTGGGGCTGGGTGGAGAGGGGAGGGTGGGGAGGGGCTGGGTGGGGAGGGGAGGGGTGGGGCTGGGTGGGGAGGGGCTGGTCACCCCGTGGTGCCCTTATAAAACTCAACATTTAACCTACTCACGCCGGCTTATGCCCGCCCTCACAGTCGGGCATATTTGCGGAATACACCACGTGGTGCCGCCGTTGTTGACCCTGGCCATTGACCGAGCAGCCCAACGTTCCTACCAGCTCCCTCTGCAGGAGAATGTGTTTGTAAGGCGTGGCGTGTTGACTTATCTGTGTGCTTTAATGCAAGAGCAGCCTGCACAGCTCGGGAAAAAGCGAGACCACGAAGCCGACTAGTCTTTGAACTTAAAATAAATAAAAACTCACCAGATTTCAGGTAAACTGGGTGAAGAGCTTAAAATAAAAAAAATAAGAATGTCATAAAAAAGAGAAGATGATCGCAAATAAATAAAATACTTTGAAAAGTTGCAAGCCAAAGTCTGGCAGCAAGGGGCCATAAGACGTTTCGCCAGTAATTCCATTCAGTAGCATTTGTGCGGCGATGGTGTTTACGGGAACATTGGCGATCTTGTTGGGGCCTGTGCTGACTAGTACACGACACAAAGCACAGGTCAGGGTTTGAATCCCTCCTCCATCGTGCAGAATGGAAGGTGCCTCGATGTTTCGTGTCGAACAGGAGGAACAGGTTACCAGTTGCTGCCCAGTCGAACACGTTATCCACAGGTTTCATCGGTTGTGTTGCACACTCGAAATGAAGGACGTGGGCAGGTGCTCCAAATCGAGGGAAAACACATTTATTGTGGTCAATCTGTAAAATGCAACATCACGTGGTGTCACACACAGCAATCCTTAACAGAGTCGCCATTAACCACGTGACTGGTGTACAAGTCTGGTTAATCAATAATCCTGCCAGCCACCCACAGGCCCAACTCAAGTTATCGCACGCACGTGCATAGGTGTACTGCACAGCACGTAAGGACCTTCACACAACCACACTTTACTCCCTTGTCGCACGAGGAAATAATTAAAAGAGTGGTCCATTCCTAATGTGCTCCAGTTGCATAGCCCCAGACCGTTGATGGCTGTGGAAGCCACCGGCGGAATGACGCGGGATGGGTTGTGGCAGGCAGCATGTTTGGTCTGCATGCGGTGGTTGAAGGTTTGTCTACATTTGGGGGCCGTCCATAAATGACGTCACACGATTTTGGACGATTTTTGACCCCCCCCCCCCCTCCTCGTCACACGGCGTCACAAAAAGTCAGACCCCCCTTCAAATATGACGTCACAAAGCTCTGCTCCCCCCCCCCAAAAAACATATTTCCATTTTGAAAATAAAACATGCTTCAAATCGCTTTAAACTATTGTAATGCGTATTTAATGTGGCGCTGCACTCTGATGTAGGAAAAAACATTTATTAAAAAGTCTATTTAATTAAGTAGAACGTGTTGTCTATATTTATTTAAAGTTGCGCATTTTTTACGTGACGTCACATTTCTCACCCCCCCCCCCCCGTCACACATGGTCACAAATGTCTGACCCCCCCCCCCACCTAGGTGCGTGACGTCATTTATGGACGGCCCCTTACCGAGCAATTTTCGCGGAACACATCTCATTCGTTAAGTGAGACACTTCTGTATAAGGACAGACGCTGCTGTTCGTTAAGTGAGACACTTCTGTACAAGGACAGACGCTGCTGTTCGTTAAGTGAGACACTTCTGTATAAGGACAGACACTGCTGTTAAGTGAGACACTTCTGTACAAGGACAGACGCTGCTGTTCGTTAAGTGAGACACTTCTGTATAAGGACAGACGCTGCTGTTCGTTAAGTGAGACACTTCTGTACAAGGACAGACGCTGCTGTTCGTTAAGTGAGACACTTCTGTATAAGGACAGACACTGCTGTTAAGTGAGACACTTCTGTATAAGGACAGACGCTGCTGTTTGTTAAGTGAGACACTTCTGTATAAGGACAGACGCTGCTGTTCGTTAAGTGAGACACTTCTGTACAAGGACAGACGCTGCTGTTCGTTGAGTGAGACACTTCTGTACAAGGACAGACGCTGCTGTTCGTTAAGTGAGACACTTCTGTATAAGGACAGACGCTGCTGTTCGTTAAGTGAGACACTTCTGTACAAGGACAGACGCTGCTGTTCGTTAAGTGAGACACTTCTGTACAAGGACAGACGCTGCTGTTCGTTAAGTGAGACACTTCTGTACAAGGACAGACGCTGCTGTTAAGTGAGACACTTCTGTATAAGGACAGACGCTGCTGTTAAGTGAGACACTTCTGTATAAGGACAGACGCTGCTGTTAAGTGAGACACTTCTGTATAAGGACAGACGCTGCTGTTAAGTGAGACACTTCTGTATAAGAACAGACGCTGCTGTTAAGTGAGACACTTCTGTACAAGGACAGACGCTGCTGTTCGCTATCTCAGGTTTCGCCTTGAAAGTGAAAATGTACACCAAAAATACATTGCACAGTTTGGTGTTTGTCTGAAGCCTGACGATGATACAATCTAACAATTTATAAAATCGAACATGTGTACACTATGGTACAGGGTCAACACTCAGCTTACTGGCACCTTCGTGGGATTTCCACAGGAGCCCCCCCCCGCCCCCCCAAAGAAGTGAGGATGGTGATTACCAACTCACGTGATGCCACCGTGAGCAGACTGGGTGCCTCTGAAAATGACATAGGGTGTAGGGGTGACCTCTGCAATAAATCGTTGTACACCCCCTATATTTTCGGCCATAGTTTAACCTCAAATATCGCCTGTCCCTTTTAGCACCACGGTTATCGATGTCCACACTGAGGTCAATGTAGTTCACTTTATTAAATATTTAGTGAAACAATTCAACGACGATTGATATGGACTACAGTGGATGACAACATACTGTAGGCATACTCTTTGGTTCTATTGGGTAAAGTCACGTAGGTGAAAATAAAATAACTTTACCCAATAGAACCAACGAGTATGGATCCTAGCAGTCACGAAAGCTTTAAATCTAGAATACTGTAGGCAGTCTTTCGTATAATATTTGATTGAATGCGATGATGGGCAGCGGCGACACAGCCATAGTTTCGAGGTTGGAAGTGTCCTACAAGTGAATGGTTTTCCAAAAAGTTAAGGGTGTCTTTTGGACATATCTAAACCTGTTTTTCGGGTGTCTAAACACCCACCAGTGGCTGTGCCTTATGATGGGAAGATTGATCTCAAACAACAGTGACCACAACTTTTGTCAAACACCAGAGGTGATGCAAGTAGAAAATAAAACAGCCAAGTAAAATAGCTGCATTCTCTCTAAGGAGGTGTGTACTTGTCAGTAAGTATACTCAAACGATTGCGAATCGGCAGGGGTGGTTTTATTTGTACTTAGTCGATAAAGTCCGCCCACCACTCCTCCCACAGTATTTCGTCTATTAGAAGTACACGCATAGCTCAGAGCAAAGTTTCTTCCACGGAGAACACTTAGATAACTGGACAAGCAGGTGAATACATTCGTTTTCCTTTGTATTTCATCGCGTGGAAGTATATTTCATCTGACCTATATAATACGTTAAAGGGATGAACAAAATCAGTATGTGCTCTATATGTAGACATAATCTGTGTGAATGTGTATGCAGTATATCAATGTGTGTGTGTGTGAAATTTATGTTGCCATTTGCTATTGTCACAATGTTCTTTCAGTGCAAGCCTAACCAATGTTTGAGACGTGGTTATATTGATGTTTGTGTGTTTTCACGCCTGGAAGTGTATGAATACTTTAATAGTGAAACTTTACTTTATGCCATGGATGTTGTTAAACTTTTGGTTACCGAGTTATATTGGCTACTGCCTTCTAAAATAAACTAAACTATACATTTTTAATATTACCAGGTAAGACCCATTGAGCTATATAGCTTTTATTAGAAGTAACCTGGCCAGAAATGATAGCTCAACGAAGTGGCTTATAACGTGGAAATTTCTAGCAGCCAAATACTCTAAACGCATGTTGAATCTAAACGTGGAGGAAAAAACCGGATGACCCAGAGAAAAATGTACGCCACCACGGGGAGAGAAACATGTAAATTCCAAATATACAACAAGCGTCAGGGTCGGGATTAAATCCACGCCCTCCTGTATACCAGGCGAGGCAGTTAACATCTCGCCACCGTGACACTCTTAAGAGTTAGAATAAACAACAAACCCTCTTGAAATCAGAGGTAAGTAGCAATTGCCGAACCAGGGGGCAATAAGGTGAATCGACAAACTGATAGATTTCGAGTTTTACTTTACACCACATAGTGGTTCCAATATCCTCACATCCACAACATTCACACGAATCGTGTGATGCGTTTTACAATCCATGTTGAATTTGTAGATTTTGGAAAGGTGACTCAAAAATGCATTTAAATCCATCGATACACGTCTATGGTCAGGCTTCAATGTCTAGATGCGAGCCTATGCTGGGGACAGAGTTCATTAAGCCGGGCGGCCTCTTAGACAAACACAGCGGCACCAATTCGACTTGTAAACTTGGGCTGCCATTCCGTAACCTTTACTTTTCCACGAGAGTCAATTTACACAATACAGTAATTAAATGTTTCGGTCAGGCACAAAGAAAATGTGCCATTGCAATCCTCGTTGGTAGCAAAGTGACGTCACTTTCGGATGAATCAGTCTAGGAAAATGAACATATATCTGTCATAATAGGGTTTTTCCCCTTTTTTCTGGCAACAAAACTGGAACCTTTTAACAAGGATTCATGTCTGCATTCACCACAATACCTGCAGTCAAAATGCAAACAAAAAACATACTATGATAATATATGCATTGTCCTTGAAACTAATTGGTCCACAACAAGGGTCGGCGTACACAGCTGTGTACGCCTTTTGGTGTCATCTGGTCGAGCACCAATTAGGTCAAGGCTCAAAAGAAAGCCGACCCTTGGTGTGGACCAATCAGTTTCAAGGACAATGCATATATTATCATAGTATGTTTTTTGTTTGCATTTTGACTGCAGGTATTGTGGTTAATGCAGACATGAATCCTCGTAAAAAAAATTCAGTTTTGTTGCCAGAAAAAAGGGTAAAAACCTTATTATTACATTTTGGTACTGGCAAGGGAGGTCTAATGATGTAGATGCTGACCCCGAGCCCTCGTTACTTTGATAGTGCATTGTCTTTGAGCTGTACGCCTTCTGGCGTCATGTGGTCGAGCACCAATTGGGTCGAGGCTCAAAAGAAAGCCGACCCTTGGTGTGGACCAATCGGTTTCAAGGACAATGCATATATTATCATAGTATGTTTTTTGTTTGCATTTTGACTGCAGGTATTGTGGTTAATGCAGACATGAATCCTCGTAAAAAAATTCAGTTTTTGTTGCCAGAAAAAAGGGTAAAAACCTTATTATTACATTTTGGTACTGGCAAGGGAGGTCTAATGATGTAGATGCTGACCCCGAGCCCTCGTTACTTTGATAGTGCATTGTCTTTGAGCTGTACGCCTTCTGGCGTCATGTGGTCGAGCACCAATTGGGTCGAGGCTCAAAAGAAAGCCGACCCTTGGTGTGGACCAATCGGTTTCAAGGACAATGCATATATTATCATAGTATGTTTTTTGTTTGCATTTTGACTGCAGGTATTGTGGTTAATGCAGACATGAGTCCTTGTTAAAAGGGTTTCAGTTTTGTTGCCAGAAAAAAAAGGAAAACCCCCTATTATTATATTTTGGTACTGGCAAAAAGAGGTCTAATGATATACCTGTCAGGCAGAGTACAAAGGTCTTACGGTTGTGTTTACCACCAACAGAATAATCTTTCCGTGCAATGTCTGCCAAAGCCATCACATTCCTGGCTCTCGGAGTAACCGCCATAGCCCTGATGGTGGCGATTATCGGAACGGGGCTCACCGGAGATCGACTCAGGAGGGCGAGCATCAACCCAATGAAGGTAACACGTATACACAATATCACAATAGTGTAGCGGCACTTCTCGCGTTTTTAATAATATTGTAAAATATAAGGTGGTCGGACACAAACATAACGTGCAGCATATTTGTTTGCAGCAGCAGCAGCATAAACAAAACGTCCTAGGGGGGATGCTTTGTTACATGCCGGCTGACACGAACGTGCTTGCCCCGCTGAAGGACTGAGCTGACCAATCAATTACAATATATAATGGGCGACGTTTTGGGCAAAGACCCTTTTATAGCACATCAAAGTTGAGGGTTTCTCTTGTTATTTATGCTGAAACACCACTGCCAACGCACCATCACCAGATGTATCTGTTTAATTTTGACCAACAAATAACTTCAAATCTAAATTCAACAAATATCTGTTCATCAAATGCATGAACACACACACACACCCTAAAGCGCTGGATCAAAGATGTGTACACTGCCTCGGGTACATATGTAAGGCTGAGTCACCCAGACAAAGCGAATGACGATGGCCATAAATAGTTACACGAATCGGACTTACAACCATTAACAGAATTCGGCCAGATCATTAACATGGGCTCGAGGGAATGAAAACAAAAAAAAATCAACAACGAATCCGTGAGCGTGCATACATCGACGACGATTGTCTCGGGCTGTGACGGTGTCTCTCTCTCTCTCTGCCGTGTCAGTACGGGATAGTCCTGGATGCCGGCTCGTCTCACACGGCGCTCTTCGTCTACGAGTGGCCGGCGGAGAAGCAGAACGACACGGGGGTGATTGCACAGCGCCACCTCTGCGACGTCGATGGTGAATCCGCTCAGCGCAGTTAACCCCGCGGCGTGCTAAAAACTGAATCACAATAACACAACGATGCCTTTGTAGCAGGTACTGAAGGAACCGTATATCAGTAAAAAAATAATATATATACACATATATACACTGGCCAAGGGGAGGAAAAACTGAGAAATGTAGGTGGCTAATTTAGAACCAAAAGTAAGAGAGAATAAGTATTGGGGGACGTTTTAAACAGTGCCGCTGTTTGCGAACTTGGAAGAGATTTGTCTCCGATGTATTGTGATCTGCTCTGTATTCGTTTTCATGCATAAAGTTATGAATATTAATTAAGCTTCACCTGTTCTATGAAAAGCTATATGTGGTTTTCATATAAATATACCCAGGCTCAAAACAACTTCATTGCCTGGAACTAAAATCACCCGGGACACGCTTAATTTTTATTGGATCTCAGAAGCTAGAATAAATGTTGAGCTTGGATAGTGCTTAAATGAATGACCACCATGCACAAGTAGGTTGTCATAGGGCTTGCGAGGCTACGTGGTGGGCAGCAGAGGGCAGTGCAGCAAGCTCCAATGTTGTACTGTACTTCTATGCACTCCCATGTCTAAGCTACCTTCACTTTCACCTACCTGCACTGACCAGGGTGGTGAAGTGTGATCAAATAATCAATACGGTCCACACGGCATGGGCAGGCTGTCATCCAGCAGTGTATTGAAAACCGGGCAGTTGTACCTGTGCATTGATTACATTTATTTCAGCTTGTAGACCTCTCAACACCTGGCAGATCTATGGCCTGGCATCTGGGTGCCAGGGTGGCGAGATGTTAACTACTCCACCTGGAATACAGGATGTCGTGGGTTCGAACCCGACCCTGATGCTTGTATATTTGGAGCATCCATGTTTTCTGCCGTGGTCGTGGGGATTTTTTTTCCACGTACGCCAAGTTTTTCTCCTTCCAGATTTAAGAAACATGCGTTTAGATCATTCGGCTGCTATAAATGTCCACACAATAAGCCACTTCGTTAAGTTGTCATTTGTAGTCAGGTCGCTTATAAAAAAAAAGTGTTCTAGCTCAGTGGGCCCTTACCTGGTAAAATATTTATTTTGATGAACTCGCAGGAGGAGGGATCTCGAGTTACAGCAGCTCCCCGTCCGGGGCCGGGGAGTCACTCCGGGCGTGCATGGACAAGGCCAAGGCCATCGTGCCCAAGGACCGCTGGGCTGACACCCCGCTGGCTCTGGGGGCCACTGCCGGCATGAGGCTCCTGGAGTGAGTGCCGGAGGGGGGCCCCCCCTTGACCTGCATTACCCACCACACATTGTCTATGGGATTCCAACAGAGAAGGTTGGAGCATGACTAGAGATAGACTACGCAGATTCACTTGAATCTGTGGTGCGACATCTCAGACCGTGCAACGTATCGTGACTGACTGCCCAATCGGATCATTCAACGGCGACCTGAAACAAATCCGCACGGATTGTCCTGAAGCAGTCGAATGGATATCAAATCTCGACATGAATTTGTAATCTGTTTCAAACCCCAACAATTTTATACGAAAGAAGAAGACTTGAATCGAAAATTGAACTCAATATTGTTCGGGTGAATTGAATGTATGGGCATGTCTATGTATGATGAGCTTCTTTCGCACCGTACGTAGCTAACCCTACCGTGGCAAAGCAGTTATGGGTTCCAGTAGAAATGCATTATATTACTGTACTCACAATTGACAGTGTGCATATATTTACACCAATGCAAATAAATCATATGCTCTCGTCTAAAAAAATCAGTGACTATATAGGGTGTTGAACTAATACATTGAAATCCGGTTTTTTTATCTGGGCAGCCACCCATGATTCAACTGGTTTAGCAAGTTCTTACAATATTGAGAGTCTCAAAAAAGGTATTCAATATATTATTAAACAATTCAATATGGAATAATACCACTTAATTTTGCATTTATCAAGTTTTAGGATTTCAACGTTTTCATGTATGTTGATGTGATAGACAATATTAAAAAGGAGTGTCTATATCGTGGATGAAAAGATGTATTAAAGAGGCTTAAAACATAGAATTAGAGCGTGGTTAGAGAATGAGATTACAGTATCCAGATTCACTTAGATAATAAACGAGGACTCTTTATATGAGGGTGTTCCGTGACCCCCCCTTGATAGTTTACATGGCCTCAAAGTGCCCTGAGCCTCGCGCAAGTGCTGTATTGTTATCACCGTCACTTTATGGTGATTGGCAGCTGTGTTGTTGTCGGTGACCTAAATTTGATTCCTGGTCATGGCTAAAATAATTGCCCAAGCGATATTCGAACTGGTCCTGGGTCTCTCCATGGTCAACTCGGCTACAATGAGTTAACTGGTGAAGTTTGTGAATATCAGCAAAGACAAAGCTAGGCATGGAAAGACAAAAGGCAGCCGGGCACGGAACTGGTGGCACCAACCCGGTGAGGACCATTCTGTACTCAATGGGTGCCCTCTGTCAGCACTTCCACAGTCTGTATAGCTATATTGGGAAACCTTTGCATTTGTGCGAACACGTGTGTGTGTGTGCGCGTGTCTTTGTGGCCGTGTGTGTAGGATGAGTGACTCGGTGGCAGCGAAGGCAGTGCTGTCCTCGGTACGGGAAGTGCTCGGCTCGTATCCCTTCTCGTACCGTGAGGGGCGCATCATCTCAGGCCAGGAAGAGGGAACCTATGGTTGGATCACGGCCAATTACTTCTTGTACAACTTCATTCAGGCATGGAAACGACCCAACGCCCATCATAAATAGCCTTTTGCTGCTTAGCAATTGTACTTGTTATTACCGCTCGCTGTCAACAATATAATTGTGCATTTTATTGACGTCACAGTAATTATCACCATCATCGCATTAGGTATGTATGTATGTTGAACTTCTTTTGCGCCATATGTAAGGGGAAGGACACCAAACTAAACACAAAAAGTAGTTTTAGAGAAAATTAGTTTTCAATCTAGATTCAAAAGTGCATAGTTCCAGTGGCTTCCTAATATCGGAAGGAAGATAATTCCAGACAGCCGCAGAAGCGCATCTAAAAGTGCGCAATGCAGTGACCATCTTTGTTTGATGGCCAACCAAAAAGCGTGCATGATTGCCGACTACACCTTTCCGTTCACGGGGTTTTCCTTGGGACATGCCACTCTCCTCTCACCACAAAAATACTCAATGTGGAGTCGGTGAAATATTCCAAGTAGGATCCGCATAAGAAAGGTATCTTGAGACCAGTGCCGAGGGTGGGCTCCACACCACCAAATGTCCCATTCTCCCACCCAAGTTCGCTCTCCTTCGCGGTGCATCTCTGTTGTGGTGGCCCACGCTACGGTGCTCCTGCCCCCCTGCACCCCCCACGCTCATTTCAGGCTTCCTGGGTAATTAAATGACATTACTGTTCGACAATAACCTACATCCACAGTGGCCTTTGGTGAGCAGGGAATTTTAAATGCAGTGTTTGTGAATCCTCCCACATGAAATCATATAGCGTAGTTGAAATCAACTGATGCCGTGTCTGCATTTGAATTGCAATTTTCACTGGCTTACTGTATGCTGGGAGCTAAACTTTGGTGCTGTTGTAACAGCATAACACAGTCCCGTGCGTGGCATAGCGTGATTGGCATAGGTCCTGGTCCAAGGAATGATATGGGCCCCCCTGTTCAATTGCCTCCTCTGTATATAGCCCAGCCACTGGACCCCTCCGGCACGATCGATGGCTTTGCCGCAGAGTGTAACTCACCTGGCAAAAAGTGCAACCTCTGTTTTTGTCTGCTGTTGGATTATCCTCTCGACCCCTCAGTTCACATGGCTGGGCAAATGGCAATGGACCACATCCACGAAGCCCATAGGAGCCTTGGACCTGGGTGGAGCATCCACTCAGATCACATTTATGACTGAGGAGCCTCTGCAGGGCTCACCGGACAGCCTGACCATCCAGCTGTACGGAAGAAAGTACCACGTGTATTCCCACAGCTACCTGTGCTATGGACGTGACCAGGCAATCAAGCGCTTCCTCTCCACTTTATACAAGGTGGGCTCAACACGAGTGAGGCAAGTCTGGAGATATGCCAAAATATAGGCACGTTCATACACAAACACACGTGATAATTATTATAATGTCATAGTTAAATTTAGATTTAAAGCTTTCGTGACTGCAGAGATTCATATTCTTGGTACTTTCGGTAAAGTCGCGTAGAAGGGAAACAATAAAATAATAAAAACATAAACAATAAAATTATCACGACGTTTCGACTGCAACACAAGCAATCATCATCAGGTGTGAATACCACAGCAAGAAAATTTGAAAAAAGTGGCGTTTTTTTAACGTTAGCACCATGGAGAGCGATTTGGCAGTTTGTTCAGATGGACGAGTCCATCTATGTTCGGAAAAGAGGAGGGGGGAGACGAAAAATAATGGATGCGGTCTGAAAGCCACCTTAAGCGTGATCAATCAATTAAGACCCGAAATGGTTTATCAAATCCTTCCAATGATTGCTAAGCCAGAATCCATCCATCTTCTCGGTTGAAATTGTCTCTGTTTGTACATGTGGATAGCCTCATGAACGAATCTCTCATGGTAGCCAGATGGCTTGCAAATAACCTCTGTCTTGGAGAAGTCAATGTCATGTGAGCCTACTGAATTATAACAGTGATCTGCCACGGCCGATGTGTTGGTCCTACCGTGTTTCAGGTCTGCTTTGTGTTCACGAATGCGGTCTGAGACATGTCGTTTGGTTTCTCCAATGTAACTACTACCACAGAGGCAACTTAGTTTGTAGACGCCAGGATACTGTATGTCCGGAATCACATCTTTTACAGACGGAACCAGATCAGGAATTTTATGTAATGTGTTGAATCGGACCTGGATCTTGTGTTTATTCAAGATTTGGGAGATCTTTTTTGTGATCCCCGCAATGTAGGGTAAAGTGATGGTTTTGAAAGGCTCCTCAAGAGGGTCCTTCTTCATGGTTGGAGTGATAGCTTTACGGATTGTGTAGTCGGAATAACCATTAGCCTTAAGAGCTTGGTGTACGTGCTTGAGTTCGCTGGCTATGTGTTCCTGGTCGGATATGCATTGGGCTCTATGGTGCAGAGTCTTGATGAGGGAATTCTTCTGGGATGGATGGTGGTGGGAATCCGGTTTCAGGTAAGCATCCGTATGGGTATCTTCCCTGTAGACAGAGTGGCTCATTGAACCATCAGGTCTCTTTTTTATTAGGACATCCAAAAAAGGTAGCTTGCCGTCTTTTTCGACTTCCATGGTAAATCTGATGGCTGGGTGTATGGAATTGATGTGGTCGAAGAATTGGTCTAGAGCAGGCCGGCCATGTGGCCAGATGACAAAAGTGTCATCCACGTACCTCTTCCATAAGGTTGGGCGCAGAGTGGCAGTCTGGATGACGTCAGTCTCAAATTTCTCCATGAAAATGTTGGCTACAACCGGAGATAGGGGGGAGCCCATTGGGGTGCCCTCAGTTTGTTTGTAGAAAGTTCCATGCCAAGTGAAGTATGTATTAGTCAAGCAGTGTCTCACCAGGGGGGGTACCTCAGTGTTTAGTCCTTGATGAACCAAGTCTTAATTGATTGTTCACGCTTACGGTGGCTTTCAGACCGCATCCATTATTTGTCGTCTCCCCCCTCCTCTTTTCCGAACATAGATGGACTCGTCCATCTGAACAAACTGTCAAATCGCTGTCCGTGGTGCTAAAGTTAAAAAAACGCCACTTTTTTCAAATTTTCTTGCTGTGGTTTTCACACCTGATGATGATTGCTTGTGTTGCAGTCGAACGTCGTGAGAATTTCATTGTTTTATATTTGTATTATTTTATTGTTCCCTTCTACGTGACTTTACCGAAAGAACCAAGAATATAATGTCATAGTTGATAGCATTTTGTTAATTCACTGCTGAATGAAAGCCTGCCGAAGACATGCCAGTCATGGCTTGGCGTCAGAGTGTATTGGTGAGTAAAGGTGTTGCCCAGGATCGGTTCAAATATCACTTCACATATCACTCGTCACCGTTGTTAATTAAACTCGTGTTACCAAGTTCATTGCACAGTGTATTAACGACAACATAGAAACAGGAGCTTTGTGATTGGTGACATGCATTGATGTTAATAAGACGAGCTGTTGTACTTGACTGAAAACTTAATATATTGCATTGCTTTCGTCGTGTTGGCTACACAAACAAAATGTTTAGAGAAACAAAACTCTAACTCATGATCCAATTCACACCCTCAAAGGCTTCTCCTGGAGCCCTGGTGGACAACCCATGCTACCCAACATTATACTCCGTTGCGTACAACCTCAGCTTCATCTACGACAGTCCCTGTACGAGCGATGCGAGGCCGGCGAATTATGATCCCAACCAGTCCGTCACTTTCCGAGGCACGGCAAACCCTGCCGAATGCAGCAACACGATCTCCAGCATCTTTAACTTCTCCGCCTGCAGCTCGCCCAACTGCACCTTCGACGGAGTCTGGCAGCCGCCCGTGCGAGGCCAGTTCTTGGTAACGTATCACTTCTTATTCTTCTTCTTTCATATGGCCGATGTAGATGCAGAGCCACAACTACGTTTTCACGTTCAGGTGGGCAAGCCTGATAACTGCTGCGTCAGGGGCAGCGGAGTGTATCGCTGTGATGTCATTTGTGGGTCAAGTGTTGCGTCGTTAAACAGCGTGCTTCAAAAAAATGTTAACACACGGGAGAGTTTCGTTTTCAACGGAAAAAGAACGGATTATACAATGTAACGTGACAACAAATGTACGTTAATAGCTAAGTCAAAAAGTATCCACTTGTTCGCCATTATTGTCAACGCATGCCTGGAATCTTCTCCAGGTGGTCTGCAGAGCCCGGAGGCACATTCATCGTGGTATTGTTGCAAATTCTCGGATGCGTTAACATATTTTTGAAGCAACCTCTATGTTGTACGGTCTGTTCTGGATAACCACAGTCGCACGCTACTGGAGAGTTTTGAATCTTCCATTTGTGCATCAGCCATGGCTCGTGCGGATGCTATTTAGGGTGGACCACGAGTTTCGTGGAAGATCAAACCCAGGGATCTTCTGCGTTGGGTCTTTCACAAGTAGTTGTATCATTACTTCGAATCAACAACTGTAATCTTGCAGGAGATTCAAACGCAGTCGCCGTATGTACAGCCTTTATACTTTCGCGGAAGTTTACCTGGGAATTTGAGATCACGTTTCAAAGACTTAATCCGTTTTGACGATTTCGGTCCTCTCGCGCACGGCAATTTCTGTTCAGGAGCGAAATGCCAACGTCGAGTTGCGCTCGCCAGGAAGAGGGGCTCCGGGTGAGAGAGTGCGTGCGTAGTTTTTTTCTGCGTCCTCAGTTCAATGAGTGCAGACAAGCGGTGGTTCACGATGTGGGTGGGGCACGGTGGTTCACGATGTGGGTGGGGCACGGTGGTTCACGATGTAGGTGGGGCACGGTGGTTCACGATGTGGGTGGGGCACGGTGGTTCACGATGTGGGTGGGGCACGGTGGTTCACGATGTAGGTGGGGCACGGTGGTTCACGATGTAGGTGGGGCACGGTGGTTCACGATGTGGGTGAGGCACGGTGGTTCACGATGTGGGTGGGGCACGGTGGTTCACGATGTGGGTGGGGCACGGTGGTTCACGATGTGGGTGGGGCACGGTGGTTCACGATGTGGGTGGGGCACGGTGGTTCACGATGTAGGTGGGGCACGGTGGTTCACGATGTGGGTGGGGCACGGTGGTTCACGATGTGGGTGGGGCACGGTGGTTCACGATGTGAGTGGGGCACGGTGGTTCACGATGTAGGTGGGGCACGGTGGTTCACGATGTAGGTGGGGCACGGTGGTTCACGATGTGGGTGGGGCACGGTGGTTCACGATGTGGGTGGGGCACGGTGGTTCACGATGTGGGTGGGGCACGGTGGTTCACGATGTGGGTGGGGCACGGTGGTTCACGATGTGGGTGGGGCACGGTGGTTCACGATGTGGGTGGGGCACGGTGGTTCACGATGTGGGTGGGGCACGGTGGTTCACGATGTGGGTGGGGCACGGTGGTTCACGATGTGGGTGGGGCACGGTGGTTCACGATGCGGGTGGGGCACGGTGGTTCACGATGTAGGTGGGGCACGGTGGTTCACGATGTAGGTGGGGCACGGTGGTTCACGATGTGGGTGGGGCACGGTGGTTCACGATGTGGGTGGGACACGGTGGTTCACGATGTGGGTGGGGCACGGTGGTTCACGATGTGGGTGGGGCACGGTGGTTCACGATGTGGGTGGGGCACGGTGGTTCACGATGTGGGTGGGGCACGGTGGTTCACGATGTAGGTGAGATACGGTGGTTCACGATGTGGGTGGGGCACGGTGGTTCACGATGTGGGTGGGGCACGGTGGTTCACGATGTAGGTGGGGCACGGTGGTTCACGATGTGGGTGGGGCACGGTGGTTCACGATGTAGGTGGGGCACGGTGGTTCACGATGTGGGTGGGGCACGGTGGTTCACGATGTAGGTGGGGCACGGTGGTTCACGATGTGGGTGGGGCACGGTGGTTCACGATGTGGGTGGGGCACGGTGGTTCACGATGTAGGTGAGATACGGTGGTTCACGATGTGGGTGGGACACGGTGGTTCACGATGTGGGTGGGGCACGGTGGTTCACGATGTAGGTGGGGCACGGTGGTTCACGATGTGGGTGGGGCACGGTGGTTCACGATGTGGGTGGGGCACGGTGGTTCACGATGTAGGTGGGGCACGGTGGTTCACGATGTGGGTGGGGCACGGTGGTTCACGATGTGGGTGGGGCACGGTGATTCACGATGTAGGTGGGGCACGGTGGTTCACGAAGTGGGTGGGGCACGGTGGTTCACGATGTAGGTGGGGCACGGTGGTTCACGATGTAGGTGGGGCGCGGTGGGCCTTCTCACGGGCCCACCTGTTTTGTGTTTTCGTGGTCCCTTGAGGTAACACGAATGCCATCACTGAGGCGGCGACGAACCTCGTTCATTCGTAATCCAGATGCCATCAGTCATGTCAATGTTCACAAGCATGGAGCTATGTAACCAGTTCATGATCAATTTCTGCAAAAGCATGCTTGAGTGGTAGACTGAAGTTCAGTATGTTATTATTTGAGCAATACATTGCAGCTATGTAATGACACTCTTAATGGGGAATTAATTGAGTGACAGTGATTGTGTTTAATTCAGGTTTTTTTGGGGGGTTAGGTCGCGTAAATATATACATGTGTCGTTAAAACCCGCCACCACCCGACACAGCCAACTAGTAAGGGTTGTCACGTAAACAGAACGTGGCCAATTCGTCACCAGTACAGCACTAACCGGTGTGTTAGAGAGCCAAGCCACAACATTTACAATCTGAGTACGACGTTTCGCCAATAATTACAACTAGCTTCATCAGGCGACAGCCAGATTTGTGGATAAGTCCACCTCAAATAGAGGGGTGGATGTGGTGACAACACGTGTGCGCTCATCTTGCGCGAAGTGGGGGGTGGGAGGGTTAATGAATCAACATACATTATGCATGCGCGTTATGCGAGCCCATTGATCTTGTACTTCCTGTCCATTGTGTGTACTAAAATAGCTGTGGGGCCGTCCATAAATGACGTCACGCGATTTTGTATGATTTTTGACTCCCCCCCCCCCCCTCGTCACACGGCGTCACAAAAAGTCAGACCCCCCTCAAATATGACGTCACAAAGCTCTGCCCCCTCTCCTCCCCAAACCATATTTCCATTTTGAAAATAAAACATGCTTCAAATCGCTTTAAACTATTGTCATTGTAGTGCGTATTTAATGTGGCGCTGCACTCTGATGTTGTAGGAGTGTTGTTATAACAATTCTATAGTTATTTAAAGTTGCGCATTTTGATGTGACGTCACATTTCTCAACCCCCCCCCCCTCGTCACACATCGTCACAAATGTCTGACCCCCCCCCCCCTCTAGGTGCGTGACGTCATTTATGGACGGCCCCTGTACACATTTATATATTTACGCGATTTAACCCGCGAAAAATGCTGTACTGTGGATGATATTGGTCACGAAAGCCTACGTGTTAAACTGATTGTGTCCACGTGTGTGTGTGTGGAGCACTGTGTTCTGATTAACGTTTGTATCCTCAGGCTTTCTCATCTTTCTTTTACACCATGGATGCGTTCAACTTAACCAACTCGAAAGCCTCTCTGAACGTCGTCAAGGACGCTTTCGATTCTCACTGCGTGAAAACCTGGACTGAGGTTTGTGACGGAACAACGCTCGCTGGCGTGTGTGTGTGCGTGTGCGCGTATCCTCACCGTGATCACAGCATCAGCACGGTCTTTATCCAACTCGAGATAGAGCGTTCATATTGCAGGGAGACATTTTACGTGACAAAATAACCTCAAATTGGACGAGATACGAATCTCGATACTATGATTGCAGACGAGGAAGCTATCCAGTTGAAGCACTGCATGCCTACATTATACGTGCGTGTTTTTTTTTTAGTCATAGATGTTTTCTCAATGTGGATCGGTGAAAAGTACTTACGGAGTGGCAGCCAAAGATTTAAATGCATACGAGAGGAGATGGATCGATGAAATCAACCTGCGTGCAGAAGCAGGATAGAATATTACATCGCAGGATCGCAAGAGGTGGTGAAAGTTTGGAAAGGCCTTTATCCAGCGGCGAATTGACCTTGGCTGATGATGTATATTTTCTCAGCGCGCACAACTTAGATGCGAGAATTGCTGGGTTGTCAAGTTGTGGGATCGTCAGGCCATTGGTGCTGGCTGAGGTGCCAATCAGTAAATCACACACTAGTATCATCATCAAAAGCCATGATCTAACCACTGCTGGATGAATTCCATCCAACGTCCCCCACCATCTCTCACAGTTTTGCTATCCCATAATCCAGTGTTCTTCACTACTTTTCAGGGGAGGGCCACTTCTGCCGATAAGACATCGATGTGAGGGCCACCACGCATTTGAAACCATCGGGGATTGACAGCAGCACGTCAGGGGCGGCACTAAAGGCCACCAGGGGCCACCAGGGACCACCAGTGGCCCACGGGGCCTTGCGATGAAGATCAGCGCCATAATCCATTCGGCTCCTGCACACGAACCCCACGTCGCAGTCGCTCCATCTCCCCGAAGGAAGCGCTTTCGCGTTCATTATGTCCTTTGGCAGCCACTCCATTTTGTTGGTCTCACCTCCCCGTCATCATCACTTCTTGCCATTTAACAATTTTAAAAAAACATCGTCTCTAATTTGCATACCTCTCAACCCCTTATCAGTGCCCTACCTTATTACAGACCAATTCAGACCTTATTGGTCACCCCGTGCCCTTATAAATGTCAACGTTCATCCTACAAAATCTCATCACAAGGAGAGAAACGCAAACAAATAGACAACAAACATTGTTATTTTGCCCGTATTAAAACCGCTGTGCGCCGTATGGACCTGGAAACTCCATTTCCCTGTACAAGAATACGGGGTAAAACCCTATGGGTTGGCAGCTATGAATTTGCATCTGTTCCTCTCATCCATAATGTTCTCACCCATAATTCTACATCGTTGTGCCAGAATTCAAGAGGTGGGTGGCCCCGGCTGGGCGGGGGTGCTGTTTTAGTCAAAGTAAATGTTGTATGCCTGATTGCGTCGTCGTACGAGATGTGTGACGCGCGTTGTTGTGGTGTGCGTTGTACGTGAGCTGTGTGTGTGTGTGTGTCTCGGAGGGTGAGGTGGGACGTTGGGATGTGGCGGTGAAAAAGCATTGCCCCACTAAAATGCGTGGCGTCTGTTTGGCTCGCGTGTGTGAGCGTGAATGTCCTTTTGTTTTAAATCCAACGTGTGCACCCTGAAACATTTCTTTACGAAGGAGTGAACGAAAAATGGTGCGTAAAAAGCAATTAGTGTTCGTTTAACGATACATTTATTGTGCACTTAGCATTGGTTCGTCATGCAAAAAAAATCACCATTTCTCGTGATGTATAGATTTTATTGGTTATAAATGCCTTAAAAGTGTGCGGGTGTGTGTGTTATGCGTGCATTTGACGTGGTAGCTCTGGAATTTGTTGAGAAGATGACCCTGCCATAAATTCATTTGGATAATGACGTTATCTAGATCTCATCCTTGAAGGTTTAATCGTAGTCTATTATGTCTTAAAAATAGATGCATTTTGCAATATTCGAAGCTTTTCATCTCAAACTCTGGATGTTCGTGGAATCAGAACAGCTAATAATTAATAATTTAACAAGTGAGTTGTTTAAGAGTGAACTTTGTCCTCAGGTGACAGCTCAAAATCCCGGAATTAAAGCCGACCGCTTGAAAGACTACTGCTTTCAGGCATATTATGTTGACACGCTGTTGACTAAAGGCTACAAATTTGACACAGACAACTGGCAAAGCATCACTTTTCAGCAGACGGTAAGTATTCCGAGCCCTATAAGTCACATTTATTCTTGGTAAAATAATGCACATCAATTGCATAATTGATGCAGAAAAACTGAATACTCGTCATAATGTGTAAACCATGATCCGGCAGGTCACCCTGGTTATTACTGTGGGTGTATTTACCATAAAATATGCAACCAGATGCATAACAATGGACATCAACGAACCCCTGCTGTCAATAAAAATGAATAGGCCATTGTGTGCCGGCGTAATGGCCTAAATGTTGCCATATCCGCATACTACGCAATTAAAATGACACACAGCAATCATCCCACCCTACTAGCAGACAAATTCCCGCTCGGGCCAAGTGCTGGAGTCACCGTTGTGCCACACAGAATCAGAAGCCGCTGAGGGATGCCCTTTCGCATGAGATAAGATGAGACGCGAGTCGTTTTTGGCGTGTAAAGCCCTCGAAGATGCTCCTGGCACGAAGGGCAATTATCTCTATCAAGAACAGCGCGGGTCCCACGGAACCCACCCGCCTACCTCTTCCCAAGATGTCTGAGCCAGTATCGAATATTCTCTAGAGCAGTGGTTCTTAATCTTTATTGCAGTCTTGCGCCCATTTGGTTATCAATCGTAAAATATAAAGTATGTTAATAAATACATAGGGTTTGATGAAACAAAGTAGTTGTATTTTGATTTAAAGCTTTCGTGACTGCAAGGATTCATATTCTTGGTTCTTTCGGTAAAGTCACGAAGAAGGGAAACAATAAAATAAAAATATAAAACAATAAAATTCTCACGACGTTTCGTGAGAATTTTATTGTTTTATATATTTTTATTAAAACAATAAAATTCTCACGACGTTTCGTGAGAATTTTATTGTTTTATATATTTTTATTATTTTATTGTTTCCCTTCTACGTGACTTTACCGAAAGAACCAAGAATATAAAGTAGTTGTACTTACATGCTCGTGCTTAATTTGTGTTTCGTTGATTAACCTTCTAAAACAATCTGGCCACGTCTCGCACCTCAAGAAAAGGGCATCTCGCACCTTCAGGGGGTGGGCGCACCTCAAGTTAAGAACCACCGCTCTAGAGTCTAGAGCAGGCTTCGGCAAAACCTGTGGCTGCGGAGCCGCGTGCGGCTACTTAAGGAACTGCTTAGTGACAGTTGTTCATTCAGGATCACCGTCTCGTATTCGCATGCATTGCGGCTCTTGACATATTGAGGGTTTTTATTGTTGTTGTTGTTGTTTACTGAGTTCCAAAAACAATGGCTCTTCCCGTTATTTTGGTTGCCGACCCGTGGTCTAGAATGGAATGCCCTTAAGTGAAACCCCCTTCCTTCCGCCAGCAGTTGCGTGAGCAAGCAATTTTAGGGCTGCACCTTTACGGTTTACATTTACTTCCAGTGGCGTTACCTTTGACGTACGACTGTGACGCAGCATTGTAAATCTCTAGGTGATGTCTCACCCGTTTTACAAATAACGAAGCTCAGGAATGTTCCGTCAATAACGCTGCCTTGAGTTGAAAAACTAAGTTCTTGTTTCTGTTCTAGGCGGGAGGTGGGAACCTGGGTTGGGCCCTTGGGTTCATGCTCAACGTTACGAACATGGTGCCCGCGGAGATGCTCCCAGAGCTGTACAGCACGGCCGCCCTGGGCTTGGGTTTCGTCGGCACCCTGCTCATCCTCACCTTCATCATTGTATTATTTTGGGTGCACCACCTGAAGCATAAGTAGCATTCGCCGTCTCGGCTACACTAACAGGGTGGGATGATACATATGTATACGGGTATTTTAGCTAACACATTGAGAAGTGAATTAAAATCTTTTTTTTATGTAGAGGTGCATGTTGGGTGGCAGTGTGGCACAGTGCCTCAGAGAAAAAAAAGGGCCTGGGTTTAATTCCTAACTCTGGAACTTTTATGTGTGGAGTTTGTATGTTCTTCCATTTTTATGCATGGGTTTCCTCTGGGTTTTCCTGTTTCCTCCCAAAGCTAACATAAACCACACACAATGTAACTATTATTGGCCAAAACATTCCAATGATAAAGAGCTACTTAAAAACTACTTAATTGGGATGACACAATAATATCACCCAGTATCAAAGTATGAAAAATTATAGGTTTTTACCCTTTCTGGTAATAAAATAGATGTTAAGATGTTCACACACCAAATATAAACCTGTTTCAAAGAATCAAGTCTGCATTAACCACCCGTACTTATGATGAACATGCAAACAAACATTATCTGATAATATATTCATTATCTTTGAAGCTGATTGCCCTACACCAGAGACAGTAGCCTTCTTTAAAACCCAGTCTCACCACCAGTGGTAGACCAGTGAACGGAGAATATTCAGTCAGAAATTAAGCTCGAGTTGGAGCTATGTGTTGTTATATGAAGCTCATCTTTACATACATGAACCTCGAGCAAAACCTTGCACCCAAAAGCTGTCCCATGTACCACTCAACATATGTTTTTATGGACCCTGCAACTTCTACAATGAAGTGGAAATGTGGAACGAGTGGGGGTTGTCTCTTGGGGTTTGGTGTTGAGAATCATCCAAAAGATGGACATACACATTACATGTTTTATTGTCTTTTTATTCAAATTGCAGCCTACATTAGAATTTATTTCAAATGCACCACAATGCATTTTAAAACCGCAATTACTAACAGTTGTTTCAGCTGATTTCCCAAAACCAGTATAACATTTTAAAAAATCATACTACTTTTGAGCTATTTTATACACATTGAATCGTGATCACAAACATCAAACGAGTTATTTTGCATTCAGTCACAAATCTCAAACGTGTTCAACTGAAGACTTACAATGGCAGTTGCCACGTTGTTTTATAATTTAACGTGGCAACTATTCTTTGCAAGCCATCTGGCTACCATGAGAGATTTGTTCATGAGGCTATCCACATATACAAACACAGAGACAATTTCAACCGAGAAGATGGATTCTGGCTTAGCAATCATTGGAAGGATTTGATAAACCATTTCGAGTCTTAATTGATTGTTCACGCTTACGGTGGCTTTCAGACCGCATCCATTATTTTCGTCTCCCCCCTCCTCTTTTCCGAACATACATGGACTCGTCCATCTGAATAACTGCCACATCGCTCTCCATGGTGCTAACGATAAAAAAGCCACTTTTTTCAAAATTTCTTGCTGTGGTTTTCATACCTGATGATGATTGCTTGTGTTGCAGTCGAAACGTAGTGAGAATCTTATTATTTTATTGTTTCCCTTCTACGTGACTTTACCGAAAGAACCAAGAATATGAATCCCTGCAGTCACGAAAGCTTTAAATCAAAATTTAACGTGGCAACTGTAGAAGCCTTGAGTGACTGCATGGGTCACATGAATCTATTGCAAGTATACAAATCGAACAGATTCTTAAATAAATCAATGGTGCATGTATCGAGAGCTTAAGAATCAATATCGATAAGTCGATGTACCGTTACATTTTAATTGGTAATCGTCATTCAAAGGCACTTCGTCTTTCACTAACCTTAACAAAATAATCCATTTGTAAACAAGATGAAACCCAAATGTATGAGAACAGTTAATAAAATCCAAGTGCCAAGTGAAAACATTAACCTATATTTCATTTTCATCCTGGCAAAATTATTAACCCACTTGGAACACCTACCAGAACGAAACCATGTGTTAAAGTGAGCAGTGGCAATCCCTTTGGCACGAATACACCACGTAAGTCGAGCATCATACAACTCCTTAATGCCCGAACATTGGTTGTGTTGTTCACATCCCACAAGTGTTCTAGCCTCGGAACTCTTTGGACATCTAGCACCGCAGAACCAAACGCTTAAAACATAGCCTATCAAGCACCCTTAACAACAGGCCAAGTAAAGTCAACGCAAGGGATTTGCAGGAAAGTAAATCCTCAGATCGCACCACTTTTTATAGTCTGTTTGCATTTAAAATCATGATTTTCCGCATTCCATTGGATTTATAATTATTGCCACATTGTTACCTGTTAAAAGTATGGTCTGCATCAGTGCCTGACGATCACAAGAGTTTATTGGTATTTCAACACTTCCACGTGTAAATAGCTGTGTGCTTCATTTTAGAAGCATGTTCCTTTTACTGTCGTCATGTAACTAGTTTTGTTTGCACCTGCACAAATACCCCCCCATAGACTTAACAGACTGTTGGGGCAAGTACTGTTAGCAAAGCACCCACAACAGAAGAGTCATTCCTGGTTGTCTGATCTTATCCTGCCAAGTGGAGGATAGGTTATCCAGCACCATGCCCAGGCTGCCTTGGCCTCCCCAGTGAGAACGTTTATACATCATTTGAGGCTGAGTCGACCTAGGGGAGGCCCATTACTGGTTCAGATAATCCTCACTTGTTGGCCATGAGCAGGAATCGAACTCGTCTTGCCGGATTCGTAGGTGCAGCGCACTATCTACCTTACTGCAGCTCCCCACATATACACTATAGATTGGCAAAACATATGAACATACAGCAATATAGAAATCAACACCACTGCTCATTTGCACACCTAAAATCATCGAGGCAGAAAGAATAAAAAGGCCGAAAAGCAGCAGTTATTACTGCCACATGTATCCATTTCAAATGGGAATTCCAAAAGGCGAAAGGTTACATCTTCCCACCAATTTGATTTATAAGTGACCTCCACGGTCCAAAAGAAGGCATGTCTCTCTTTATGGCTATTCTCCTGGAATGGGACACGATACAGGGTTGGGAGGAATTCATAAGGTCTTCGGACCAAATTAGGCAATGTCTCAATGTTGCGCATGAATCACTTAACTCAACCAAGTTAATCATCCAACATGGCCAATAAAAAAAACAGGCTGGTGCATTTTCCCAAATTTATAATGGAACAACCTATGATTAAACCAGATGTAATGTACATCATTAGACCTCTTTTGCCAGTACCAAAATATAGCACCAAATGGTTCGAGGCTCAAAAGGTGTGGACCAATCAGTTTCAAGGACAATGCATATATTATCATAGTATGTTTTTTGTTTGCATTTTGACTGCAGGTATTGTGGTTAATGCAGACATGAATCCTCGTAAAAAGGTTTCAGTTTTGTTGCCAGAAAAAAAAAGGGAAAAACCCTATTATCACATGTAATGTCTCTGATCTCTGAAGCCGATGTAAGTTGGAGCCTGCATCGAATTTGGATGAGTGATCACCACGAAAGTGGTCATCGGGCTTTCAGGCTATGTGATGAGCATTAGACGACAGTGTTGTTTCGAGACTTTTTATCCTCCCAGATATACAGCCACAGATTTCACCAACCTACACTAACAGATGTGATGTATGGTCAATTACCCCCATGATCTGCATGGCATGGAGAGGTCCTCATCCACCAGTTGATTTACAGAAGAGTTGTACATGAACACACCATGTATACTGCTTTAAATGAATTGCTTAATGGTTTTCTTTCATATTCTCATAAACAGTATATTACAGTTTATTTTATGAATGTACAATGCTGTGTAATAAAATCAAAAACTTTAAAGTTAAAAAAGGCTGCTCGAGCAGTAACTCCCACCAAAGAAATCTAAATGTTTAATGAGGGGCATGCTTGTAGGATAGATAGGGTGTGGAACTAACGTCATTGTTTTTGAGTCAATTTAACCAAATTCTGCATGAAGTGTCATGCATATCTAAGGTCTTCGTTAAAGTATGGATTATAAAAACATTAAAGTGGCCATTCTTTGCTGCAGCTTTTCACAAATGTATTCCAATTGTAAACTAATCGCAAGTCTTTAAAACTTTTCCTCGACAAAACTCTCTATGGCCATAAACTATTCATCAGCATGCACAACAAGTATGTGTGAACTGATAAATAATATTAAAATAATAATGTACAACCCTTTGTAAACCCACCACTGGATGAAGGCCTTACGGTGAGGGTTTTTGTCTACCATATTTTACCACATTGGTCGGTGTGGATTGGTTCAAAGGAAGAGGGTGGGGTGCAGGTTATATATCACTCATCGCTGATGCAAACACTGGTTGCCAGGTGCATAGTGCAGTAAGCTAATCATTGAAAGACTGCTCCACCCCTAAAAAAAAAATATATAGGAAATGTGAATTTCAGCTATTATTATTATTCCGCAGACTTCGAATGATTGGATTACCAGGATAGAAGTTGCAAGGTCTGGACTTGAGAGCTGTTGGGCTCTTCCTCTGTAAAGTAGGTGTTCCTGTGCAAGTCTCTAGAGCTTAGGGCGGAGTGAGCCCACCACTGGCTTGATGGAGGACATCTCCTGCCACCAGGATGGCCGCTCCAGCACACCTGGTCCCTGCAGCATGGTGCTCCACAGGTTCTGGTAGATCTGGTGGACAGAAGAAACCATGGCAATGGTGGAAATGATGGAAATAATCAGGCATGAGCTTTCCGTGAAAGGCTTAAGCAACTGGTTGCGATTATTCCCATAATTGTTTAAGTGATGTCACTGAACAAATCGGGAAAAAAAACACACACACACACTTAGAAATATAACGTCCTGGGATGATAGGAATTATAATAAATATGATTAAAGTCGCGTTTATTTGTCAAGAAAATTGTTCGCAAGTGAACGTCTACTAAAGTTCTTATTGCCTTGTAAAAACAGTTAATTTGAGTGGGATCATTCCTAGTTTTAAACAAAGGAATTAATAAACTGTCTGATGTGCTAATTTTAAACAAGACATTAGAATTAACAAGCATATATAACAACAGAGGAGAGGCGTGGATGATGACCTGTCCATCAGCACGTCCAATGGGAGAGTTGAGGATGAAGTCTGGAGGTGCAAAGACATCCACTAATGCCACAGCTTCATCCTTTAACTGCAAAACACAAGCGAAGGAGTAGTAACAAACATTAAAGCGATAACCATATGCCCTACTGCCCTGTGCACACTTCAAGAACTCCACGACAAGCAACTAAAATACACTCTATTGATACTTGTAAGGATGCCACACGTGCAAAATGTTCATGTAGTTTGAAGTGGTATCAGAGATTATAACACCCATCAACATGGTTCAGTGTGTCTAGTGTAGGCACTGGTAAAGTGCACAATGAGACAGCACCTGAGCACAAAGGCGGACGATTGAGTTCCTTATGAGCTGCAGGGGAGCACTGGCAATGATGTAGCCTCCTGTAACGGCAAGCAAAATATAATTGAAACAAAATTTCGGGAAAGATTAGAAAAACACTTCCTTATCATTGACGGATATCCTCCATAAAGGCATACAAATCTCATTTATATATAAATCCTGGAGAGGTAATTTTGCCAGGCCAAAGGGATTATTGATCTGTTAGAATACTGGGGTTAATTTAACTAGCATTTTAGTGGAATCTGAATGCTCCAAGGACATCCAGGAACTTTTGGCTCATGTTTCATCTGGGGAAGGCAATGCCTACAACACAATGCCAAACAGCTTTTACAGCATGTGGTAAAACAGATAAAATTGGATGCAAGAGTAAAATGTATTAGAATTATGAATAATTAATGTGCCTAACGTTTTCCTATAGTGATGAGAACAGCGTTTATCATTTTGATGAATTATAGAGACAAGTTCATCTTAGATGCACTACAACGACGGCCCTGTATCTGGCCGTCGTGCTCCACTTTTAAAACACTAAAACTTATTTTTAGTGGCCAATGTACGCAAGCCTAACATTCCACATAGTTCTATAATATCTGCAGTGTAAAACACGCAGAGCACCATAGAGCCCCCTTTGCAAGAAGTCCATTGGCACTGCCTGCTATGCAGGCACAGATGACATGACGCTGCCAAGGCCCGCTCTGGACAGTGAAGGAAGTCAGAGGGGCGGAGAGATGTGTGGTACCCTGGTAGAGCGTGGCCGCATGCTTCTCCAGGCTCCAGAGGCCGTACAGTGCAGCCAGGCGGTGCAGCACAGGCTGCAGACCTGCTGGTACCGCCGGGTCGTGCACCAGCGTGTGGAACCGCTCCAACACCACATGCTCCACAAAAGCAATCGCCAACGAGCGGCAGTAGAACACCTGTGCATAACAAATGAAATGCAAGTTCTGACATGCACCATGGCTTTAGGCAGAGACAGATGAATTAGCTTCATTAACAGAAATGTAAAAGTCGACTGCAGCCGAGGGCAGTTCAGTGAAATTATTGTAATCTGCTTCTATGCTCCCCCGTCTATGCTTATCGCCGTCACCGACCCACACTGACCGGCGAGGTACAAGGTAGAATATCCCCCACGATCCACATAAAGTAGTGAGGCCTTCGTCCAAAAGTATATTGACAAAATGACCGTCCACCGATCTCTCATTTTCATTGGAGAGCTGAACTACATCGTTGATATACTTGCAGTGATGCGTTATTATTGTTTCACGAGTCCACATGCACTAATTAGAGCGATTAATATTTATAAATTACTGTGCATGCTGTGTGCTTTATGAACTAGAAAAACACATGACAAACTGTGGAAGTAAACACATGTATGTAAAACGCGATCAATGCAGTAAACAACACCGCATATAATAAGATGTCATGAGGTTCCTGGGGGTGAATATTAAGTTTCTGTTCTGCAACAGCACCTCCTGTTGGTAGTCATGTGCATGTTCATATTTTGGTCATTTCGAACAGAGGTTCCCAAACTTTCTCAATTCACGACCCACCTGAGTAACCAGATAATTTTCTGGGACCCGTGCCCAGTGAGACAGTGTATGAAAAACAGTGGTGGCTGGTGACTTCTAAGTCAGAAGAGGCACAAGAACAAACCCTTACCAAGTGTCAGGAAGCAGCTTTGCTATGCATGAGTTAAATCGTGGATAATCGCATACGATAGGAATGAAAAAGTGCCGCGGATAATAGTTGGAGGACTCTAATGATAAAAGAAGTTGCGGGGTATCGGGCCGCGGATGAGAGGAGTTCTATAATTGTAAATGCAGCCTTTTGAGTCACAATTAAGTCTTTGGGCCCCAAAGTGATGGCATACGTGCCTGTGAGTTGTTCCTGGCCTCAAAGTCAGAGCTGCTAGCCGCTCTCTCCCGCTCGTACTTGCTGGTGCTCTCTCGGAGCAGGAAGCAAACCAGCCACTTGTACGCCGCCAGAGGCACTGCAAAGCAGCAACACAAACAGGCTTGTCACACAGTTAAATTGTAGCGGCAAAGCGTTCACAAAGTGCAAACTACATAGCCTTTTGAATCGTTAATATATCGAGTCTTTCCCGGGCTGAAAATGCAACATTTAAATGTTTATTTTTCAATGTAAAATGTATACTTCAATTGAACAAAGCTGATAAATTTCTCTTACTGGACGAATCAAGACATTCTTGTTCTGTTTTAGCCGAGAACTTTTGTTGCAGGATACTGATGCGGTCTCTGAGGAAGTCCACCGAGCCAGTTGGGGACTGGATGTCTGTTCGTGCAAATCATAAAACACTCAGTCACACCTTTCACATCTTCTCAGCAGCGTCCCATGTTTTTTCTCACAATATACAAGGCAATACATCACATTCCCCTAATGTGATGAATTGTCAATATTTAAGGTCATGATTCAAGAATCAATTATTTACAGTTTTTTGTTTGAATTTGTCGTTTGTGTTACATTGTTGGAAAATGTTGCTCACTGCAATACCGTATATTTAACATGAACAAAAATTTATTACGAATCACATATATTCAACTCTCATACATATTATTTGATCCATTTAATGAATGTACAAATGTATTTTCATTACCGAATCTAAGTGGCATCACATGCCCACAACATAGACATTTTAAAAATAAACCAAGTGGAGGCACAATTACATGCACATGGTTACATCTCTAATTCCCAGCATGCATCCAACTGCCTTTTCTGCGTGCACAATGCTCCTTTTTGCTTGCTCATGCACATTCCTTAATCCATTAACTCTCAGCCTGTCCCTCACGTACCATCTCCTTTGGACATACGTCACGTTAAATGTGATTTCCCTACACTCTCTCGCACCTGCTGGCTTCCGATTGACCCAGGACATGAGGTAGTTGCTGGTCTGCTGCAGGAGGACGTTGTTCTCTCCCTCGTACGTGCAATTGGGATCGTTACCATCCCGCAGCTCCCCCAGCCGGTTCACTGCAGCGCAGCACACAGTCGCAAGGGTTCCATGGAGAGCACATTTTCCCGGAAACCTTTCATACAGCACCACAATACCGCCATGTATATATGTGTGTGTTGAACTTCTTTAACACCGTACGTAGTCAACCATGCTAAATGGCTCCAGCCATTACTTAACGAGACGTTCATTGAATATTTAAATAAAATGATAATCTTTTAATGTTTCAAATATTGTTCGATCAATTAATTTAATTTCCAATGCTTGCAGCAGTTATTTTACTCAGAACACTTTTGAAAGGTGGGATGTCACATATCAATGGGCTCTCTTCATCATGATTAGCCATGACCAATCTAAGGCTCGATGAAAGCCTCCGCAAGCTCGTTGCAATACATCAGGGTCCCATCTGCCAACCACTGGGGACTGTAAGGGATGGCAACGGGACAGTAATATTCAACACGTCGCGTCAAGGATGTGCTGAGGATTACTGGGGGACAACTCATTAATACATAATCCCATGCAAGTGTAAACTATTATGAAATCAGCCCTTGGCCCACTGTAAATCAGAACATAGGTTGGCAAGGCATGGCTTAAATAGACTGCCCACGAGAAGGATTATTTTTAGTGATGGGGTGGAAACACAGGGGTGGGTGTAGAGGACAGAGGAGTCAGGAGTCATGGGTGTAGAGCTCAGGAAGGGCCCTCACTGGCCAGGTATCCATGGCCTCCACAGGCCTCACGGCTCTCCTGGATGGCGTCTCTTGCGGTCCACGCCGACAGGGCCTTACTGCTACTTGACAGAGCATGGATCTCACGGCCTAGCTCACTCTGTCCACGCCATAGGGGTCACATTTGTGGAAAAAAGATGGGATATCCAGTGATTAAAATATATAACCGAAACGAATAAACACTTCAAATGCGTATACATACATACATAAAGCAGTTCATTTTCATATTTCAATCAAATTTATTTTGGACGTGAATTTCTAAATATGAAAATCTTAACAGTAGACTCGTGTTTGGCAGGCAATATTGTAAAAAACAAAACAAATTTAAATCGTAAATAAAGACACGTTTTACCTGCCGCTCACTGTTGTCCTTCTGCATGATCCCCATCTGCAACTCTGCATAGTTGAAGAACAGTGTTTTGTAAAAATTGTTCCAGGCGTAGGTGGCAGCCAGAAAGGGAATCAGCCGCCATTGCTGTAAAATAAAAATGAGAATTGAATAAGAAAAAATATTGGTGAAATGCTGAAGGGGGTTAATTCATGTGAGACCACTGAGTAAGAACCACTGATAATCCTGTGTCTGAGCTTTAGGCAGTTATCCAAGTTGAAATGCATTCTTGTCCACAGTGAGATTGAAGGTCTCAGCCCAGTCACATACAGTATTTAAAGTCAGAGTAGTTTCCCATTCTATTTAGCATGGGGTGGTGGTCATATCCCATCTACAGCCCTGAGCCAGTGGTGGAAATTATTCATTTCCAAAGCACAACCACTTTTGTATTTCCCTACAAATGGGTACTCATTTTGATGCCCCAACAGAGAAGAAAGGCTGTGTCAACCTCCAACCAGAATCTGAACTTACAACCGCCTTTCAATTACGAAAAACCAGACACCCACAGATATTAAAGAGAAACATAACATGCAAAATTGGGTCTGCATATTTTCAAAGAATAAAATATATAACAGCAAATAAAAAAAACATGCATATCTAGATTTGTGGATGGATATTTACAATGGATGTTTAGCTTATACTGTGTGAGCATGTGACACAGCTGTAGACCATTTACCTGAAGTTGGTACTCCAGCACAGGGATTTCCTGGTTGTCTGTGGGGCCAAACTGGTGCCTAGCAGCTGAGTAGCGAATGCTGATGGTCATACAGATCTTGAGGTTGGTCACACCCATGCCTGTTATGCCCACACGACCACCAGACAGCATGCCCAGGCTGGCACCGAAACGACGCTTGGGGTCCTAGTGAATTGCAGAAGCAACACAATTCTGTACCGTCAAACATGAAAAAACAAGTTGCAGAGTAAGCGGCTCTGCTAAAGCAGCAGATCCTAAACATGAGGTTTTGTTCAAGCTTCCACAGCAAACCATATTTAGATTGTGACTATGTGCGTATGTTGAACTTAATTCGCGCCTTACTTAGCCAACCATACTAATCGGAGGTGCGGGGCAACTATTTATGAACATACCTTCCAGTAGGGCTCTAGAGCTCTCTCCCAGTGGAGGCCTTTCCACTTTTTAACCTTCACCTATGGCAACTGTATATAATAATCGCATACAGTGCCAAATTTACATTTGAGTTCAGAATAGGAGTAAATATTAACAAAGTATGTGGAACATGAGGACTGGGGTTTGAAAACATTTGTGCCGAATCATTAACATTATTCTGAGTAATGACACAAAGAGAATAAACACGTAATCCATCGTATTATTTTCAATAATTCAGCTGAAATGGAAGTACTTATTTATAAATAGGTTACATTACGGTGAACTATTTTTTTGTCAGTAAACCATAGAAATTAATGGTTGCATAAAAACACATGACATCCATGCAATGAGAGTCCACTGTTATTTCAGGTGACACCAACTGCACATGCAGATACACACATGTGAATGACGACGAATGAGTGCGAATGGGCATGTGAAGGACAACCGTCATTAGATACCTTATAAGGGGTGACGTATTTCCCTTCAGGTGTCACATCGCCAGTTTTGTTTAGCAAATTACCTCGAGGAATGCGGACGTTATTAAAGAAAACAAACCTGTACACAACAAACACGCATAAATTATGTGTATATATCAAATTAATTATTGATGTTTGTGTATTGTATAATCATACTTTTATATTCTTAAAACTTGTTTTTAGTAAATAATGTTAATGTGGATTACTTATACAATTGCATATCATTTTGTGAGTGGAAATAATAATCTTTTTACCCATTGTCAAGTCCATTCATTCCCAGCTTCTTGCCCATGTCACCCACCAACATGCCTGGCCTGGGGAGCAAGGTGTTTGTGTCCCTGACCTACACACCATAATGACATCGTCCATCAGCACCTCAATTACCATAATTATTATTCCCATAATCACCATTTTCTTTTTAAAATTTATGAAATATGTTTTGCTCATAGTATTTGAATTGCACTATCATCGTCATGCCATGGGATGAAGTATCAATTTAAATCTGAAACAAAGCATTGCAACCCTTCGTGAGAGGGAGTGGCCCAGGGTAAGTGGCTCTCATAGAATTACTTCTGAGATCCCATCACGTGACCTATGGTCCACAGTAGGGGGCAGAACTTTCCCACTCGGACAGCCACTGAGTAAGGTTTCTTGCATGACAGCCAAACCAATAATTTTCATTCTCAGTACTTGAATTTATCCAAATTAAGTGCAGACAAAAGATGTTATGCCATGCCTTTTTGTGCAGTCCTCTTAGAGCAATAAAATACATTTAAAGATATTTAGTTGAACTAACACAAAACTCCGTTACCCAATAAATTGTCTCCCACCCACCTGCACCACGAAGGAATGTAGCCCATGACAATGACCGTCCGGCGTGTAGAGTTGTGCAAACACGACTGCGTGCGTTGCCGTTTTTCCCAAGTTCCCAACCCAACACTTTGCGGCTTCAAAGTCCGGAGTGTTGATCACAAACTCCTGTCAGGGCACGCAAAAACTTTGCAACAGGGCACTTCAATGACAACAGATGCATGCCCGCCATGTGTTTGCAGAAATGGTTCCAAGTGTGAAAATATTAATCATTAGAAACAAGCAGCATTATAATGTAAGTTAGTGATGAAAATAAGATGAAGGTTCCCCAGACACGCACCAACATAATCACTGTGCACTTTAACAACTTTGAATAGCGCTCCACAAGGTGATGTTTCTAACACTGTATTTTTTAACCTCCCTTTTAATATGCATATAAAAAATGTGTGATGGTATAATGATTTATTGCCACATTATGTGTAATTAGTAATATATTGGCTATTTGAACAATTACACATAGACTTACACTCATGCATATGAAATTCACATGTTCATCAAGGAGGCTAATCACACTATTTTGTAGCTTAATAGGAACCATTGTTTTTCTTAGAATACAGCATAATGTACTTGTTAGTGTTTATTCAAGGGCTCTCCCAGTTTGATGCCAATTGCACTTTTGGCCTCGTAAGACGAAGGATATCTCGCAGAGCAGTGTAACCAGGCTGAAATTTCTCCAAATTTAGTGTAGGACTAGATTTTATGGGATGGGTTAACGTGCAGTCACCAGTGAACAGTCAACACTATACATTCAAGAATCTGTTTTAATCAGCATGGAATTTAACCGAGGATCTCAACAGTTATCGTTCAGTTCTCTGATCCCTGAGCCAGCTGGTCACATAATTGTCCATTCTTAATGTGCTGTGAGGACTTCACCTGTGTTTTAGGGTCATAGGTGGCTGTTGTTCGCATGGCCTTGGTGTTACTGCCATGGCTCAACTCTGTCAGTGCAAAGCAGCCAAAAATCTGTAACACAGACGTATTTTACAGGACATTCATGGCATGTGTCATTACTTCACATCACTTTTATGGTATTCGGTGTGCAGTGAACTTTAAATAATTAAGCAACTTTCCAAACTTTATTGAAAATCAGATGAGGTATTTTAAGAAGACTTCATTAGTTGTGTTATGTTTCTCCAACAAATTCCTTTAACAACACCATTCGTTTCTTTGCTCACCTCCATTGAATCTGTTTTGCGGACGAATTCTTCATGTCTCTCTGATCCTGAGTTTTTTACAGTTCCACCAAACATCTAAAGAGATATCACAAGAGCACATTCAAGAAATGGTTCAAAGCAGTGATGTGAAACCACAAGTGCCTGCAACTCAAGACCATTGCTAGTTGTGCTTGGTTATGAATCGTATTGTTACGTCATTTTACTGGTAGGAAACGTAGTGGACTGGAAGCCCAACCGGGATTAATTCACAGGAGGCAGGGGATTAATTGTGTATGTCTGTGGATGTCTGTCCACGTGGGAGGAGTGGGGCTGGGTGGAGAGGGGAGGGTAGGGAGTGTCTGGGTGGGGAGGGGCTGGGTGAGGAGGGGTGGGTGGGATGGGGCTTGGTCGGGTGGGTGGGGCTGCGTGGGGGGTGGGAGGGGTGGGGCTGGGTGGGGGGTGGGAGGGGTGGGGCTGGGTGGGTTGGGCCTTGGTGGGGAGGGACTGGTCACCCCGTGGTGCCATTATATGGACTGGAAGCCCAACCGGGATTAATTCACAGGGGGCAGGGGATTAATTGTGTATGTCTGTGGATGTCTGTCCACGTGGGAGGGGTGGGGCTGGGTGGAGAGGGGAGGGTAGGGAGGGGCTGGGTGGGGAGGGGCTGGGTGTGGAGGGGAGGGTGGGGTGGGGCTGGGTGGGAGGGGTGGGGCTGGGTGGGGTGGGGCTGGGTGGGGAGGGGCTGGTCACCCCGTGGTGCCCTTATAAAACTCAACGTTTAACTTACTCACGCCGGCTTGTGCCCGCCCTCACAGTCGGGCATATTTGCGGAATACACCACGCCGCCATTGACCCTGGCCATTGAACGAGCAACCCAACGTTCCTACCAGCTCCCTCCGCAGGAATGTGTTTATTTTATAATATGATTATGGTTAAAAGATAATACGATGGAAATTAACTATAGCAAACATTTTATTATAAAATACAATGAAGGCTAATGTTTCAATTTGGAATGGGAAAATATAACCGTGGAAGCTGGTACTGTGAAGGTCAAAGTTTAACAGTATTAGCAGTGATCATTAATAACTACCACGGGTACAAAGAGCCCGTAGAACATGACGCATTTCCAAAGTGTTATTTATTCCTCGGCTAAGATATAGCAAAACACCATCAGAGATGTCATTGGAATAAGTCAAACTTACTGGTCGATGATTTCATGAATCATTTTGCAAAGATTACATTTTCTATTGCAAAAGTGAAAAACAAACATATTTGGAAAGGAATTTACAATGCAAAGTGCGTGGCATGAAACACACATATACTGTACTTTGTCTAAAGTGATTCCTGCAATTCTAAACTTTGAAAAAGCCATGACCTTTAGAATGGACTTTAATCTCTATGGCATGAACGTGGCTGGCTCGCTGAAATGCTTAAAGACTGGAATTTAAAAATATATAATTTAAAGGCATTTCTTTGAAAATAATTCCACATGTTTACCAACATGCAATTAATTCCACATAATTGCTTATCAGACTGAAAACTAACGAAATTTTCCTCAAGGAAAATGAGGTTGTGGATTTCAGCTGAGCTGAGATGTGATAAGACCATAGATAAAGTGTTTTTCAGTTAAACATTAATGGCCTGCCAGGATAAGAAGAGGGTGTACATTGCCTGTGCGGCATGCATGAAGCAAGGTTCATATCTTTTTTTCCAATGTCCACTTCACAGTAAGTATTTACACACGCAGAAATGTATAAATACAAACGGTATTATCATGGACAAATTCTAACAATAAATAAAATTTACAGTCCATGATCAATCCACCGTTGGACAAAGCCCTCCTAATGTCATGTCGGTAATGGGGGCTGTTTGACCTTACTTCACTATGCTGGTCAGTGCAGGTTTGTGAAGAATGGGTTCCCAAAACAGGTCCAAATATCTCTTGCTATTGACGTTAGCCTAACCTGGGAATATAGGTGGCCAGGTTCATAGCGCAGTTTGCTAACCACTGTGCCACAGCTCCACCCCACTAATAATATCCTAAATAGTCAGGTGTACTCATTGTTCCCAACACTAATGCCCATATAAGCCACGGACACAACAGATAAAATGCCTAACATATAGTGACAAGAAAATGAATGATCATTTTACATGTTATTGCATTTAAGCATCATGAACAAGATAAGCCAATTGATTAGTAACATGTTTATCCATTTAGTTAAAATAAAAAAAATGTATCTAAATATACAGCCCTTTATTAGTCCATGATCCACTGGTTGATGAAGACCTCCCCATGCTGTGCCAGCCTTGGAGTGTTTTATAATTTATTTCACCATGCTGGTCAGTGATTTGACACATTGCTGAAGGGGTATGCAACACCGTTTAAGATACCATTCCCATGAAAGGGAATGTAATTCAGTTTCTGTGTTCATGTTGAAGCGCGCAAACAACCGTGCCACCATTCCACCCATCCAACTGGTTATCCCCTGACATTTATACACTGAACCAAATTACTGTTGTCCACACATTGGAAGGCACGCACGCACCTGTTTGCTGAGCTGGTACTTGGGGCAGCTATCGTGACCATACATGTTAAGGCACTCGTTCAGGGCCACTATCTTCAAGGGGCACTGCATCATATCCTCCAGGGGCAGGAAGTCATACTCAAAGAGACGGCGGCATTGCAGGAAGGCGAGTTCACGCTTGCGCTCCATGGGCACGTCTTCACCAGGCTGCCGTGCAAAGAGTGGGTCCTTCTCCAGCACAGAAAACACCAGTTTCTACACACAATCATAACAGGGGACACCACCAGTTCGTATATGAGACAATGTCATACCGTGATTCGTAAACCCACCCCTAAGTTTAGACTAGGTGGCCTAAATGGCATAGCACTGTCGCACAATTGGCTCGGTACATTTATAAGGGAGCTTGAAAAGTCTGATTAACTCATGTCTGCCCACTTTTTGTAAGTGTACAACCCTTTTGTCATTCCACTGCTGGATGAAGGACTCCCCACGAAATGCAGGTCATGGTGGTTATTTTGCCGTACTTCATGCTGGTCAGTGCGTGTTATTGAAGGTCAGGAGCACAGCACAATGGATTTTGCTGTGCTACTCTCTACTCTGTGCTGCCTAAAACTTAGCACAGCTCCGCAGACGCCGATGATAATCTGGTGTGCATTGTGGCCACCCATCCGAGCACTATTCTGGCTTAACTCCTTCTCAGCTTCTGACGCCATAGAGGGCACTCCGTGGGATGTTGTCATAGGGCATGGGTTGACAACCTGTGGGTCTATAGCCGCGTGCGGCTCTTTACGGATTGCTTAGTGACGTAATGTATGTATTCACATACATTGCGGCTCTTGAAATATTGAGTTTTATACCGATTTCGAAAAAGAAATGTTTCTTCTTGTCATTTCGGTTGCCGACCCCTCTCAAAGGCTAAAGCTCGGCATATTTTTATTTTTTTCGAGAAGGGCAACGTTCAATTATTATCCAGTGTCTGCAAAAAAAAATTCCTGACTGCATTAAAAAAAAAGAACATTTAAACAAGGCACCCTGAAGTGCAGAATTTCTTCGCTGTCTATGAAGAGGGCCATCTGTCTCCAGTCGAAGGACGCCTTTGCACGATACAAGTCCAGGGGCCCCCTTGGCATGGCCGGGAAGAGTTGTCCATCGTCTACGGCGTTCGCCATGCTGCCAACTCCACCTCGCACGCACTGCAGCGCGGGAGGACACGGCTCTGTAGTGGCACCAGTTAAAATCAGACTCAACAGAAGGGGAGAAACATCAATTGGAACAAATATCGGCACATTATTAAAAATATATATCACAGGAACATCAACGTGCTCGAAAAACACAACAGTTGGCAGTTGTGGAGCATACCTGTCCCGCAAGGCCATTCTATTTTGTTTTATAACTTTGATGTTCTATATAAAACTCATGACTCTTGGCAAAGGATAATTAGAGAATTTATTGAAATTGAGAGACATCAAAATAATTTGAAACCAGCAGACAGCTGAGTGCGGCTTGAAAACATATTTGTAAGAAATCACAACCCAAGTGTTTATTTGCAAACTCCCAGCGAAATGTCGTACTGTGAAATGTTACGTTATCCAAAAACTGCCGGTGTGCTCGAGGAACAAAAAACGTTATCTATTTATTTGGTGGAGGGTGGACGACACACATTGGCATTTTAATCACTCAACCTAAACCAAAGACATTATCATACCTGTCAACCCATACGATGTACCCGTATTTTTATAAAGGGAAATTTAGTTTTTGTTAAATGTCTATTTGTTTGTGTTTCTCCTTTGTGATGGGACTTTGTAGGATGCACGTTGAGATGTTTAAGTGACACGAGGTGACCAGTAAGAATCTGAATTGGTCTGTAATGATAAGGTACGCAGGCCACGGTGACAGGTACACAGGCCACAGAGACACATTCGTTTTAATTGAGCCGCTAAACAGATTCCGGCTGGCCGTGAATGTCGCGGGGCAAACAGCGCCGTGGATCGTTGCCTCTGTGGCTCAATCGACGATGAGAGGCGGCGCTCACCTGTACAAGGAGCAAGGTGGTAGTCAAGTCTCCACCCCAACGTCGGGGCTCGCCCTTTCGTATTCGGCACTCAACGAGCAAACAGCCCTCTGTGTGGTGGTGGTGGTGGTGAGGGGTGGTGGTGAGGGGTGGTAGTGAGGGGTGGTGGTGAGGGGTGGTGGTGGTGAGGGGTGGTTGTGGTGGTGAGGGATGGTGGTGGTGGTGAGGGATGGTGGTGGTGAGGGATGGTGGTGGTGGTGAGGGATGGTGGTGGTGGTGAGGGATGGTGGTGGTGGTGAGGGATGGTGGTGGTGAGGGATGGTGGTGGTGGTGAGGGATGGTGGTGGTGGTGAGGGATGGTGGTGAGGGATGGTGGTGGTGGTGAGGGATGGTGGTGGTGGTGGTGAGGGATGGTGGTGGTGTCCACACCGCGACACGAAATTAACACACCGGGTTTGCTGTTCGCTCTACCGTCCGTGCTTCCCCTTGTGGGTCTCACGGCTCACGACGTCTCCGCGTGCTCTGTTGTAAATGGTTTAAGCGGAGCGATGACCCATAGTTCAGTCCGGGGGGGGGGCGGGTAAGCATTTACGAAACGCGAACTACGCGAACGCTTCGTCCCCCCACCGCGGTACCCGTAGTCACGTCACCGCAGCGGATCCGGAAGTGCTCCACTGTAAACACGTGTGCGGTTAGACGCGGAGTTTCGTAACCGGAGGATTTCGAGTCCAATATCCATAATAGAGGTTCTTTTGGGGTGAGATCGCGTAAATATAAAACGTGTCGTTAAATTCATGGCATTTGCAATATACGGGCGAAACGTCGTGCTCGGAATGTAAATGTTTAAGATTTACTCTCCAACGCACCGGTGTGCTGTACTCGTAATGAATTGGCACGTTCTGTTTTACGTGACACCTTACTAATTAGCTGGTGGTGGATTCAACGACACGCATGCAGTGCTTGCTTGCGGCGGTAGTGGGGAGCAGTGGTATAGCAGTTAGCGTTACCAACCCGGCGACCCGAGTTCGACTCCCGCTCACGGCCAACACCGGTGACGATTAATCTGAACTTGTTCTGGGCCTCCTCCCTTAGGTTAACTCGGCTTAAAATTTGTACCTGGTGCGCTGTGTAAACATTGTCACTGAGGAGACAAAGGCGGCCGGGCGTGGTGCTGGCCACCCACTCGTATGCAGTTCCGGCCTTCAAAGGTGCTCGCTAACATCACTTGCTCCAACAGTCTATTAAGGCTATACGTGGGATATTTGTCGTTGATGTTTGCGGCGTGAGTTCAACACTGTACATAGTACTGTGCTTTACTCCTCTCCCGTATTGCCGCGTGTGTTGTATTTGTTTTGCATCGGCTTGCGATCGAAGCGAGTGCAAATTAAAGGTACAATATATATCGCTTGAGATGTTTCAACGACACTTCACGTAACTCGAATATCAAGATGATTAAAGTGTAGATTGTTTGAAATCGGATAATGTGCATCAAGGGATCGCGTAACCTTGTGTCCACATAATAATTACGAGGTGTCTTATTACATCGCAGAGTTAGCCCTGATTGGAAATCGAACTCGGGCGACCGGGTTCATGACGCAATTATCTAACTACTGCGTCCCCGCACTCTCACGATGCGATTACAGTAAACGTATACTCACGTGACAATATATGGATGTACCAGTAGCACGTGTTAATACTGTAATATGCTTCGAGCCACTTTTCACGTAGCTATGCGACCATCATTAACAAGGTGGTAAGACAACATTCAATACAGTAATTGTACGTCTTTTGTCTTCCGCCGCAGGCAGCAGCTGGCGAGGAACTTGCAATGGAAGATAAGTTTTGGGAGGCGGTGGAGGTGTGGGTGAGAAAGCCTCAGGTGTTGAACCGGCGTCTGTGCGGCGCCAGCGTGGCTGCCCGGGAGATCGCACGTGGACTGGGGGCGTTGCGGGATCTCCTGGAGCGGGGACAATCCTCGCAGCTGAGCAGTGACGAGGCTGACAAAGTACTGCGCCTTTGGCTCAAAGGGAACTTTTGTGGTGAACGGCGAGAGCGTGCGGCGGTGGCGGCGACAGATTCTGAAGGCGGCGGCCCAGAGTGCGACGGGCTCCAGTTTGAAGTCATTACCAGAACGCTGATACCAAAGGAACTCCACAAATTTGCAAAGATGCAGGAACTCATTGTAAGAGGTAAAATTCATACTCCGTATGCGGTACTGAGCACATTCATCAATAGCAGTTCTACATAAGGACGCTTGAGTCGTTCCCTTTGACTGTGGCCAGCAGAGGGCAGTGCGGCCAAGTCCACGTTTTAATTCCACCCTTTTTCATGAATCCAATGCGACCGGCGTGGTGAAGTATGGGTGAAATATAGTCAAATGCATACCTGTCAACCCATTACCAGTGCCCTACCTTATTACAGACCAATTCAGACCTTATTGGTCACCCCGTGTCCTTATAAATCTCAACGTTCATCCTACAAAGTCCCATCACAAGGGAGAAACACAAACAAATACACCTTTTTGCACGTATTGAATCGGCTATATGCCGTATGAACCTGAAAACTAAATTTCCCTTCTCAAGAATACGGGGTAAACCGTATGGGTCGACGGGTATGCAAATGACCCGCATGGCGTGGGAAATCCTTTGTCCATCAGTGGATTGGCAAAAGGGTTGTGCATGTTCTCGACAATATGAGTGTTGGGTAGGCTTGACGGTGTTTGTGACGTGTGCTGTTTGTCGTCGTCTGCAGATATTCACAATGCATTGTTCGTGTCGGTACCTCTAATGGAAGATGCCGCTGGTGTGGTGTCTGTGAGGACGTCGAACATTTACACCGTTACATGTGGAACTGATGATACAAAACAGTGGTGAGTTTCCTGCATTCCAGTGATGGTCTCATCTACGTTATACTGGCGTTGTTGAGAGACATGAGCTAAAAATGCATGCGTTTTACACGTCTGTGTAAACGTATTTACAACTTATATCAGTGCCAAAATATATCATTATACTGTAGTAATTCTAAGTTAGCATTGTTCACTGAGCAGTAATTGTATTGTTATAGCTTCTTGCTGTACATTTAATGCAATATGCAACCAACCACTGTTTCATTACTCATTAACACTCCTGCACCCTACCTAAACATAAGTGATGTATCATTTTGCATTAAATCGTGCGCCTATGACCAAATTATCTGGAATGCTCCTGATCTTATATTTTGAAGCTAAGCTGAATCGAGCCTGGATAGTGCTTGGATGCACGACCACCATGCACTGCAGGTCTTGTATAGGGCTTGTCAGCTATGTGAGCAGCAGCAAAGGGCTGTGCAGAAAAATCCATTGTTATTATTCTACTCAATGCTGCCTGCCTTTACCAATCTGCGCTGACCAGCCTCGTAAATTATTATCACATAATTCCTATGACTCATATGCCATGTGGTGGCCCTCATTCGGCAGTGGATAAACAAAGAAAGCCACTGGAGCTATGCACTTTTAAAATCTAAATTTAAAAGTCATTTCTTTAGAACTGCTTTTTGTGTTTAGTTTGTTGTGCTCTCACACCTTCGATTAGCATGGTTGGCTACGTACGGTGCGAAAGAAAATCAACATACACGTACACATGTACATATGAAAAGTGTGCCTCAAATTATTTTACCAGTTTGACAGATGCAAACGATTAATTGTGTGTGTGTGTGCGCTGTGCAGGCATGTGGAGGTGCAGGCTTGCGGGGACGGTGAATGGCAGGTGGATGGAGTCACGCTACCTGCCCTCGTGTGGCTGGAGACGCACTTTGTGCCCAAGCTGCACAAGTGGATGGGCGAGAACAAGCAGAGCGACTTCCCCGACTCCCTGTCCCTGCTGCCAGTGGAAAAATACGGCCTCCTCTACCAGCGCCTCAAGGAGAAATACCGCAACCTCGTCAAGGTCTCCCTCTCAATATTTACAATTCCTCTTTAGTAAAGTCCGGAGTGCTGTTGCGGGAACACTAAGAGGACCCTTGACCACAGAGTGACCTGTGAACTCAGAAACCTCAATGGAGGCATTAAAGCAGAAGAACCAAAGTCATTTCCTGGCCAACTCATCTAGACACAGACCTATTAGTTGCTTTTCATCCAGCCATATGCAAGATGTTTGAAAATATATAATAAAATCTGCATATGGACCATTTTACAATATTTGATACAACTATTGCCAAATTGTGTTTGTGTCATTGCCATGCCTATGTCTGTCTCGTTTTTTTCAAATGAAACTGATTTTGCATATTTTTGTAATGATTACATCGCTTTTTTGTTCCAGGTTTGGCCAGAGGTTACTGACCCGGAAAAGTTTGTCTATGAGGATGTGGCCATTGCATCATATCTTCTGGTAATTGTCTGGCTGGAAGGCAATGTGTGTCTGATGAAATCCCATTTCACGGAGTGAAGAACATTGCTTTCAAACAAAATTAATTTAGAGCAGTTCATGAAAGTGCAATTACAGTGCAATTGTAACCCATTATGAATTAACAATTTACTATCAACTCACACCATGTACTTTAAGGTAGCCAGAGAGCTCAGGAGTCACAATATTGAGCAAGCATTGCTAATGTCCTGGGTTCAAATCTTGCAATGACGTGTGATTAAGCCAGGTTCTCGCGTGTTGTTTTCAAGTTGATAATCTCATCTGGTCACCAATGACTGCACAAAATGCATCATGCTAAAATAGTTTTTTTACTTGATTTTGGCAAATTCAAGTTCTTACAAATTAAACTTTGTTTCACCACCATGTAACTAACTTGACGAAGTACAGTGCCCCGAGTGTGGATAAGGGGCAGTTTAAGGCAATTAAGTACTTCATGATATCACCTTCCAGAGGCAGTCCCCTGCTCTGAAAGAGTTCTGAATAGAAAGATCTTCCTCATAAAATGACTTCAATAAACACGTTACGAAAATTGGAAATGTGTTTTTTTTACATTCAAATATGCTCAGGTTTGTATGCCTTTCCAAACAAATTGTATTACAGTTTTCTAGTTTTCATAACAATTGAATAAGTTTAAAAAAATATTGTCATAAAACACCGACACAGTAGTTTAAGTGGAACAATGAGATCAACAGTATATCTCAGAATTTGATTCACAATAAGCATACACCTTTTTAAGACCATACCTTAAAACTGATAAATATTCATCAATTAAGAAAGTGCGATTTTGAAGCCCAACCAAAAATCTAATTTTACAAATGACCGCCGAATGTTTGAAAACGTCATGACTTGATGAACCAGTTGTGGTGGAAGCTGGGATGAGCAGTTCATGTTTGTGTGAAGGTGCTTTGGGAGGAGGAGCGTGCGGAGCGTGGCCTGGAAGGGCGTCAGTCCTTTGTGGACCTCGGCTGTGGCAACGGGCTGCTTGTGCACATCTTGGCCAGCGAGGGGGTGAGTGGATCGACCCTGCTAAGGCGTCGAGCAATTCGCCGCACATCAATTCCATGAATTGTCATCATTCAGGGTTGTGATTTGATTCAGAAATCGATGCGCGCCACGTTTTTGCCATCTCATTTGTATCGTGTCGTAGAGGTGTGTCTGCTCGAGTAACTTAAATGTAACAGAACCGTATCATTTGTATAAATTGTAACCGATTGGTTATTGCACACAATTGGTTCCGTGTATCTTGAGCGTAATAATTTATTTTAATAAACGATTTGACACATCATCACATGCATACCCACTACACGACCTGTTGCCTCGCTTTTGAAACTTCTATAACAAAATCCACATCCCCTGGTTTCTGGAGTCATCTCTTTAAAACAAAATAAACACAATGGAAACCAAGGCTTGTGCATGTCGAGTATGCAGGAAGATGCCTCCATACCCCGTGACATGTTACAGCAGGGAGTGCTGGTGTGCTAATATTATGCTGTGATTTGTTTTCTGAATTCTTGCATGGCAGCACCCAGGGAGAGGGATTGATGTAAGGAAAAGGAAGATATGGGACTGGTATGGGGCAGAAACTATATTGGAGGTGAGGATTATCTTCTCCAAACTCACAAATGTATACATTACGCAGTCAACGTTTGCACAAGAGTTGATAAAAAAAAGTCACAGTATGCCAATGTTGGGCTCTTTTTGAATTCCCTCTGATACTATAATAGATCAGTGTATACTTTTTTACAGATCACTATGTAGGTGTTGGACAGTGATATATGTTAGTTGAAATATTTTACTGCCCTTAATAATTACAAGTGAAGTGTGTTGGGTAGCCCTTAACCAGCACATAGCCATGGCTAGAGAAAAGTTTATGGTAAAAGAGGTGCTCACAATGAAGATGATTGAAACTCATATGTGTAAAGCTTTGTGTGTTATCTGATTTTTTAAATAGGTTTTTCTCGAAGTACTCTTGTTTTCCTCACACATGGACTTGGCCAAACAGCCCAATGCAGAACTCTCCTGAAAAAAATGTCTTAAGAGCCTTTCCTGGATAAACAAGGGGCATTACAGTCGTATTATATTTTTTAATGAGCACACAATCTGTGTTACACAGAATCACAATAGGTACCAAATGAATGGATGTTACGAGATCAACAGTATTCTCCTGATTGTTACATCCATGCTGAAAACTCTGAGAATGCTGCCATGCCAGGAATGTGCCATCACACCTGGAGACGACTTCCTGTTCACTGATGTCGACTGGTTGATTGGCAACCACTCGGACGAGCTCACGCCGTGGATCCCGGTCATTGCGGCCCGGTAACTGACAGCAGAGCGACACCTCAACAGATTATTCAATTCATGTCGCCTCAGCTATGATCCTGTGTATAGACAGGTAAATCGCAGCCGTTTTTACGTCACGTAATTTTATTTCTGACCAAAAATTCTCAAAAAGTCTCACTATAAATATTACAAATAACTCCCACTGTGAGTACTCTACTTCATTTGAGAGTGTTTCAAATATAAATGTTCGTGCAAAGGTCGCCTCATAGGGGGGGGGGGAGGTTCATGGCCACGTCCCGTCCTCAGGTCCTCGTTCGACTGCCGCTACTTTGTTCTTCCATGCTGCTTCCACGACTTCATCGGCCGCTACCGGAGGAGGAGCTGCCGTCGCAGCCAGTACCGCGAGTACCTGGACTTTGTGGCGGAGATCGGCAACGCCTGCGGCTTCCGTGTGCAGGAGGACACCCTCCGCATCCCCTCCACAAAGCGGGTCCGCTCATGATGCTCCTTGACGATTGCTATGTGTACACCAATAGACGAATACCCGCCGTTCGCCACGAAGCGATGGTGACGTCACCACAGCACCTGTGCCAGGGCAGGTGCACTTTGAGGCCACGTGAAGTGTCGAAGGCTCGCTGACAGGAGATCACAGGAGAGACCCAGGTGCCATGGGTTGACTGGCTTAGATGACTGGCAGATGCACCAGCTGTGCACCCTATTGTACCAACGCATAGACACACACTCTTTGATATGCACACGTATCGCCCTAATGTCATTCCATTGCTTGATGATGTGGGTCGTGGAGATTTTCTGCCCATGCTTCACCATGCTGATCAGTGTGGGTTTGCAAAGGCGGGAAGTATAGACATTCGAGGATAATACAGTACAACAATAGATTGTGCTGCACTGCCCTCTGATAACATCATAGTCCAGCAGCAGCTCACAACACCTGTTGCATGCCCAACCAAGAAGCACTGTCCAGGCTCAATTCTACTTGGCTTCTAAGATCAGGCGAGATCATACGCATTCTGGGTGATTTTGTCATAGTCTTTAATATGCATAATAACTCACGTATGCTGGCTTAATGATAAGCGTTGTAACTGACTCTGGCACTTCCATACTAAGAAATCTACTTACCTGGTCCAAAACCCCATACCACCATGTGAAACCCCGAATTACTACCACAGATGGCTGGATCTAGGGTAGGTATCCCCCACATTATCCCAGATGACCATAGTTCTACTGTGCAGTGAATTTTATAATCTACATTGGCAATTTTAATAATCATGGCCACGTACGTGCCACCACAGGTATGTCAAGTGGGCAAAACCAGGATGTACCCACAGAGCGAGGAGGCGCTGCTGGAGGAGAGGCGCGCCGACTTCATCAGACGGAGGGTCGGTGGACAGGCCTGCCGCCCTCCTCAGCCATGCAGCGGCCACGTAAATCATCGCCAGCAGCCGAGACCCAGCCCCGCTCCGCCCCCTGGCTTCTTGTCAGCACAAGAGCCAGACATAAAAATACCGGGTAAAGTGATGTCCGATAGTCCAGGAAGGCGGAAAACTGCCTCTCAGGATGTTTTGCACCATCAGGCAAGTGAGCATGGTGATGGGATTTCAGTCGGTGTGCAGTCACTAGCTGATTTTGCAAGTGAAGTGGACACAAAAACTGCAGACTTCCCACACTGCACTCTTCAGCAGCAAAGCAGCAATGAGAACATTAACGGTACATCCTTCTGCGGCAGTAATGTACACACAGATGCTAGGTTTTGTAATGTTGGCAAAAGCAGCAATGATGTTTTCATGAATGATACGCTTGATTCAGCCCATTGCACGACCTTAGACCTCGAGGCCGAGCAGAAAGGAGAAAGAGTAGGCGAGTTTCATCGCAACCTGCTCATCAAAGAACCGGATGCAGAGCACAATGAGCAACCAGCAAGTTCAGACACCCGGCCTGCCGGGGGTTGGCTCGGCGAGTTCCGTCCTCGTGAGAGGGAGGAGAGGGTGAGGAACTGTGTGCGGCTGCCTTTGGGTCTGGTGGAGCGTGTGGTGGAGACGGTGGCCAAGGCTCTCTTGGCTTCCACCGAGGAGCGAGTGAACGACGGCGGGACGCAGGAGTCTTCACCACACTGGAATCGAGGAGGTTTGTAAAATGAGAAATGTCCTTATTTTCAGTAAATTTAGGTCGTTATTCATTATTTATGATGAAAATACAGTGAGGGCTAATATTTCAATGCAACATTTTAGTTTTTATTGTCCTCGTCATTTGCACCTTCGATTAGCACGACTGGCTAAGTACGGTGGGAGAGAAGTTCAACATACATACAAACTGATTACAAAACTGTGTATCTTCAATGTCGCGTTCATTATTTTTTTTCTATCGAATAGATTGAATTGCAACATCACATACCATCAATTACCTTTAACAGCAAAATCGACGAGTTAGACAAAAGGACGTAATATTGGGATTCTTCTCATGCTGTGACCTGCAGGGAGCATCCCGCTGGAAGGAGCAGCTAAGTTGATAGATGGAGAGACACTGCAGCAGCTTAAGTGTGAATGTGGAGGCCTGAAAACCCTACTGAAGAACAGCCATCAAGTGTTTATAGGCATGTAATTGCATCTTGAGTCCATGGCACAAACTACCACATGCAAAGAATTGCAATAATCACATTTTAAAACTTTTTAATAATTACTGGTATATTTCAAGGGTATTTTTTTGACCACAGCAAATTCAATGCTCATTTGAAATGCTTTCTGAATACTTCAATACCGACAAGCATTCCACTATAAAATACCAAATTGCAATCGTTCAACTTGTTGTGGCAGTTGTTTATTATGCAGTGAATGGTTGCAGCTGGGGTCGGTCATTAACAGTGTTTAAAATTATCTTCAGATCCCCTTCGAAGTTTTACAATCACACTTTGTATTTCAGGTGCTTTTCCAGAACAGGATACAATTGCACAGAATCTTACATCCTGCAAAAGTTTAGAATGTTCTCAATTAGTTACTTTTACCTTTAAGCCATTACAAAATGGGAAATGTGTTAAAGAATTAACTGCAGTCACCACAGTACTCTGTTTAACATATCATGCAGGCATACACAATGTTACTGTGTAACAAAATGGTGATTTAAAGGTCACTTTTAATGCACGTTCATGTTTTTGTGATGTTCTGATGTGCATTGCTTTGGTGCCCACAAACTGGTCTGAAAGGTTTGCCCAGAAATATTTAACGTTTGATGTTAATTGCTTTGATGTTTATAAAGCTAATGCAGACCGGACGTCACTCTGCGGATGTGTATACCGTACTGTAATGTTCTTGGAAATGTACATACCCCTGTCTCAACTGCACTTGTCTCTGGCATTGTAGTGTTGCAGAGTCGTGTCCAGCTCAGAGACTGGAGAAGGGAGCAGGTGGTTAAAAAACCCAAGAACAACAGGAAGAAATCGGCCGCCGATTGCTACAAGACGCGGGTGTGCTGGTTTTACTCGCACCACCCTGACGGGTGCCCCAGAGAAGCCTCCTGCTGCCCCTACGCACATGGCCTTGAGGACCTACACGGACAGCAAGGGCAGGGACGCAGTTGTCCTCAAACCACGTGGTTTTAACATTTACTCATTATCATCATCCACTGTGAGGTGGATGCCTTCCCACGCTGTTGGCATCCCTCTTTTTTTCTGCGATGATGACAAAATCCATCCCATCTCGCTCCTGGACTTGAAATGTATTTCATCGCTCCAGCTCTGCGGTGTCATCATGTTGGGAACGTTAGGGTTTGGTTGCCATCACTTTACCAGTGTCATCCGTTGTCCCATCATCATGTCTAGTGGTGGGATGTGTGGGGGGGGGGGATGCCAACTTTTTTTTTAAATGGGCCTGAGTGATCAGCCATGGAAATAGTAGACTTTAATTTTTAGTTTGATCAATCGACTCGACGTCCCAGCTGTATTTAAAAATACTCGCCGTCGGTTGGGGTGTTTAATGTGATCACTTCTCACGTCCTGGGCAGTGAGACTGCTGACCTCATTGCAGAGACGTCACCACTTGTTGTGTTACCGTTGCGGATACAGATGGACTTGTGATAAACCGGTTGTGGTTTTACATGGAACCATTTTCTTTAATGGTATGTTTGTAAACAATGATGCAGATAAATTAAATACACCAAACGAGTAATGGCACTTGTGTTCGCCCTTTTTTTGTACACTACCTGCATTAAAGTTACTTTGGGGGGGGGGAAAAAATTCACAATTTAGGCTGTATTTTTAATAGCAGTGATCAGCCTAATACAGAAACCTTTTTTTCTCGGGTATAAAAATACATAACAGCCCTGTCCCAAATCCACCTCTGGATGAAAGCCTATCCACACACCGTGTCAGTTTGGGCAGTTTGACCATACTTCACCACGCTGGTCTGTGCGAAACGGTGGTTAGGACCCTGGTTAAGATATCAAATGTCTCGGGGAGTCGAATTTACTTAAGAGGGTTCATGCCGCAGTGCACGAATCGATGCACTGTATCTCCACCCTGTGTCGTACATAATACGAATAGCATGTTGTGGGAGTGCCGAGTTCACTTCAACACTGATGTCTGGGGTAACGAGCCAAATGTCATTTGAGTCACTGTACGATGTGTAATTGGAGTCTAGGTGTTGTATTTCTTGACATTTGTAACATACGAGAAAAATAGATACCTTAAAAGAATATATGAATCCCTTTTCACTTGAATTATTTAGTTTTTAGAGGTGAATATAATCGATTGCTGATTTAGGTATTAGTTAAAATTATACTGTTAAGGAGATATAAACTATTTTATATTGGAGGAATCCGATGAGCTATACAGCTCTTTGTCAGAAAGTTACAATACAAAAACATAATAGGAGTGCAAAGTATAAGAAAGGTAGGCAAATCACAGGTGCAGGCACTGCATTGTGATGTGACTAGTTCAACTAGATGAGCTTATACCAACTGCTATCCTACAAATCTGGCTGTCGCCTGATGAAGCTAGTTGTAATTACGTCGTACTCAAGATTGTAAATGTGGCTTGGCTCCCCAACACACCGGTTAGTGCTGTACTCGTGTTTTAAGTTGCATTTATTAGGTATAGCCCTGTGAGCCATGCGGCTCTTAGGTCGGGTGCAACCGCAACAAACGAAAACATATGAATCTACATTACAGAAAACAATACACCACAACCAGACCAAAATAGAGCTACAAAAACAATGTAACAACAGCAACCATAGGAACTGTGATTTTAAATGTAACAATAAACGATATACATTGGCACGTTCCGTTTACGTGACAACCCTTACTAGTTGGTGGTGGTGGCGGGTTTTAACGACACGTTTATGTATTTACGCGATATAACTACTCCCCCCAAATAAATCCCCTCTTAAACAAATTTGTTTCAATAGCAGATCCCAACTTGGAGAGAGCACTCGATTTGGCAAGCACCATCGCTCCGCGCACGTGGCCCGTTCTCGGCCAATGGGAATCGTTTTTCGCACCGCGGCTCTGAAGTTCCGCCCCCCCCCTCCCCTCCAGCTCGCCGTTCCGCCCAATCGTGCACGCCGCCGATACGCGCGTCTCATTGGTCCTCCTCCGTGGGGGCGACGCCCCCTCGGGAATTATCCGCTCTCTCGATTGGTCCGCCGTGGTTGGTTGCGGGGGCGCGAAGCGCTCAAGCGTGGTCGGTGCGGGGGTGACGTCACTAAACAACAATCCCCAGTCCGCGCGCGCCGTCTCCCCCACCCGCCCCAGCACTACGTAAGCCAATCGGCGAACTCCCCACTGTGTGATGACGTCATGTACGCGCATCCTGTAGGCAATGAGCGCGACCGCGTGGGGACGGATGACGTCAAAGCGGCTCGAGAGAGAGGTGGTGGTTGAGGGCTAAAAAAAAAAGTCTATTGGTGGTGGTGGCCGGAAGCGAGGTGGAGACGCGTCGTGCGTGCCCCCACGGTGTGTTTGTTGCCGCTCTGTTGTGGGCTCTTTCACCGTTGCCTTTAGCAGGATTGTCTGCCGACGGCAACCTGTGCATAGCGTGCCCGACTGCCGGGAAGTCGCGTCAAGCCCACGGGAGCAGTTTAAGCGCTCGGCGCTGCTAGAGAAGTAGCCGAAGCTATCGGCTAGTGGGTGGCTTCCCTCCCCTCCCCACTACCAGCACCACCACTCTCCAGATCGCTTCTTGAAGAGCCATGTAAGCTCGGCCGAGGCCCTTACCTGGAATAGGTTTCATTCTTTTTTTCAAAGGAATAATTGCACCCTCGTGGGACAAGGGGCGCCAGAGGATTTGCATCCGTCCACGCCTGCGACGATTAGTAAGTTTCCAAGATTAGTAAACAACAACAGAAATCGCGCCAAATCTAAAGTTAAGTTTGTGCACGTTGTTGTACGCGCGACGGGCGCCGAGTCGATAGAATGCGCAGAGGTTTGCTGCATTGTCGAAGCAACTTTTGGAAAATAAAATCTTCATGGCGAATCTCGATATAATAAACACGTGGTCGTTAATGTTCAACGCGTTAAACTACGATATTTAATCATCGCTCGTTGAAATTATTCCGCCAAGTTGAGTCGTGGTTAAGCGTGGCCATCCTCTGGCTAGAGCTGGCTGTATTAGGCCAGCTGTTAATTGATAATTGGTAAATTCGTTTTTTAACAACACCTGAGGCTAATTAAGCAACGCGTTCATTTCATTTAAAATCCAAATTCTGTGTGTGACGTGAGTTGATCCGGGTTTTATTAGTATTCGCTTATTTGTATATAAAAAAATGCAATTGTGTTTAATTTACTGTATTGTTTTTATTCTTTGGGTCACGTAAACGGAACATGCCAATTCGTTACTTGTACAGTACACGCGGTGTGTTGGAGAGTAAATCTACAACATTTACAACTGTAAATGTTTACGTGACAAACTTACTAATTGGCTGTGTCGGGTAGTGGCGGGTTTAACAACACATTTACGCGATCTAAACCAAAAAAAAAACCTCTTATGGATGATATTGGTCGCGAAAGCCTAAGTGTTAAAGTGTTTATTAATGTTTAACGATACGTGTGATTTACAAATAGTTTAAGTCCATTGATGAGTGAAGCCACTCTTCCCCCCTCGCCCGCGTCGCCCGGTTCACGCACGCACAACAAATCCCAAAATCTTGTCAGGAACACGACCTTAAAAGGAACGCATCGGACAGGCGACGTTTCGGGCAATGGCCTTTTTCATAATGTGCGTTAAAGTCGCCGCTCAGGTTCATTGCGCGTTGGAGGAGAGAGGGGGGGGGTAACGCCGCAGGACTTTTTCAGATGAGTAAAGTCGCCTTGGCTGAGGATTTAGGGGCCCATTGGGTTTGTTAGATCCTCGATTGAATTGGAATGTTAAAGTCATCTTAATATCGTCGGAGATTGTCATATTTATTTAGGTAAGAGTGAGTGGCCACGATGATTTATAGATGTTTGCCTTTTGCTCATTTAATTATGGGTAACGTTATTTGTGATTGCTCTAAAACATAAACGTTGGCACCCTCGTTATAATTGGTGTGACATGAGCAGATTGGAGATACAAAAACTACATTTACAGTGCGGTTTTATTAATGAATTTGCACCCCACTTTAGAGTTTGGCGGGAGTGGGGAAATTGGCGTGACAGCAAGACAAGATTCCCTGGATAGCCGAGGAAATCACCAGTGGTTAATTGATTAATTAATTAATTGGATGTTTGTTTTGTGGTAGGTTAATTAGGCGCGTCATACCGGAAGCTAATTAACGTTGGAACTTCAATTTTTACCCCAAAGCTAATTTCCCAGATGGACCGTGCGGACGGTCGTTCACCTGCTCTGAAAGTTCCAGGTGCTTGTGTACTAATTTGTGAGAAAAAATATATAACATGAAATGTATTGATTTAAAGCTTTCGTGACTGCAGTGATTCATATTCTTGGTTCTTTCGGTAAAGTCACGTTGAAGGGAAACAATTAAATAATAAAATATATATTTTATAAAATATATATTTTATTAAAATATATATTTACCGAAAGAAGCAAGAATATGAAATGTTTATTAATCCGTAATACAGGACTGTGCTCTGTGTAGTTTACAACTCTGTCGGCCTACTGTTGGGCGAAGTCTTGGGTTCCACACAGTTTCCCCCAAGGGAGTTTTGAATATACATTGTTTTAAGATAACGTTATTCTGTATCATCTTATCTTTATATTTTCCGAAAGACTCGTACAGGTTTTCAAATCGCTGTTTCGCCCGAATAACTACCGTTGTAATCAACGACTTGTTTTGGAAAAATAATAGGATCGCTAAAACGTAATGCTTGCAATGTAGTTTTAAGGAGCAACGCTCAACCAATTACAAATTTAATCCAATTTACAGCCAGCTTTTAACGTGAGAAAAACTGATAAAGTAATGTGTAAATAACAAATAAACGCCAGTGCGTTATGGAAAAGGGATAATTGTGAGCTTTGCAATGAAAAACAAATATGTAAAATGTGATTCTGAGAACTTGAAAATATTCACTGCATGGATGCCGAGTGTAAATTACGACACGGCAGGAGAGTGATGAAATAATATATGTATAATGAATGTACTCTATTCATTCCAACCAGTCGACTCTTAATGAAGCTGCTGTCAAAAGTTCGTAAATACGAGCACACCAATGGCCATTAGTGGGAAATTACTCCACTCGCACATTTAAAAATATGGCATTTTGGTGTCAATAAAAGAGTATGAAAGTGCAGGCCAGTAATGATTTGCGCATGCCACCGCTGGTGGGAATGGCCTCCACTCGAGCGTGTTCTAGAGAGCCCGTCAGAGGGTGTATTTTGACTTCTTTCGCACTGGCTAGACGTCTTGGAAGAGTGTGTATGGTTATTTTTTATTACTGCTTTAATGGCAGCCCAGTGAATAACTTGCTGTTGACGGTGAACAGCAGATACTCTCGCATTGTTTTGATTTCCAGGACCATCAAACATCAGTCATGGACTCGAGTCCGCCCATGGAGGACCTCTTGAGCCAGGACATGATGCAACACATCTACGATGACATGTAAATTAAGGAGCCTTTCACGTTACATCTTAAGAGCTGAGTAATTATTACAGCCCTTCTTGCTGTCCACCGCATAGAATTTCATTATTGAATAGTTTACATAATGCGGGCTTGCAGAAGTGATAAAAAAAGTCCTTTGGTTAGTATTACAGACCTCTGTGTTGGATAATTGTACATTTTAACAATTCAGTTAAAACATTTTATTTATGCACTTGCGGTGATTTGTGGCCAAGAGATTATATGAGAGATTGCTTTCAGCTGATATATGATGTTATAAATGATTTGCGTTTAACATGAGTTGAGTTTTTCTTTGCATTGCAGCACGAATGGCAACTCGATGTTGAGCGTCAACATGGTGGACCTTCGATTTGATGAGCCTCCTCGCAACAACATCGAGGTCAACATGGATTTGTTGCAGATGGAGAACCAGGAGTTGCATGGCACTCTATTGGTGAGTGACCACAGCATATTCAATGAAGAAACAGTACCCATTGCTTCAACTTCTGTGCTGGGATATAGATCCAACATACATTATTTTGAAAATCCAGTGTTGCACCACAGTAGGAGCATCTGTAAAAAGTATATAAAATGATGTTAGAAATAAGTTCTCTGCCTGGGTTCCTGGGATGGGTTCCTGCGATGGGTTCCTGGCTGCTTGCCCTCCCACGTGGGGCAGCGGTGATGTCACCGTGTACATCTGCGTGATGACATGCAAAGGCGTGGAGATAGACGGCTCTATTGAAGATACAACGTTTTGCTTGCTGGCTGCCGGTGAGGGATTTATGGTCATGTCCAAAGGACGTGCGAGGTCTTCAAGTCGGAATAAAAAAAACTGTTAAAACATTGCATTTTAATTGGTTTCGTTTATTTTCGGAACAAAGGTATTATTGCAATAAGAAGTGTCGCATATTGTGTTATGTCATTGGCTTTATGTGCTTTTTGTTATTTACAATATTTTGCACGTCTCTTGATTCCACTACCCCATGCAGAACCATTGTGAAACGTTTTCCGATATCCCTGAAAACGTTTCTCAGCAACCCGTTTCAACTTTTCCAACCTACATGCAACAACAACCGGACTCTGATGGCGAACTGCAGCAATACATCAAACATCAATATTTTGGCAATGAGTCGTCGTGTGAGAACCAGGGCCTGTCGTGCATTGCTCCTATGGTGGCAAACTCCACAGCGGGGTTTGGTCCAATCACCGAGCCCATCCTGTGCGGACCCATGGTGTCCCCCTCACTGCCTTTAACAATGCCTGGCCAGTTGTATGGCTCAATCATTCCATCAAATACCGACTACCCTGGCCCTTTCAACTTTACGGTCACCTTCCCTCCATCCAGCACTGCCAAGTCTGCCACCTGGACTGTGAGTACCAATTGATATTTTGCTGCTCATTGATGACTGTGCAATGTATAATGATGTGTTGTCATTGTCAACCTGTGACTGCTCACTGCTGGGCAAAAGGCCTCCCCAATATTTATCGATTTGTTTTCCTTGGTTTTGATTGTTCAGTAGTGGCCTCCGAACTGTTTGATTTCTTTGCACCGTCCATTCAGCTGTCTTCCTCTGCTTCTTTTGCCATCTCAACCATTGGTTCTGATGTGTTGTAGCATTATATTCCCCCATGTCATATGTAATCTGCAAATGGATTTAGAATTGCTTTCAATTTAATGCACAAGGCTAGAACTTATATGGTTATTGACAGCTGGTTTTAACGGAATATTTTATTTGTACAATAACATGTTGCTGTTGGATTGGCCACAATTTTGTGATTACCATATTTAGTAATGAATAGGAAAGCAAGTTTATTTTTACTGTTCTTTTTTACTTTAGTACTCAACAAAACTGAAGAAGCTATATTGCCAATTGTCCAAGACATGCCCTGCAGAGATACGGACTTCAACCCTGCCACCTCAAGGCACCATCATCAGAATTATGGCAATGTTTAAGAAATTGGAGCACGTTTCTGAAGTTGTACGTCGTTGTCCTACCCACCAGCAGAGCCCAGAGTTTAATCACGGTTAGTTTCATCACTTGGCGTATCTCATTGTATCTTTGTTCACAGGGCTATCTATATTTATTTGCATTTCAAATAGGTTGGTGTCTATATTTTAGCATTTGTATTTGTGTGTGTGTGCGCAGGAAGTATTGCCCCTGTTACTCACCTGATCCGTGTGGAGGGTAACCGCAATGTTCGCTATGAAGAACATCCGGTGACGGGCCGCCAAAGCGTAGTGATGCTTTTTGAAGTCCCACAGGTGTGGCTTAGTCGCTGGTGCCTTATAACCATATGTTTCCAGACATTTATTTGCATATCTAGCTGTAGCTGTTAATTTGATATGAAAAGGATGGAGGCTGTAAATGGTTACCACTTTAAAGACTTAAAAAGAAGTGTTAATTTTTTTTAACCTGAAATTTCACCTGCATATTAATCAATGTGTGGTGGGTCTTTCCCTTGATGGTGTAGGTTGGAACAGATTTGACCAAGGTCATGTTCTGCTTCATGTGTAACACAAGCTGCCTTGGGAGTATGAACCGTCGACCCATTTACACTATCTTAACGATGGAGACCCTCAAGTACGTGGCAGCCCATGCTGAGCTCATTTTCAACCATCAGGCCACACACAAAATAATGGGGGGGGGGGGGGGTGCATTGGCTTTTTGTATTATAGTTTATGAGCTCTATTATAATGAGAGATTTTTTAGTTTGTATCAGGACAGTAGGCTTGCCCAAGACTTATTGTTAGAGCTGTGGTGTTAACAGGTTTCCAAATGTCAGTAGGCACGAATCAAAAGGGTCCGAGGCAGTCGTGTTTTGTTTTTACGAAAACTTTTGCCCATAGGTTGCAGGTGCTTGTGTCAGTTACTTTTAGAAAACCATTAACTGATTTTCCTGTTTAAAGACAATGACGATTAATAAAAGTGGACTTGGGTAGGACATGCCATTAGCAGATATTAAGGTGGGTGGCCGAGCCTAATGACAGAGTGGCAGTCAGGAGGGAAACACTTCGTAGGTGAGTGATGGGAGCAGCTCATGTGCAGGAGTTAAATGGATAGTTGTATCGTAGGATGATGCAGTAATTGTTGAAGGCTTGGAGAGACCATGCTGTAGTGGAGGGGCCATGGCTCTGATGATGACAGTTGCTGTGAGTGTTGTATTTTACCTAGTTACAATTCCATTGGTCAGTATAGTTAATGGATGGCACAGATGCCAATGGAACAGCAATGCAATTTTGAGGGTGTGGAATTTAGCCTGTGTGTACAAAACTTGAGAACCCTAGCCACAAAAAAATGTCTGCTACCAGTTTTATAGGGCTGAACATTGAAATGTCTGATAAGTGTACAATTATTGCGATTACCAATTCTCTATAGTCGTGGTTGAAGAGACATTCTGATGTTTTTAAACTCTATTTTATGCTTTCTTGTAATTGCTTGAAATCCTCTTTAGGCTGATTAAGTAAAAACATGCCTTACAATGGCTACCCATTAAAAAAATGTAATGCATTTGTTTTCTGGGCATTTGTTTCAGTGGCCAGGTACTGGGCCGATTCTGCTGCGAGACCCGAGTGTGCGCTTCTCCGGGGAGAGATATAAAAATGGACGAGCAGCGCATGCAGCAGGACGATCAGGAGCGGCAACAGCAGCAGCCTCCAAACAATTGGAAGGCTCCTTCACCCACCACGCAGAATTCACCCACCACGCAGAATTCACCCACCACGCAGAATTCACCCACCACGCAGAATGCACCTCAGTCTGTGCAACAGTATCCTACCTGTGCAGAGGCAGAAACCCAGACTTCTCAGCCGACCAATGAGTCTCCACAGGCTCAGCCAGTTCAGCACACCCCACAAGTGCCTAAGTCGTCTTCTGGCAGCAGTCAGCCACCGAGTGGAGAGCCGACTTCTCATACAAGCTCCCAAGGTGATCACTTGACTGTCCCTTTTTCACACACATGCTGTCTTGCTATTAAGACACATTTGAGTTTTTTGTAAGTTATATAATTTCAATGTATTCATCTAAAAGAAATTGTCCCTGCGTGTACTTGCCTTACCTGTCCGCTTTTTTGCCAATTAACCAAATTCTCAGGCTGCAAGAGAGTGGTACATGAACTGCTGATGACTTCAAGCAATGGTGGAAGCAAGCGGCCATCCGATCAAGAACACACATATTACCTCATGGTAGCTACATACTTTCGTTTAAATTCCTCGCAATCACATTTCACAATTAGTATTTTATTTTTTCAAGAATTTGCTCTGTGGTCTGTATGCAGGTGCAAGGGAGAGAAAATTTTGAAATATTGAAGAAAATCAAGGAAAGCCTGGAGCTGATCCGAATGCTGCCCAAGGATACTCTAGATGTGTTGCGCAACCTGCAGCAAAAACGGTATGTTAACAGCAAAATAGACAATCGCTGCTTGTGCGAGAGAAATTCCCAACTGCTGCTGTAATTAAATGGTTGCAACGGGCTAGGTAGTCGAGTTAACATGTTTTTACCACTGAGTGTAATTCACTAATTCTTTCATCTGACAATGCTGTGGGGCATCATCATGTCAACCTGCTGCTGGATGGGGGGGGGGGGGCCTTTCCACACCATTGTTATTTTGACACAAGCCAAGGTGATATGCCATTGATATGGATTTCACAAAACTTTCAGTTCTAATCGGGACTATAAATTAAGTTTAATGTGAACATTTTCATCGAAAAAATGCACACTCACTAATAGATTTGTTGACATGACTTAGATGGGTGAGCAAATGGTGTGCCTCAACGGACAAAGATCATGAAATAATATTAACAGACCAATATCAACATTCGTAAAACAGACACATAAACATTGAGATAAAACATATCACACAAAGTAAAACTAAGCAACCAAGTCAGCACCTCCGATTAGCACGATTCGCTACGTACAGTACGAGAGCAGTTCTACATACAACAAAACAATTCGGTAGGCATGCATAGAGATTGAAATGAACAGTCGACAGAAACCCAAATAAAACCATGAAAGAGCTGGACGAACAAATGGACATCCTGGCCGTTCCGAATTAAGCACAACACATGCACACTGTTATACACAACTCCCCCCTATTAGTAAATTGGCTGACCCGGGTGCCCCCTCCAAGCGGGTAATTAGCGCGCCTGCGGATTCTCATTGCCGCGACGAGGCCTGGGGAACACACACTGATCGAAAGGAGAAAGACAGATGCAATTGTGGAAATTTCACATATCCGTGATGGCACCAAGTTCATCCGTTGTGGCATATCACTTGAGAAAGTGGCAAGCGTACACGTACACATCGTCAACCATGATCAATCCACTGCTGGATGTAGTGCCACGAAAATCCACCAGGCTCGAAAGTGTTCTGCAGAATGAGTGAGGTTGAAGGGCTGACTTAGCTGCAGGCGATTTCAAAGAGGGGGATGTACTTAACTATTAGTGAATCATGTTTGTTTTCTCCTGGAAGAAGAATTTTTATTTTAAATAATTCACAGAGAATGTTATGTATTATAACCAAATACATTTTACAACGGTTTATTAAATCTGACATCTTGCACCGAAATTTTAATTTGAAGCTGCTATTTGTTTGCCTGTTGACTGTTCTACTTTCAAACAGCCATTATTCATTTCATGTATGTGGTGATGCAAATCTGTCTTGATTTTCAAGCTGCTACCCCATTATACACTGCACAACTGCATAATGGAATCTGACACGGTACATACAAATCTGAATTTGAAGGTATTATTATTGGTTTCCCAGTGACACTTGCTCACCTACTTTTAAGCAGTCATTGCCATCCGTTTTGAGCAATGCAGTGCGAGGTCTGTTCCAAGTGACGTGATTGACAAACGGCGTCCTGTTGGATGCACCAAAGTGCTGTGTTTTTTTTTTATTTTGGGTTCGAAATGTTGGAAAGGTAATACTTGTTTCCAAGATCACCTCGGGCAACAGAAATTTTTTTTAGTTTATTAATATTTTCCTCTGACATACCATATGGGAGATGCTGAGCATGACAGATGCATGGGCACTGAACTTTATATATAATTCCTCACTGGTATGTGTGAGTTGGTAAAGGTGTGAAGCATAAACATGGACATTTTTGCATGGCTACCTGTGGACAATGTATCCCCACAATAGCTTAAAACCTGTTTTAGATAGGATGAACGCAACTCAGCTTATGAGATCAGATGCATTGCAGTTGATGTTGTGATAAGCATGTGGGGCATTATCAGAGTTTCACTCATTGAAATGTGGATTATATCCTAATATTAGAATTTTAATCACATATCCATCTTATAATCCAAATCCAAAATATCTAAAAATGATTTCCAACTTAAAAAAAATATGCAATATATCAATATTCAGTATCTATGTAATATAAATAACTCCCATGTTGGTTATGAATACTGTGCAGTCGTTCATTGACATCCAGGTTGTGCAATGAGAAAAGATGCAGTTGTCATGTGCATCAACCACTATTTTTGGGGGGGGGGGGGGTTTCCTCCCTTCCCAGATACATGACGGAATTGCGTGGAAGGCCGGCCAACCTCAGCCGACACGGAAGCGAATGTTCACAGGAAGTCTTGAACGGCAGCCAGGGATCATCCAGCGCCGGCGTAGGTTCCTCATCAGGTAACACAGGCTCTCTCCTCTGCTTGGTGCAGCACATTTCTCTGCACGGAGCGTGGCACGTGGTCCAATTCAAAGGCGTAACACAATTTGGCACGAAAGCGTATGCAGTCCTTGTCACTTTTTTTGCCATTTTGTTTTGATGTTCGGTGTGCTCATGGCTGCTACTCTTGACACCTTTGTTCTTTCGAAGCAGATTTTATTAGACTTGTCACGTAATTTATAAATAGGGGAGGAATCGTTTTTTTTTTGTTAAGCTGATGAAGCCAAGTATGTTGCGATTAATTGTTGTCACGGCAAAATATGTTAGTATATGAAAATGACAATTGTGCACTTTTTTTTTTTCTAAATTAAAATATTACATTGAAACAATTGCTTTATTTGTAATCTTTAATTGTATATTTGAAATCCTCAACTTTATTAAATTTGGGTATGTTGATAAAAACACATTGCCACGTGACAATTTCTGATACTTTGCCAACCGTGGAGCAGATGCTATGATAAGGCTTGCATGCAATGTCTCCAACCGAGAGTGTGTGCCTGAGAGATGGTAAAGGCCTTGATGAACAAGGACACTTGTGACATTTTTCATCAATGATTACCACACCGTTTTTTAAATAAATATATTCTCCCACATTTTTACAAATGATTGCTGCTCCTGAGTGTCCCGAATGTGGAAGCCAAAAAAGTTGTCATCGGTAATCAGAGTAATATACATTCCAAAAAGTTCACTCATGGCCTTTTAAGGCCTTGTGGCCTATGGAGATCGTCAGCAACTATATTACTAGGCTAGGTTTGTCAATCGTGGTTTTTTTTTATCTTTTAGGACAACGGTGACATCCACTTAGAACTTGGTAAATAGGACAAAGAGCCTCCATAAATATTCTGTATACAATTACTTGACTGGTCAATAATATGCTGATGAGACTTGAGAGAAATGTCTAAATCAAATTGGGTGAGCATATACATTTGATTGACATTTATTTCTAAATAAAAGTGCATTGAATATATTACGGTTTTGCAATAGCATTTTGATCATTTAATATCTATGTTGTATAGTATTGTCTATGTTTAACTTCTTTTTTGCACCATACGTAGCGTACCGTGTTAACCGGAGGTGTGGGGGGAAGTATAACTAAGAACAAAAGATCGGTTAGTTTTCAATCTTGTTTTAAAAGTGCGTAGTTTTAGTGGCAGAAGTTCATCTGCACACGCCCGATGCAGTAAACCATCTTTGTTCGATGGTTAGCCAAAAGCTGCTGCGAGGTTGACCGGAGTTGGCTTGCTAGTTTATGTTCCTTGACGAGATCGGCAAGGTTTGCAATAATTCAATATTACTCGTACATGTGTTGAGGTGTAAATGGTTTTATTGTGAATGCTCATCCACTGTTTACAAGGCATTGCACAAAATGGTCTGACGGTGGAAGCGAATGGAGCCAATGGTCCCCCAGGGTCACCTGACGGCGACAGCCCACCGGCCTGGCCTGAAACCCTGCCGGACAGCAGCAAGCCCAACAATACTATTTCCAAGTAATTGCCGTTTAGGTGCATCATCGTCGCCACCTTTAAACATCATCATCATTCACACTCTTAAAAAAATAACAAATAAATGAAAGAGATTCATTGCTGAAATAACTTTTTCTACTGTTGCTTCTGCACGTTCCATTCTATTTCATGATGTATAACTGCTTTATTAAAATGGCTTATCCTTGGCGTATTTTATAATACAACATCTTCCCTAGTTACTGGGTAGGTCGGTCGGTATCGGCCTCGGATATCCATGAGGCCCCACTCGAGTATTCTCATGAGCCGCGAGTGTGGCTGTCTTCAGCCGGAAAGCTATCGCAGCATAGATAACTTTTCTGATGAGCACTACGCTGCATTATATATATTTTAGTTGACTTGCATTGTTTTATAACACACTCCTTTATAGCCGAGTCTGGGTTCTTCAAGTGTTTAGTTTTATCTGTGTATACTCGCCTACAATACTCTGCCGGTTTACTTAAGTCGGTGGGTGAATTAAAACAAAGCATAATTCGTAATGCGGTTTGGGCTGATTTTTGCACTTAGATTTTCAATAAAAAAATGTCATTATTTTCCATAGGGATATACAGTACAAACAATGTAAGTGTTGTGTTATTTGTAATAGAAATGTTTATGGAGTAAAAATCTGCAAGTTAATGTGATTCAGCCATACAAAGTACATTTTCGTGCTGCTTGTATTTGGTATTAACATTTTGGAGCCTTGTTTTTTTGGTCTCAAGCTTCTTGAAACAATTAGATTGCTTGGAGGTTTTGGAGAATTTCACTTCACGTGGATTGTTAAGTGTCCAACAGCTGAAGAACTTTACTCTACAGGTAAGTTCCCATGCGCGCTTCCATGCAAGCTACGTATGTTTTTTGTTATGTATACAGGATTGGGATTCGTTTTTAAGTTGTGCAAGTTTTTCTGCAACATAAAAAATGCACCTATGTGAGTGCACAAAGAAGCATGGATAGATGGAATGTTGGAATTACACTTGAAAAGCGTTAATACGTGGATACTGAAACAAACAAATAAGAAACATTGACAACTGCAAAGAGTAAATGGGCTTGGGCAGGGCACATTACTGGACAGGATTGTGGCTGGGAAACAAGACCGTTGTTGGAATGGCATCCAAAGTAGAGGACACATCCAAGAGGATGACCACCACAGAGATTAGAGTTATGAGATAAGTTCATGTGTAGTTGATAGATGGATAGTCACATAGCTAGAGTGAGGAGGCTGGGGAGTCCTGATCCAGTAGTGGGTAAAAAAAATATTTACTGATTTTGTACATTAATTACTCTGAGGAGTGTTTCAAATACACGTTATCAGAAATTGTAAGAATGTATCGCTGAACGAAATTTGGTGTGTGTGCATATTTTCTGTATTTCGCTGGATTTTAGGACTTGGATAAACTGGAAGTGCCGGAAGCCAAAAGGCAACTGCTACTAAGTGGAATTCAGGAGTATCATGTGTCGACCACGATCTTCAGCGAGACAACACTGAAGCGCTCGCCGAGTGAAGAGACCATCCACCTGAGCCCCGAGGACGATGATCATGGCATAGACACCAAGGATGGCATCCGTGCCAAAGTTTTCCCAGCCCTGCAGGCCTCTGGCAGTAGTCTGTCCTCTGTCAGCAATCAGTCTCGCAAAAGTGTCATTCCCAATTACATTTTGCGAGTTCGTGCTCGCCATACCATTTATCTGCCTCGTTCTGGCAGCTGGGGAGGCAGTGGCAGCCAGGAGATGCCCAGGAGCAAGATGCGAAAATTGGCTTCATCCTCTGACACTGAAGAAGAGAGGCTGGAGTAAGAAGAGGGGGAGGGATAGATGGATGATGGTAGGAGGTTGTGTGGACCATTGGATGCACTTTGTATGAAAAGCCCTTGGGGTAAATAAGCTGGTGTCGTTCCACTCGCGGTTTCAACAACTTCCTTTGAGCTTACTCTTTGGTTCTTTCGGTAAAGTCACGTAGTTAGAAATAAAATCAAACAAATCACGTCGTTTAGATCGCAACACAAGCGGTCGTTGCGATCGAAACGTGATTGATTTTATTTCTAACTACGTGACTTTACCGAAAGAACCAAAGAGTATGGATTCCTGCAGTCACGAAAGCTTCAAATCAAGATGCCTTTGAGCTTTGCTTGCATTTTTTTTTTACATTCTGCAGTCAAAAGCTAAAGCAGCGTCTTGGCTTTACTACCCAAGGGAAGAACTTGTCTCTTCCAAGAATGGAGTGAATGACTTATCAGTTTTGTTCCTACATGCCATTTAAGTAATCTCGAGTTTAAATATTAAACACGTTTTGTTTCCATGCAGAGGAGATAGCCACGTTCAGAGCAATGTGCTTTTTTGTTGTGTTACACTTGCTCTACTGTTCAAAGATCGCTTCAAATCTGCATCTTTTGGAAGGATGAATACGAAGTGGCAATGTTTTTACATAATCAGATTTTCTCATACTCCGGAAGATTGTTGTATGGGGCCTGTATGCTATAACCTACTTCATAAAAAAACAAAAAATGAGAAAAGATAGTTAATTTGTGACATGTTCCATTCTGCAAAGTTTATAGACTTAGTTTGGTGCTGGTAGCAATGTATAGAGAAAAAAAAACACCTTTTCTACATTTAGTGTTTATGGAACTGTCTTAAGCGTATATATGCAGTGGTTATTTTATGCTTTGAATTCAGAAACCTGAGGTTGAAGGTGATATCCTAACTGCTGATTCTTGGGCACTGACCACTGTGGTGTAGTACCCGTATGGTCACTGCCTTCATCTAGGAGTGGTCTGAAAAAGGGTTGTTAATATTTTTGAGCTTTAAATAAAAGCCAAACCTTTAAAGTCAAATTTCAGGAATTGTTTTTCTAGATAAACCACTTGGAGAAAATATCCAATGTTTGAGTTTGCATACGGAGCCCAAAACCACCTGTACCTTTTGCAATGTGCTTTATATATTGTAACAATCACTGCCTTTCATGTAAAATCGGTATCAGGTGCATGAAGCGCTTGAGAACGTTCAATTCGAATGCGCAATTCCCTGAAATATCTACAGTATTGTTTTGTATAAAGTTTTGACAATAAAAAAAACTATTTGAACTGTTTACACAATGTTTTCTGACTCTGTTCTTTAATCCAATGTGGCGCAATACAAGTATTCTCTTTACCTTCGTACACGGGTTGATATTGATGGAGCGCAAGCGAGTGAAACTTTTACGCCGAGGTGGATTGAGCGCAGATATTTGCGTCAGGAGTAGCTGAGCGAATCGCCGTGTGATAATGATGCCTCCATGTGTCAATCGGGATGCTGTGTTATGGATCGCACACAACAGAGCATCGATTAATCGGGAGGGGGTTCTTGATTTTAGAAAAACGCCGGATAAATCACTTATTTAAAATAGCTTATTTTTGCACGTTCTTGTATAACGCTTTTGGTGGTGATTGTTTTAAATTTGTTCCAATAAGACATTGACATAACTAAACATACACGTAGACAAATTCCCTACTTTAAAATAATTTTGACTATCGTACTTACCACTTTTATCTCGGAGATTATGCATGGGGTGAAATATATGGTAGAGTATTTTCATTAAGTTGTATGTAGTGTATAATGTGTATAATATTTGACACTGAAATCAAGCGTGGCGACTTTGTTTTGTCACGCACGCGGTGCCGATCGCCTTTGGAGCGGTTTCGCCAGATCGGCCCGTGAACGCCGGATAATGTTGGAAGCAACCCGGATAATCGATGATCAACCGTATAGAATATCCAATGGGTACACTGCGGCAATTGAAGCATTTCGATGGTGAACTTTAGACTTGAGTTTTCATTGAAAAAACCTGTTTTTCTTGCGCGGGGCGTAGCTGCAAAAGTAGACCAATGAAACTCCCGTTTAGGATCCCGCCTCCCCCAAACGTGTTTTTTATTTCTGCATTCGTTTTCAACAGAGAGAGAGAAAGGGCATCCTGTGGCCATTTGTTTAACGCGGAGTCGAACGAACGACGGTGCGCAAAGCAGACCGAATGGCCACTGAGAATGACTGCGCTGTCCTGCAAGCCATCTTCAACCCCAACACACCTTTTGGGGACATACCTGGCCTGGATTACCCGCACGAAGTGAAAAATAACGAAGGTGAGGCGTGCGCGTGTGTTGCTCAACGGTAGTGGGAGCCGGTAGTGTTGTAGCCGGTGTAGCGCAATGCGCTACGAACCTGGCGACCCGGGTTCGATTCTCGCTCGTGGCCCAACGCCGGTGATAATTCATCTGAATCCTTTTTAGTGTTGCCGCTTGTTCGAAGTGAGTGGAGAGACGAAGTGCTACGAAAGCACTTGCAAGTGGCAACATCACCCCTTGCACTTTCCTGTTTTTTTCGCCAGCCAGCCAGCCCAGCCCTCCCGGCATACTGGAGCTGGCTTCTCATTATTGCTGGGGACGTCGAATTCAATCCAGGTCAATTTTTTCCTTGTGGCGGCTGCGGCAAAGAACGTCAATGCCCATTTTCTCAGTTGCCCAAAACGCGGACGAAAAATTAAATCGATTGATCTCTGGCTAAACTCTTCCAAAGTGGCGACACAACGCCACCTTTAAACAACGTGCGAGGAAAACAACAACAACAACAACATTACTCTGAACCGGTCCTGCGCCTCCTCGGTCGACTCAGCCTCAAATGAGTACCTGGTGCGGTGTGTAAACATCGCCACTGGGGAGACAAAGGCGGCCGGGCGTGGTGCTGTCCTGCCACCCCCTTGTGCGCCGTGCCAGCCTTCATAGGTGCGACTTGCTAACAGCACTTGCCCCAACAATCTATTAAAGGCTATACGGGGGTTCTTTGTCTTTGTTGCTCAACGTGAATTCTTTTTCTGTTTTACCTGTCAATACACAACTTAACAAGTGCTGCTGAAAGTGTGTAAAAGTTTAATGTAGTCTTGCGAGAAATGTAGAAAAAAAGCCTCGGTTTCAAATGGGGGGGGGGGGGCCAAGCTGGTGAATAATGATCTGCAACCCAAAATGGTGATCTGCTTGTATGGCGAGATGTTAACTCCCTCACCTGGTATGCAGGAGGTCGTGGTTTCGATCCCGACCTTGACGCCTGCTGCTGTATATTTGGAGTTTGCGTGTCTCTCTCTCTCTCTCCCTGTGGTCTCGTGGTTTTTTGCTCCGGGTCCTCCAGTTTTTCCTTTCCCTCCAGTTTTTCCTTTCCCATTTTAGAAACATGCGCTTAAGAGTATTTGGCTGCTCTAAATTTCCACGTGATAATAGTTGAGCTATCATTTGTGATAGCCAGGTCGCTTCTGAAAAAAAAGAACTGTCAGGCTCAGTGGGTCTTACCTGGTCAAAAAAAAAAGTTGAATGCCTCCAGTTGCCATTACCCAATGGTACAGCCACGACTGAGGTGGGTCCTTTCAAACGTTTGAGTTGAGGCAAAGCGTTCAGAGGAGCAAGGCGTATAGGGCATTCTGTCAAAAAACGTCTGTAGTTTTGTTGTTCAACTTATTTTGCGCCATACGTAGCCAACCGTGCTCATCGGAGGTGCGGGGGAAGGACGACAAACTAAACGCAGTTCTAAAGAAATGAGTTTTCAATCAATATAATTTATGACCTGATCGGCCAGTTGCTACCACTGGTTACTGCTGTTGCAAGACCACATTTCATTGGGCTGCCATTTGCTTGCCCAGCTGCTGTTCCTCGTCCTCCACTCCGTCCCTGCTGAATGGATTCATATTTTACTCGTCCAACGGAACATTTGGTGTGCAACCTGTTTTGTAACGAGCGACGAGAATTGGCACGTCTTAAAATTGTGGAGAGATTTCCAATCCACGGCTTCAGTGTCACTTAGAAAAGTGATGTAGTGTTGTTTTCCTACAGGATGTCAGTCGATGTCGTGTGTAGTTGTATTAACTGCAAACGAACGTGGTTAGTCAAAGTTAGAATAAGATAAGTGTGTAATACAGGATTCGCAATTAAGTGGTTTAGTGGAGACTCGTGATACATAATTTAATTAATATATCCTTCAATAACATTAACTTCAATAATTGAGATACCACCCCTATGCTGAATGGCATCCCATTGTTGGAGTTCCAACCAAAATGTTTAAACATGACTAAAAGGAAAAGTTGGGGTTCATGTTACAATCATTCCAATAGGTATCTGACCAAATTTGCCGAAATGTATTACACCAGGCACATGTTTGCAGTGCGCCTTGCCGGAACGTTGTATACAGGAATCCGTAGAAGATTGTAATATAAACTATTATCAAAATCTCAATTTAATTCGGCAGATTTTTAGATTCACCCATACAAAATGATACGCCCCTCCCGTGAAAATGCTACTGCTTCTCTCAGCACAGGGAATTGAAATGCACAAACGTTCACGCACGACCCATTGTCAAATCTACTGCTGGATGAAGACCACCACCAACCATCACCATTCGACCGTGTGCTTGGTAATTGCCTCCTTTAGACTCTGGCCTTGACCCAGCCCTGCTTGCGGAGGCCAAGGCGCTGGAGATGCAGGGTGTGGCTTGTGCGGAGGACGCAGACCTGGACCGAGCGGTCCACCTCTTCGACAGGGCCATTGAGCTGCTGCCCCAGAGACCCTCGGCCTACAACAACCGAGCGCAGGCCCTGCGCCTGCAGGGAGACACTGAAGGTACAGCCATTGCTGGGAGGAAGGGGGCTCCACTAGAGGAATCTCTGGTGCCCCCCTAGAAGATATTTGGCGTACTCTTACATGCCGGCCACATATTTGGAACAGGTGGGGATCACCCGTACTTGACCCTACCATGTGTGACCTGTTCACCGACTGTGGTGTACCATTTATATAAGAATATAGTTTGTTTCATGTTATTTATTCCAGAATAACCTGAACATCTATACTTTTTTTTCAGGAGGGTCCTACATGCAGACATTTAAGCAATTCCATGTTATGAAGTGTTTTTTTGAGTGGTAGAAAACCAGAATACCTAGCGAAAATCCACACGTGCTAGGGAATAACGTTTTAAGGTCGGCAGCAGAGTTAACAAATCCATTTGCTGTACTGCCGCCTTGTGGCCACATCGTACCCCAACAGGTCATAGATTTTCACATCTATGCAATCCACCAACGCGTGCCTCGAAACTACTAAGTCAGAGGCGTGCGGACGCCACTCCCAGCAATGGGAACGCATTGTTTTGGAGGTCTTTATTTGCCCATGCGTGTTGGTATGTGGCAGAATTTCCCACGCCAAAATTCCGACCCGACAGAGAAGCGTGAGCCTGAGTCTGTGTGGATAATTTTTGCTTCCTGCATACTGATTGTTTGCTTTGTTAAATTATATAATTTTGTTCCGACATTTTTTTGTTCCTAAAACAATGTAATCACGTCTTTTTGCGTTTTCGATCAGTTCCCTATTCCTGTTAGATGCGAAGTATGTACCGATACTTGTTTTGTATCGCGACCTACGTAACCAATCTTGCGTCACAATTATCTGTACTGTACAACATATTTGCTGTCACAGGACACCCATGAAATAAAGCCTAGCAGCTCATTGGGTCCTCCCTGTTGAAATAAATCAAATCTATCCACAAGCCGGGAGCCACAACACATGCGCTGAGCGAGCCACGTGGGCTGGTCACATGGGGTGGTCATGCGGCCAATGCACTCCCGCTGGTTGGTTGCGAAGTTGTGAATTTAGAAAGCTGCAGGAGAACCCCGGGGAGTACTGACGTCTGGCTACACTGTCAGGGATGAGTCTCCATCACGCCGCGCTTGAAATACGCAGGAGCCACATGCTGCTTGCAAGCCGCATGTTTGGCCACATTAGTTGAAGGCATCACAATTAATGTCTTTAATCCACTGTTTTATTTAACTGCCTACAGCGTCTTGAGATGCCGTACAATTCCAAATTGTAACTTTATTGAATTTTTCAATAACTTGTGAGTGTATTAATTTCTCACTCCAGCACGCTGGAAACGTACGCAGCAAAAATGAATGCTGAATGTTTTTGGTCGGGCTCAGGAGCACTGGCGGACCTGGACAGGGCCATCTCTCTGGGCACCGGAACGGGCCACTCAGCGTGTCAGGCCCTGGTGCAGCGAGGCCTCATCCGCAGGCTGCAGGACCGCAATGACGAGGCCGTCCAAGACTTCCAGCTCGCCTCGGCGCTTGGCAGCGCCTTTGCACGGCAGCAGCTGGTGCAGCTCAACCCTTACGCCGCACTCTGCAACCGCATGCTGGCGCAGGTCATCGGCCAGATGAGGAACCCCGAGCCAAACCTGGATGCGCCCATCGACCATTAAAAAAAATCGTAATAAGCGAAGCAACCAGCCACCAATAATAGCTCCTCACATGGGATTGGAGGACTCCCTACCCTGACCATGTGAAGTATGTTGATCATTATTAGGATTTACAATCCTTGAAAATTCCAAACTGAATGTGCAGAAGTTCTCGTTTACATACCAAATTTGTTCAGTTTGAAGCTAGTTTAATTCCAAAGCGATGTAGTAATGTGATCCCAACTTGGAAAGAGATTGACAGTTAAATTAATGCTCGCAATGTTTCACTTCCACTTCTTGAAGGGTTAATTTAAACAGAGGTAATCGATCTAAATGTTAGACAGCTACATTTAACTATTTTTAGGTGGGGTTGATTTCTTTTTTTATTTTAAATTAACCCAGAATTAATACATTGTTGAAACATTGGTCGAGATTGCATTTTTCACGCACTGAAACACCTAAAATAGCCATTGCTTCTTAGGCAAATTAGTGCTGTATGTATTAACATGGCAAAGTGAAGTCTATTTGTGTCCCCATCTTGGGTAACACCTAACCCATTCGATGTGTTATGCCACACGTTGTATTGGGAAATTAAAGTTGCGTAGCAGATTAAAAAACAACCGAATGAAAGTTTCAAATTTAGTCCAATTGTCAGCTATCGCACCGCGAGTGTCTTCCATGGCAGGCACCGTATAAACTCAATACTGTGCTTTTACAATACAGGGACTCCTACTTTCGAACAAGATAGCTTCCAGAGGTCTGTTCGCAAGTCGATTTTTCGTCAGTCCAACTTTACGCCTGTCGACTCCAAATATATTGTACAGCGTGTACACTAAACACGTAGATGTAGATGCCACTGGTTCTTCATGTTCTACAGATGTAGATGCCACCACCATCTATTGCGTGGCGGCTGAACATACGACTCGGTCTGAACAGGCAACCGGACATACAGACACGTTTGTTCGTATCTCTGAACGTTCGTAAGTCGAATGTTAATAAGTCCCTGTATTCGAAAAGCAGTTGGTGAATCGAGCACAACTTTTAAGTTGCCTATTTATTGCTTTCCCATGGGTTTCCACTATTCAAAAAACGTTAAATTATCGTGGACCTTGTTATTCAATGTACTATTTCAAAACATCTCCAGGTGCCTCTGTTGATGTGTAAGCTTTGACTTGAACATAGCTATTTCTGTGACCAGTCACAAGCTAATCCCTCAGCTATTTCAATGCTAAATTCTCCTGTTTTATATGTAAACTCCTTTGTCAAGGCGCTTCACTTCTCTCACCCAGCTTAAAAGACGCTGCGAATCTTAGCAGCGTTCATTCAAGCTCTGTCGTCCCGACAGTTTTGTACCTTAACCTGAAGAAGGCTACTTGTGTTGTGGCCGAAACGTCGTGAGAATTTTCTTGTCTTATGTTATTATTTTATTATCATTCTACGTGACTTTACCGAAAGAACCAAAGAAGATGAATCCTTGCAGTCACGAAAGTTTTAAATCGAAATCTCCAGTAGGTGGCGCATTTTGTATTGGCTGTAAGGGGTCGGTGACCTGCGTGCTCCGGAGCCACGAGGCTCTTTGAAGGACTGCGTTTGTGACGAATTCGATTTTTTTCTCTTCTCGTTATTTTGTTTGCCGACCCCTGGGCTGCACGAATACCCGAGTGGGCCAAAGGTGATCACTTGTAAGATAACTCTGTGACCCAGTTGAACTTGAAGCTAAAATCTGAAACAATAAAGGTGGCACATTACTTCATACCTGCATCAGTTGTTTTTTTTCTTGCCCAATAAACGTTTGTTCGTGTGCCTCATTTTGGTAGCGCTATTGTTACTTAAAATCTGTAAATTATGAAAAACACATCGACAAGATAAAGTGTGCGATCATTAAGGTCTTGGAGTTTGAAAAATACTATTTAAAGCCCGATTTAAAGGTATTATTGGGGATGTCTTATAATATTGTCTCTAAATCCAACACATTCGGCGTGGAATCCCCTTAAACTAAAGGCGTCCTGAATTGACTGATATTCCAATATGCTTAATGTACAGTATGTGTGTGCGCATATGTGCCTTATCATCTCAATGTAACCAGGAAAGTCTCATCGAGTCTCAAGACTCATTTTCAGGAGTTCAGTATTGCGATGTTTGGCCATTACCTTTAAAGAGCGTCATGTGGGAAGAAACCAGAGTGGGTGCAGTTAACAAAACTGGACTAGTTTTGATATCGTATCTTATAAGCATGCAGCCTTTTGCTGACAAAGGTGCTGCAGTTTTTTTTTATCCTGCTCGAATTGCTTGACCACACCCTCTGTACTGTGTGGGGACATTCTGAGCATTCTAAAATTCTTGTAACTCAAAGAAGACCTACAGAAATTTTAACAACCAAATTAAGACTTCGGCATTATTCACGACACCCAACCACCAAGACTAAATAGTTGCGATTCTGTCATTTTTCTGCCTTGTCAGTACTTTCAATCACGTTTGTTATTACATCATTTGTAGTTTATACTCGTTTCTCGTTCGTTTAAACCATAAAGTTGAAAGAATGGTGTGTGAGAATGGAAAATAATGGTGTCTTGCATAAGCAAGCTGACGAATCTGATTATCTCCACAGATAGCTACACAAAAGCATTTGGCTTGGTCTTTTGAACGCGCAGAGATTACTGAATGCAGCTGGAATCTGACCAAACGGGAATGTTCACTTAATTACACTATTTGCTGATGCTACGGCTGCGTTTGCTGTGTTGCGCAAGTAAAATGAACACGCAAAAAACCTCCACATTTGTCAATAATGCTTTCTATATTATAGACGTTTAGGGCAATGTCCCACCGAACAATTTCGCAGACTGCTTACACAAGTACTGTAAACAGATACACACTAATGGCACTATCTGCAATAAGTGTTTAAAAGGTGGCATGTACTGTAGTGCTATTAGGCAGGGGTAAAACGATTTGCCCTCTTTTCCATTGAATTAAACCTCACGATTCAATGCAACAATAGATTCGTTTTCTTTTTAACAGTGGTGAATGCATCGGCCTCGTGGCTGGGTCAGGGGTCACATGAGCCCTCTGCATGCAACAAACAGGAGGGCCTGCACTCATGACATGAATCATTCATCGTGAACATTGTGGCAAATTATTTAATTGGAATTATACATAGCAATCATCGCCCCCCCCCCCCCCCCAGTGCGTAAACTTGACAGGACCCTGCTAAAAACGAGTCTCGAGACTCGGTAAGGCTTTCCTTGGGAACCAAGTTGACAGAATTGGAGGTTTCAGAGCCGTGGCGCGGGGTTGGTTTGCGTACTGCGTTACGAACTCACCAATCCGAGTTCGACTCCAACCCAGGGCTAACATCAGTGACATCTTATCGGACCCTGGGCTGCTCGCCTCCCCCCTACAAATCGCATTGACCAGGATAGTGAAGTATGCTCAAACATACCACGAGCTACACGACTTTAGTAAGCCATCCCAGCAGAAGATTTACCCAGTTCTGTAAGTTAATTTCTCACGGACAATGCTTTTATTCTCTCGTGCCCCGGTCCATCTTACAATTTTCAAGCCCCCTGGAACGCCCCCCCCCCCCCCTCCCAGACGAAATATTTTCCGAAGTTCAGCCCCGGGCAGCTCCGATTGAACTTAAGCTTTCCCCCCCCAGGCATTAGGGGGCAGTGTAGGCGTGGATCACATTGATTATATTGGTAAAAAGACAAAAATAAAAATTGGTTTTCTGTATCGACACAAGCACTGCTTCCCCCCAATGTTTCGTTAGGAATTTATAAAAGCTACCATACTGCCTCTACTTGACTACTGTGACATCGTGTATAAATCAGCCCCAAGTACTGTACTGAAGAAGCTTGATTCCATCTACCACTCGGCCTTAAGATTTACATTGAACTGCCCATATAGGACTCACCACTGTGATCTCTTCAAACTTAACATCTCTTAATGTTCGACGGCTTGTGCACCAGATCGTATTTATTCACGATGTACTTACAAAAAAATCCGCATACTACCTGCTGGATCTCCTCTCTGTTTCAAAGAACAAATTTGACCTCAGGTCTTCGCTCATTTACCCCCTATTGCCGTACAAAAACTGGAGGAAGGTCCTTTGCTATTGCCCCCAGGGTCTGGAATGCTATTGCCAATAAACTGCAACTAGAATCGCTACCAATGAGATCTTCTCTCAAAACTGCTCTAGAGGAGTTGTACACCCCTAGCTGCCACTGCCATTCATTGGCGTAAAATAAAATAAAATGTTTTGCTCCGGATGACGCTGCAAAGTATTATCTGTATTTTGATTTAGCGTGCTGATCTTAAAGGTGCATTGAAAAATGTGATACTCCGACTGATGCTTCTGTTGTTGCGGAGTAGCTCATGCAGCCAGCTATGGCTCTAGGATTTCGTGTTACATGCTATTTATGTAGTTTATTGTAAAAATTCGGTCACAGTCCCTATGATCACTGTTACGTTGCAATTATGGCTTTATTTTTTGGTGATTTCGAAAAGTTTTTTGGTTTGGACATGTTTGTTTTGTTGTAGTACGGAGTTAGACTGATGGCCTTAATCTAAGTTTTCTTGTGGTTGTTGTTGTTTGACTTGCATCCCACTGGGATTTTTTGCACACAGCGTTGGTGTACGGTGCTTTTTTCAGGAATATTTTGCTGTTTTTTTTTCATGGATTTTCTGTTTGCACAGTCACGTAGTCACTTTAAGATGTTTTCTTGTTCGTGTTTTTGTTTGTTGCGGTTGCACCCGATTCAAGAGCCGAATGGCTCACAGGGCTATACCCAAAATAAATAAATAAATGAACTGAACTGGGTACATCCAGGTGAGGAGGCGTGGCATGGGGCGAGGCGTTTTGTACATTCGCGCGTGGCAAGATACCGGGTCGTCACTCTTCGATTGGGCCAACGTTCATCGCCGACTCACCTGCCGCTAACAAAGCGTCGCTGCGTCCTTTATTTTATTTAAAAAAAAAATAAAGGAGGGAGTGGTGAGCAAAGTCCGCCCAATCACGCCGAGTCACGCGGAACAAATGCGAGAATCGACTGCCGGATCGCAGCAGAGACTCCCACGAAGGGTTGCGCCGCTCGCGTCAAATCCCCCGGATAAAAGCGCATTGTTGTCGTCCGTGTCCCAACAATTATCCCGGGACACATGGCTTCAAGTGCGAGGAGCCGCAGCGGCAGGGTGAGCGCCGATGCCCAGGTACGGTTGCTCACTTGCCGGCTCACCTGGCACGCCAGCCTCCTGCTCCTGTGCTGGATGATGCCTGCGCTGCCACTCACCTTCGCGCGCACAGGTGAGAATTTGCGGATCGTCGTTGTCACGGCCAACAGCAGCCCCAGCCGTGGCGAGGGGCGAAACGGCGTGTCGCCGTTGCTCTGCGGGTGGTTGAGTTATTGTTGTCGTCGTTGTCGTTGTCGTCGTCGTCGTCCGCGTAATGTAACGCAGAACCGAGACACAATGTGTGCGAAACCATTCTACGCGCACACCTCGAATCGTCCGGCTCCGAAAGTCGCAAGCTGAAACAAATGACCACGTTTGTTTAAAACAAAAAAAGCCTCTCCCTCGTCTCTGGCTGCACCCCACAGCGATGACAGCGCAGTCGATCGACGGGTCACTCGCGGCGAGGGGATGTTTGGGCACTGTCGCAACCTTCAAAACACGCCTGGACGAGTGGCCGGCGTGGAAGAGTAGGCCAATATACCCCCGAGAAGGGCCTCGTGGAGAAGCTCGCCCAGCAGTGGCCCGAGGACACAATTGCGGCGATGCAAATCTTTACATTTGCGTCATGTGTTGTCCACACACACGAGACGAATATGTAGAGCTGAAATTTGGCACTATTTAAAAAAAATAGTATTATCTGAAAACCACTTCGAATTTGGATCTCCAAAACAAGACGGAGCTCTAAGGGCTTATTGGTCTCGTTCATATGGAAGGCTTGGCCCATAACTGCGGTTCCAAATTGTCATTGGATGCTCGTGCTAAGCACTTATAAAGATATGATATCTACTACCAGTGGAGCAAGGTTAGTGTGTATTCACGTCTCCTGTGGAGTTGTGAAGTCAAAGCTCATAGCAAGCGTTGTTTCATATTCAAATGTGTAAAGTTTTGTTTTGGTAAATATACCATAATATAAGAAAAACACAATGTATGCTTTGTTCAAACCTAACGTCTGTTGAAACACGTTAGAGATATAACTATACTAAATAACCACAGAGATTAACATTGTTTTATAGGGTAAATATACTGTATACATTCTACTGTATATAATCTTCAGCCATGATAAACCACACTGCTAAATGAAGACACCCCGAAATCAATCAGTCTGAATGATTGCATTTATTCCTTCTGAGTTGGAATGATTTTTTCATAGTCTACAAAGGTTAGGTACAATGGTGCTTGATATGTGTACACTACTACACTGTATGTAGAAGGCTGACGTTTTTAAAGTCGGCACAATGACGTTTTCATTCCGGTTTGAAACCATTCAGACCATCAGCAGCCGCGTTACTTCCATTCCTTAAAAAATGTCACATTTCAGGTTTCTGAATTAAACCTTGTCGCCTTCAACACATGTGACGGTCTCGAACACACGTGTGTATCCGTGACACATTTAATTTATCGGCAAAATTAAACAAGCGCTAAAAGACACACAAGTAAAACTCTATTTTTAAATTATCTTCTATACATTTATCCACCATGCTTGTGAAGTTCAGAAATTAAACATCAGTGATGACCTCTTCACCTATTAATTGTTCATTTTGATTGGGTAGTCGTCACTGCCAGGATTAATATTAATTTATACATGTTTTCGCTTGAGTGGCTTTTAAATTGTAGTCGAGTAAATATGTTGTATATATACGATTTGCATGTTTTTTTTCGAAGGAAGCAAGGGATGTAGTCAAGTAATTATACTAATAGGGTTTTCCCCTTTTTTCTGGCAACAAAATTGACACCTTTTGCAAGGAATCACATTAACAACAATACTTGCAGTCAAATGCAAACAAAAAACAATACTCTGATCATGTATGCATTGTTCTTGAAGCTGGTCCACACCAGAGACAGCTTTTCTTAGAGCCTAGTCTCATATATGGTGTTCGATTCTAACTTCAATTCGATGTTTCAGTCACCAAGTAATTTGGCTGAGTCAACTTGAATTACAGGAAATGTATTTCAATTAGTATGGCTTTTATGTTATTTTTTTTCTCAGAATTATATTTGCTTCATCGTTGTAACTTTATTTTTTGTAATGTATTGCCTTTTTATCATTTTGGTGACCAAGGTGAGTCTTGCAAATGTGACTATCCTGCATGTTTGATGATCTGATTTTTACAGGACATGAAGAAGGTTCATTCTCTGTGGCTTCAGAGAGCCAGACGAGCAAGCTATCTTGGTACGATATTACTGTACCATACACATTGGAAGGTAGACAAAGACGAGACATCACCCATAAAGGGTTGAAGGTGAGATATGTTGTGGTATAACGTTTTAACGGGGGGGGGTGGTTATTTTTACTCCGTTCATTTGCTGGAGAAATCAAGAAAAAAACCTTCTTCCACGTCTTTTTTTTTCTACTTGTGTGGCCAAGAAAATGTCTGTTTAACATTCGTATGTCGAGCATTTGACCACGATGAAGTAAGTTTGTGAACAGACCAGTTTTTTGGTGCTGCTTTACCACATTTCACAGTAATTACTGCCATCGCCCAAAGATGCGTGTGTGTGCAGAATTTCAAATCTTAAGAGCGAGAAGAAGTCCACGCGTTGCTACAAACTGAGAGCTCCAATTCATTGCGGTAGTCACGCTTCGAGGCAGTAATGGTGTCTACAACCTGAACAGCAACTGAAAAACATCCTTGTTTAATGATTAACTTGTAAGTCTACACTCAAGATAAGTTATTTTTACCAATAAAAAAAGACATGTTCTTTATACAGTGGGTGGGCCCCATCAGAGATGGGGTATACACAGTGCGGCATTATGCAACGGCGTGTGTCCCTACAGAGAGCAGTCTTGCATTCATGGCTTTTCACACACGCCCTTGTGTGTTTGTTCTTAACCTGAAACCTGCATTTTACACCACCTGATGTGCACTGCGGAACACATGCCAAACCTGAGATGGATGATGTTTGTAAAAACAAACTGTCTTTTTTTCTCACTTTCAACTAATTCAGTAAAATTGTTGAAATTTATTCCAAAAAATATACATCCTGGCATGTGCACAAATCCGCATTGAGAGAGTCATGCTTGGAATAAACACCGAGAGACAGAAAGAGGCATCAAATTATTTGTCTAGAAAATTAAGTGGGCTTGGACAGGGCACGGAGCTAGCAGTGATTAATTGATGGCCGGTCGTCGAGGCTAACAACGGAGTGGCAGCCAAAGGAAGGGAATTGCAACCAAGAGAGGACACCTATCATGGAGATAGATTGACGACGATGGGATCGGCTCGTGTGCAGAAACCGCATGGCTGGCGCTGCATCATGGAGCTGTATGAAACGGTGGCTGGCTTAGGGAGGCCTTAGCTCAGCAGTGGATAGAGCATGGCTGATGATGACGATCACTTCCTGTACTCTCGTACCCTCTTATTTACAAATGACTCAAGAGCCAGCTTGATGTTCTGTGTATGTTAATTAACAGATTGCATTTTGCTTTTACTTCCTGCATTACAGACTTAGCACCTTTGAAGTAAAGGTATAAACGAAGTGGGATTTATTTCGGTGTAAACTTAGAACCACCGCTGGTCAAAACAGTATAAGCTAGCGACAAAAATTTCAATTCGGCTTGGGCTGTAATTACATCCTTTGTACAAGAAATAAGACCCCATGGAAACTTCAAGGGAAATGTTTTGCTACAAACATTTTTTTACACGCGAGTGCTTTAATAGGTCTAAGTCTTGTATTGAATATTAAACTCTGCTTTAAATGGTGTTTTATAAGTACATCACAGAAGTTAATTGTTAATGCTTGTGTCCTAACAGTAAACTATCCCCCCCCCCCTCCACACCATTTTATTCTTTCTTTGGTCATGATACTCTTGGGTTTCTTTTTTATTTACAAGCCGCACACATAGTGGGCAGCAGATGGAAGTTGCAGCTAAGTCCATTGTTGAACTGCGGCGCTGCGCTCCCACGTCTTACGCTTCCTCATCTTCCCCATACCGTTACGGTCTGGTCGAATAACCCATCACGACTCCCGTGACGTGAGAGAAGCCGTCATTCAGCGGTCAATTGGCAAAAGGACCGTGCATTTCCACACGCGCAGAGTTAAGCGAACATGACAAATATTAGCAGTGTCCTATTGGGGGTGGTTTGACTCCGCTTATTATTTTCCAATTTAGGAAGGTGTACATTGTGCAATCATTCCACCTGTTGTCCCTGTTCCTTTTGCATCGCGTCCACAGTTCGAGCATCCAGAGAGGCTTGAAATATTCCTGGAGGTGGCTGGACAGGCTGTCCTGCTCCTGCTGGAGAGAAACAAGTGAGCGATCGGATCGCTGTGCACTTGGCACATCGCACTCGCCCACTCTGGACCAGCCTTGGTCAGCCAAAGAACACTATTAGTATAAATGAATGATTTTAGTTTTCACGTCGAATTAATGTTAAATTACACGGCAGTGCTGTACCGTCAATGGATTGCAATACCTTTTGGGAAGTACAATTCTAATATTAGGACACATTTAATATTTTTCTTATATATTGTATGAACTGTGATGTTGCTACTGCGTGTAATATATTATATATTTGTTCCAGACACCTGATACCACCTCATTTTAAAGTTTCGCACAATGGCAGTGCAAGTATGCAAGACCTCAACTACAGAGTAAGCATTGCAAAACAAATTAACTCGGACGTCATGGATTTATTCAGCACAGACGTTTCGTAGCCTATGCTTTTTTGTTCGTTACAGTACTTACAAGGCATGGACTTCTTTTTTACTAGTAGCAATGAACTTAGGTATATTACATCATATACATTAACGCTGGAAGCCAGTGTTTGTATGGGGTTGGGGAGTTGTTGGCATAATGTAAAGCATCGGGTGGTATTCCAAGGGTTATTTGGTTTGTTGTGGAACTCTGTGTTAAATGTCACAATCTGGCTTAACAGGTTTAACAACATATTCTTAGCTCTTTTGATGAAGTCACTTTGAAGGGAAACAATAAAATATATATGACTTTACCGAAAGAGCTAAGAATATGAATTACTGCAGTCACGAAAGCTTTAAATCGAGGTTTAGCAACGTTTCACGAATTATTTATCGAAGTTTGGGCTGCGTAAGAGTCGCAGTAATTATATCACGTATAGTATTTTCAAGGTCGCCAAGGGAATTCAATTACATTTGGAGAAGCAAGCAAATCAGCTACAAGACCAAACTGAACATCTTAAGAGCATGTGTGTTCAGTACAGCTTTGTATGCTTGCGAGACTCTGACATATAAAAAAAGAATGACAGGGATAACATATTGGCATTCAGTGTATTGCTACAGAATTATACTGCATTTAATCTGGGCCCAAAGTGTGACTAACGTAGAAGTAATACATAGGTTGCACATAGAAGAAGGCAACTGGATATGATGCAGGCAGTGATGAGAAGGAAACTGGCACCATTAGGAGACATCTGTAGGATGGACAGCAACAGGGAAATTAAATGTTTGGTGTTTGGAATAAGTAATATTAAAAAAAAAAACTTTTTTAAAAATACGCTTTTATGAAATGTACTAGTAATGGCAGAACTCCACGACTCCAGGAAATGGCCCTGAAGCTTGCCATAACGTAAGGGGGACCGTGGGCAATTACAGCCAACGTTAGTTGAGCGTGGACAATTAGACCCAAGCCGAAACATAACATATAAAAAATAATGTTTAAAAATATAAATATATATTTTTTTATTTTTTATGATAGAAAATAGTATTGTCATCAGTGATGTAAGCATACCAAGTTTGCAGTCGATACCACATTGGTAAGTGGGTTAAAGTTGAGTTACAAGATTTGAGGATACAACAACGACAACAACAACAACAGACAGAGTGAGTTAAAAGAAAGCGTGTAATAAAGGGAAGGGACCGGAAAGGAAGGAAGACCTCACAGAGAACGGCTTGATGCCGACAATACAATTGTGACGGAAAGATATGCTACTACTTGAGCGTTTTCGCACTAGACAGGGGAAAGTGGAAACATAAAGAAAAGTGCAGAGGATACCTACAGGCTATCTGCCCATGCAGGATAGCCTGTACTATAACCTCTAATGTACTATAATGTGTACTATAACCTCTGGTTATAGTACACATTAGGGTACCTCTGGTTATAGTACACGTTAATATATACAGCATATGTACACTGTTTAAATGTATGTGCAACCAGAGGAATTGTGGTGGCGGTGCCATTTAAGAGTGTACCAATAAAACATGAACATCGTTTAATTAGCGCTGCGTATAACTTCTGGCGAGGTGGTGGTAGTGAACTCTTGAATCTAACCATGCACAGAGTTTTTAGTGTTTGCTCTTGGGTATGCGTGGGGTTTTCCAGGTATATTACTCTGGTTTCCTCCCACATACTGAACACTCATTAACAGGAGTAGCCAAAATTCCACTACAGGGACCCTCTTGAAGCAGTCTTCAGACTCGCTGAAGCTGTTGTAGTTAAATGACAGGACATAGTTCACTTTATTGTTTTACAGCGTTTTAACAATACTGTAGCAGTATTAATGGCTTCACCACCACAGTGGCTCGACAGGTCGCTTGCGTGGGTAAAAATAAGTGATTATAACAGTAAAACATATTGAGAAGGCTGATGCTTCATGCATTAGTCCTCCTCTGCTCATGAAGAGGCAGTATGTTTAGCCGACTCTATCATGTGCTATGACATTTGTTGCTATGGTTTTATTAATACGTGTTGAATCATCGACATCTTTAATATACACCTCAATCTATCCTCAATTATCTATAACAGTAAATCACTTAATGAATACGTCCCGAATCATTGACAACACGTTAAATTATTGTCGCGAATTAAAAATATCACGTTCGTTGCGCATTTTAAATAACTAATGCTGTATATTATACGATTGATAATTAATCGAGGACTTATTCAATCAAAGGATATTAAACGTTAAATTATCAAGCATAAATATGCATAATTTTAATTTGTTGGCGATTATCAACTGATTGTACCTACCAAATCGACAACATTAAATGCATTGCTGTTTTATGTACATTTTATATACACACTTATGTACATTTATGTATATTTTATGTATATTAAATTCTGTTTCGATAGTTTGCGTGAAGCATTGAGGCCACAGGCACACTTCCCCTTAACTAATGATGCCATCTTCATAGCGGCAACTGTCACTGCCATTCACTGTGTGAATTCACAACACGGTGAGCGGAAATTATTCCATCAATTTTTAAATATTACATTTCTCGAAATGTCAAATATTCTTAGCAAACAGGTACGCAGCACGAATGATGGCTGCAGTTGATTCTTAGCAGTTGATTCTTAGCAGTAATGTTGTAATCTCTCCCGTTCCCTAGACACACTGCTTCTACCATGGGAGCGTGGCTGGTCAAAACGAGTTGAGCGTCGCTCTCAGCACTTGTGATGGACTCCGGTAAGTGTTCGACGCTCTTGTTCAGGGCTGTGATGTTTTACAGCTGCCAAGAGAAACGGCATGGAGCGTAACAGAACGTTGCAGCTTCTGTGTACGGTTTTAAATTTTTCTGACACGAAATGTCGTGATGTGAACGTTCGTTACTTGCACATTTTCCTCACGTTTTCTGGAACCTCTTGATCGTGTATTTGCATAGTTTTTGGTTTATGTTTACGTGCGTTTAGTTTCCAACCGTTTCAATGCAACGTTGGTTAGTTGTGCAGTATTCATTAAGGGCTCCGTACACCACATTCTCTGCGACGCTGATGTTTTTTTTGCCATTGTTTTGTTGCTGCTGTGCTCACACGCCATGGCTCTCCCCCCCCCCCCCTTTGTAAAATTGCCGGGCAGCCTTGCATCATGGAATCGTCTGCGTAACAGATACAATTTTACTTAAACTCGCGGTAGTAGAGCTTTTGACGCGCGTTGCAGATTTTTGTGGGTTCGAACCCAGCAGGCCACCCTGGTTATCGACGAAGGTATATAACCGTAAGCTACGGTTAGTGGAGATTAAAAATCACGTGACGTCAATTGAAAAGAGTCAGCCATTGTGTGGTGACGCCATGGTCCAAACTATCAAATTAGGATTTCACGTAGCAACATTGCCCCTCTACTGTGAAAAGACTGCAGACTGTGAAACCACCTTCGTGATAGCCTTCTGCTACCACATCAAATATGCTATGTTATTTTGTATCAGTTTCCCGTGACTTTGTATATGTATTTCACGCAGTTTTGTGCTTTGCTGTACTTCCACTACGAATACAATTGTGATGCATAAAATGTTGAACTACAATTATGCAACTTAGGCTGCCATGTCTATAATCATGACATTCTGTAATGCTTATAATGTGCATGCCGTCAGTCACACAACAATTATGACATCGTATAATCACAATGCTATCAATTACTTTGGAAAACGTTAAACAAATAATTGATTGAATGAATGGATAATACCGATTGATTTGTATCTTTAACTATTGGATTTGATATTTAATAAATATGACGTCAGAAAAAATATTTTAGGAAATTTAAAAGATCCGCGATTATCACAATAGGATATACAGTAGACTAAATTATCCGCGCTTATAACAGGGAGGACTGCCGCAGATAATTCAAAATCGCAGGTAATCCAACCATATCCATTTTCCGCAGATCTCAATGCCAAAATGTCTGATATCGGTATACATTATGTTTGAGTCGCACAGATTCGTAAATGAAAACGCACAAAATAAATGATCGGATAAATAACTCGGAATGAAGCACAACTGACGATTTCGATTGTTACTCTTTCGATTTCAAATGAATGCTAACGATGGACCAATCGATGCACGTGCTCAGTGATAACGCTTTCCTGCTCTCGCATAGAACACTCAATCCACTAAATGGACAGCAAGAGGCACGCCAATCATAATCCAACTCCAACCACTGTTGTAAATATATGCAACTACTGTACTGCAGAGGCAATAACGTGGATTTTGGGTTAACTGGAGCACATATTTCTTCGGTTTAAGCATGTGACTTGTAATAAATATTTCCAAGCATAACAATGTATAACTGTTTTTAGATGATTAATTTTGTACCGGAGGGAAAATTCCATGAGTTATTTATTTATGTCAAAATCTTAGGCGTGCGGTTAATCTGCACGCAGAAAATCGAGAGTACTATTTATATATCTCACCCTCGTAAACATCCAGCCTCGGTGTCTGTTCTCAGGTAGCATGCCTGATTATTGTCCATGCACACTTATTATTGTACCTTTTCCTTAGAAGGTGTTTAATGTTCTATATATCATACTTGTAATTTAACATGTGTTACTGCAGTGCTTCTTATACTATAGGAAGTCCTGTTGCCATGATCCCACTCTATTCTTACAAGACCTGTTTATTTAGCCTATGTCACAAGTGAGTCACGATATGAGCTAATGTATACCCAGTACAAAAGAAATGGAGTAACCCACGTGTGTCTGCACACTTAGGTCTGGTCACCTATCACTGGTTTTCTTCACCATTTATTTATTTCATATCATTTTTAAAATTGGTGTTTTCTCATGCAGCAAGGGGCTGCAATGTGTATGCATGTTGAACTTCTTTCGCGCCGTACGTAGCCAACCTGAGGTGCGGGGTGGGGTGGGGGTGGAGTCAACAAACTGAACACAAAAAATAATTTTCAGAATCAGAAAGGGTTTTATTCGCCATGAAAGTTCGCACAGACAAGGAATTTACTTTGGCAGGAAGGTGCATACATTCAACATATAGTAAACTTAAATCTTAAATAATTGGTATACAAGTCTAACTATACTAAAGGTACAAAGTCTAACTAACACTAAGGGGCTAAAGTATGTAAAATTTTGAATAAATATTGAACATAAAGTAGCTATAAGAGACAATCTAAAAATACAATAAATACAAATATGGTAACATAGTGTAAATATGGCAAGGTGTCATTTTGTAGATAAAATGTTAAAGTCAGTGTAAGCCCTTGGCCTTGTTGAAGAGGCCAGCAGCGGATGGGAAGAAACTGTTTTTGTGGCGTGAGGTTTTGGTCCTGATGGACCGCAGCCTTCTGCCGGAGGGGAGTAGCTGAAACAGAGAGTGTCCAGGGTGGGAGGAATCGGCCACAATCTTCCTTGCTCGCCTCATGGTCCTCGAGATGTGCAGGTCCTTGAGGGTTGGGAGATTGCAGGCAATCACCTTCTCAGCAGTGTGGATGATACACTGCAGTCTGCTCTTGTCATTGGCAGTGGCAGCAGCGTACCAGACGGTTATGGAGGAGGTGAGGATGGATTCAATGATTGCTGTATAGAAGTGCACCATCATTGTCTTTGGCAGGTTGAATTTCTTCAGCTGCTGTAGGAAGTACATCCTCTGTTGAGCTCTCTTGGTGAGGGAGCTGATTTTCAGTTCCCACTTGAGGTCCCGGGATAGAATAGTGCCCAGGAAGTGGAAGGACTCCACAGTTTTGACTGGGGAGTCGCACAGGGTGATGGGGGTGAGTGGGGCTGTATTCTTCCTGAAGTCCACAACCATCTCAACTGTCTTTAGAGCATTTAGCTCTAAGTTGTTCTGGCTACACCAGGTCACCAGGTTGTCAGTTTCTCACCTATATTCAGACTCATCCCCACCAGAGATCAGCCCAATGAGGGTGGTGTCGTCCGCAAACTTCAAGAGTTTGACAGACAGATGATTGGAGGTGCACCTGTTGGTGTACAGGGAGAAGAGCAGTGGGGAAAGGACGCAGCCCTGAGGAGTTCCGGTGCTGATGGACCTGGAGTTGAGATTTGTGTTCCCAGCTTAACGCACTGCTTCCTGTCAGACAGGAAGTCTGTGATCCACCTGCAGGTGGAGTCGGGCACGTTCAGCTGGAAGAGCTTGTCCTGAAGCAGGGCAGGGATGATGGTGTTGAAGGCAGAGCTGAAGTCCACAAACAGGATCCTGGTGTAGGATGCTGGGGAGTCCATATGCTGTAGGGTGAAGTGGAGGGCCATGTTAACTGCGTCGTCCACAGACCTGTTGGCTCTAGGCAAACTGAAGGGGGTCCAGGAGAGGGTGTGTGATGGCTTTGAGGTGTGCCAGGACGAGGCGCTCAAAAGACTTCATTACCACAGAGGTAAGGGCGACTGGTCTATAATAATTTAGTCCTGTTGGCCTTAGCTTTTTGGGCACAGGGATGATGGTGGAGGATTTGAGACAGGCTGGTACATGGCATGTCTCCAGGGAGGTGTTAAAGATGTTGGTGAACACCGGAGACAGCTGGTCAGCGCAGTGCCTGAGGGTGGCTGGAGAGACAGAATCCAGCCCAGCTGCTTTGCGTGGGTTCTGCCTCTTGAAAAGTCTATTAACTTCTCCCTCCTGAAAGGAGAGAGTCGTCTTTGTAGTAGGGGTGGGGGATGGGGCCTCTTGGGTGGGAAGGGGTAGTTCAGGACAGTCATATTGTCTTTCAAATCTGCAGTAGAACTCCTTCAGGTCGTTGGCCAGGCGGGAGTCGTTAGTGGTGTGGGGGGCTCTGGGTTTGTAGTTGGTGATCTGCCTGAGCCCTCTCCAGACAGAAGCAGAGTCGTTAGCAGAGAACTGGTGTTTTAGTCTCTCTGAGTACAGTCGTTTAGCCTCTCTCACCGCCTTGCTAAAACTGTTCTTCGACTCCTTGAATCTGTCTCTATCCCCACTCCTAAACGCTTCCTCCTTCTCCAACCTCAACCTTCTGAGCTTTGCTGAGAACCAGGGCTTGTTGTTGTTGAAGTTCACCCTGGTACGTGTTGGAATACAGCAGTCCTCACAGAAGCTGATGTACGACGTCACAGCCTCTGTGAGTTCATCCAGACTATTGGTAGCAGTCGTGAACATATCCCAGTCAGTAAAGTCCAAGCACGCCCGCAAATCCTCCACAACCTCACTGGTCCACTGTTCAGATGTCCTCACAGCAGGTTTACAGAGCTTTAGTTTCTGCCTGTATGCAGGAATCAGGTGGACCATGGCATGGTCAGTGTCCCAGTGCTGCTCGGGGGATGGCGTGGTAGGCTCTACTGACTGTAGTGTAGCAGTGATCCAGAGTGTTCCCTTCTCTGGTAGGGCATTTAATGAATTGTATGTATTTGGGGAGTTCGTGGCTGAGATTACCTTTGTTAAAGTCGCCAAGTACGATAACCAGCGAATCTGGATTTGCTCGCTCCACTCTCAGAATCTGGTCGGCGAGCATGCGTTGGGCCTCTTTAACCTGAGTACCCGGCGGCAAGTAAACTCCGACCAAAATGAGCGACGCTAACTCGCGAGGCGAGTAGAAAGGTTTACAGTTTATAAAAAATGATTCAAGGAGCGGAGAACAGTGTTGCAGAATCACTGTGACATCTACACACCAGCCACTGTTAATGTAAAAACAAATACCACCGCCTTTTGTTTTGCCGGAGAGTGCTATGTCACGATCCGATCTTACAAGATGGAATCCTGCCAGTTTTTCACCATCAGTAGCTGAAGTTCGTCCATTTTGTTGCACAGTGAAGGTACGTTGGAGAGGAAAAAGCTCGGAAGCACTGTTCGGATCCCGCGTCTGCGTAGCCGTACGAGAGCCCCCGACCGTTTACCCCTTGGACGGCGTTTCGCTGCTTGAGCAAAGCCTAGCACGGCTTTGACTAGAATGCCCACTAATTCTGCCGCTGGAAGAAGAAAAGTGGGAAATAAAGCCACAGTAGTTGTTTCCCTGATATTTAAAAGTTCGTCTCTTGTTAGGGAACTCCGAAAATCTTGGCAAAACACTGAATTAACAGACAAAACAAGACAAAACAGGGCGCACCGACCGGCTGAGGCTACCATCATCGGCGCCATCTTCTCACCAGCACGGGTGTGCTGAACAGCAGGCCTCTCACCAGCACGGGTGTGCTGAACAGCAGGCCTCTCACCAGCACGGGTGTGCTGAACAGCAGGCACCTCTCACCAGCACAGGTGTGCTGAACAGCAGGCCTCTCTCACCAGCACTGGTGTGATGAACAGTAGGCCCCTCTCACCAGCACAGGTGTGCTGAACAGCAGGCCCCTCTCACAAACACGTTTGTGCTGAACAGCAGGCACCTCTCACCAGCACGGGTGTGCTGAACAGCAGGCCCCTCTCACCAACACTGGTGTGATGAACAGCAGGCCTCTCTCTCACCAGCACAGGTGATCAAGCAAAACAAGACAAAACCGGACAAAACAAGGTGCACCAACCGGCCAAGGTTGCCATCATCGGCGCCACACATGCAAAGAAAAGCGTTTTCAGTAATCCTCTATATTTACAACCAGTGGCAAAAAATATCTACATTCCTGTCATGAGTCATTTTTATGTATACATGAACCTCTGTTGAATTGGTGCAAAGTTATAGTTATTGTGTTGACCCTGGAGAGCTGACTTCACTTCTGTCGACGTACCAAGGATTCGAATTTGCAAACTTTTCATCGCAAGTGAAGTGCTCTAACCACATGCCTTGGCTGCCAACTAAAACTTATGATCATCAATAAAAAAAATATTGCCACATCATTGGCACCTGTGACTGTTGTGTCACTACTTGCACGCAATCGTTACGTGCTTTGGGCTTGAGTAGACAATGGCTAAATGCGACATCATCCCCTTGCCACTCACAATGTAGTCTTTCATTACAGGAAAATTCTTGGGTGATGTGGTGTCAAACGTCGCGAATCCTTATTATTCGTGGCGTTACCTACAAAGTTGCTCTACATATCCATGGATGACGGGATCAAGTTTGTCATGCGCATACTCGGATAGGAAGCAAATCTGAAATGAAATCGAATTTCTTTATAATTGCTTTTTTGTGTTTAGTTTGTTGTCTTTTCCCCCGCACCTCCGATTAGCGCGGTTGGATACGTACGGTGCGAAATACGTTCTCGATACCTACATACAAACTGTTGCGCAATGCAGAATGGGGGAAAATGCAGATAATTGCAGATAATGGGAATGAAAGGGGGCCTTGCAATCGGAGCTTTTGCAGAACCCTACAGTTTTATTGGATACGAGGAAGTCGCGGGTAAGAAGGTCGTGGATGAGAGTTCTTCGATAGTGTTAACGCCACTCATCTGGCGAGTTTGTTCTTCTCATTGATGTGGTCTAGTAGGGTGGCTTTTGACCACATCACCCGCGATGCACCACAGCTTAGAAGCTCAACAGGATTTTGAGTTTGGATAGTGCTTGGCTCCGTGACCCTTCATGCATAAAACAAGTGCTGTGGGATGCTGTATGGCTGCGTTTTCAGTAGTTGTCAGTGCCGCAAAATCCATTGTTATGCTGACATTCTATGCTCCCCGTCTTGGAACCAACCCATCCTGAGCATCGTGGTGAAGTATGGTCAAATAACTGCCGCAACCCGCACGTCGTGGGGAGGACCTCGTACGTTGTTGAAGGAACAGAATGGCTGTACATGTACACGAGGGTTAAAGTTTTGTATTCACCGCGGTTCGGAATATACGCCTGTGGAACCGAACTGTCACGGATCACTGCATATATAGTAGATCACCAAGGAGAGCTGCTCTGTATCTGCTAACTCTACTCTTATTGCACGCTCGACGTTTGCATTAAATAATGATGAATTTAAACCAGTGCTTCTTTACCTGGGGCACATGTACTCCCTGGGGGTGCAAGATGCCCTCTCTGGGGGTGCGTGGCATAGCCAAATCTTTTGAGAAGGTAAATCATCGAAGCACAAATTAAGCGTGGGCACGTAAGTACAACTACTTTTTTCTTCTAAAACATAATATTATGTTTTATTTGTATTATTTTATTTCCATTCTACGTGACTTTACCGAAAGAACCAAGAAGATGAATCCCTGCAGTCACGAAAGCTTTAAGTCGAAATACAACTTCTTTGTTTCATCAAACCCATGTATTTATTAACATACTGTTTTTTGTTATGATTGAGAACCAAAGGGGGGTGCACGGCTGTAGTAAGGGTGAAGAACCACTGATTTGAACAGTGTTCATCAACCGCATGAAAACATCATACTTATAGCTGATGTACACGTCCAGCATTTTACTGTTTAAGGCGAACCAATGTGGGAAAAATACAAAGCCCTTACAGTAAATAAACTATACGTACTGTGCAGTGTTAATCCAAAAAAGCATTACAATAATTCAGCGTTCACTGACACACCTTTTGTTGTTTTGAAGTTGTCTTTTCCTGCTATCGCTGGTACTCCTCGCCGTTTTCGTGGTATAACCTGGTGGTGTTGTTGCTGGTGTTGTCGATGTAGGGGTCGGTTTCTGTGGCATGGGGTAAGCTACGCCATTGAGCCGCTGGAAGGGTCAATGCGGGGAGAGCACCTCGTGTATAAGCTGGAGGACTTGAATACCGGCGGTTTGGGCTGCGGGGTCGTCCATGAAAATGTCACCCATTTTGAAGACTTGCCCTCTCTTCCAATTGTGCTTCGGGTAAATGCCCTGCATTTTTTACATTTATTTCACGGCAACGCTGACATCACGTACGGCTGTTATAACATACACGGTCGGCTTGTTTTTCTGTGCAGTGTTTGCAAAGTCGTTGGTGTCGTTTCTCACACACACTGTACCAGTTGTCTTATTGTTTGTTGTAAGCTTTTGATCTCTCAAACCCATTGCGTGGCGTGGTGGAGTCGATTTGGTTTTATCGTGCGAATGATGTATTTTTCAGCAGAGTTCGTAGAGTCTCACAACATTTTCACGTCATTAAGTAGAGATTTACGATATATACAAAGTGCAAGTATTATACTTTAAAATATACATTTAAATCCTGAATGAATAAAGTGCTGCTTGCTTCGTTCACGGAAGAGTGGCACCATTGCTCATTTCTCCACTTTGCCATTTTACAGAAGAAACGTGCCATCCTAAATGATACAACCAGGTGGGTAGAGTTCGTCCTGGTGGTGGGTGCCACCCTGGTGAGTCATCTACATGGGGCACATGCGAGCGCACGCACAAGCACCATACGTTTTATTTTATCGTGTGTTGTTCGGCATAATGTCCAAAGTTTCGCACCGGGTCATGTTCCTGGCTAAAGCTGAGGCCGTAGCAATATTTCGTGCAGATATGATTACGTCACGTAATTTTTTCGTGACATGAGTGCTTTACAAAATGTTTGGGGATATTGCTTTGGCAGTGGTGCACAAGCACGGATAACAACAGACTCAATGCATTCATAAATAATAATAATATTGCCAGAAAAGGAAAAGTATGTAATAGGCCATTTTTTGGGCCCTTCATAACACAAATGAACTGCTATGAATAATGGCCATTCCGAGAAACGGGGCTTATTATATTTTTCTTCTAAAGGCAGCGTTACTTTTCCTTTTAAGGCAGTGTAGTTGGCGTTAGTCTTGTGCAGTTTGTGAAGCCTAAGAACATCAGTTTTGATGGCAAGCCGCATATCTAGCGACTATTGTAGTTGCACCGTATGCACAATGCAAGTTTGGTTTATATAAAAAATGTACAAAAATCAATTACAATACTACACACTGCACACACCGTACTGTCTTGATAAAATGTCTGAAATGCAAAAATTGTGTTAAGCATCATTATGCTGACAAGGATATATGTTTGTTTGCAGTATAAAAACAGATATAACAGCAACAGGAGCAGTATGGTCACAGACGTGGCCGCCATTGTGAACTTGGTGGACTTGGTGAGTATTCAGGACTGCAATGCAGCAACTTCTGCTGGGCCCGGGGGTTCAATGTTATTGCTCTGCTTATTTGTTTACTCTGGTTGCACGTTGTTAGAGATGTACAGGCCTTCATAATACATATTTGTGCAACGGTCAAGAACACACTCCGGATACTCTTTAGAACGGTGCTTCGCAGCCGGCAAAGTCCCAGGTCAGCCGCAGCAATTTCAGAATTGATGACGATTGCTTGCGTTGCGATTGAAACCGTCGTGATATTTTTATTTCTATCGACATGACTTTACCGAAAGACCCAAAGAATGTGAATTCCTGCAGTCACGAAAGCATTAAGTCAAGATTTACAGGAGAGAAATTAACCACAAGGTGCCACCTCCCGTCCTCCCCTCTTCATTGGTCCGGCACAGCATGGGAGACAGCCCGTCAGCACCCACCCCCAGACATGGAGACACACACAGACATGGAGATATACACGCACAATGACACGCAGACACAGTTATGAATGCACTCGCTCACAGGCACGGAGACACAGACACAACACGGGGATACGGAGGTGCAAAGAGAGACGCCGCAAACACAAATTCACTCGCAGACACTGAAACATAGACAGAGAGACTCAAAACAGAGAGGAGTACACAGACACAGAGATACGGAGACGCACAGAGACAACATTAACAATTGGCGTTCGCCACCAAGTGACTGACTTCACGGTGCTTGTGCCAGGCTAGGTGTTTATAAGACCACGTGAAGTGTGAAAAAGCTCTTTACCAGGTCACGGTAAAGAGGTAATCGACAACGCATTCCCACCCACCTGGGCCCACACAGACACACGGGGACACACAGACACAACTACACTTGTGCAATTGGGAGAATTCTTGTCACGGATTTTGGCAGCGCCACTTGATTTCCTTGTTCTTGGGATCGTGATTTCTCTCTCGGCTACAACACATTCCCACCCACCTCGGCCGACAGTGATTTTATTTATTTCGGTCTGCCGCAAAGACCGAGGAAGCTTGGAAGTAATTTAATGAAAAAAAGCTTGAAGCACTGCTTTCGAACGTATGGCTTTTAAGAGTACAATATTAATCTGAGAAAATGTATGATTATATGAAGTTAAATCTCTTTATATCCTTCATCATGATCACGTTAATTTATACCAAGTATGTTGGTTAAAGGCCACGTCTAAATTGCATGCATCATAATTGCTTTGTAGCTGCTTTTTTGTATCCAGCAAGAGCATTGTTTGTGTAGGTGGCTATACCAAGGGATGGCAACCTTTTTATAGTCCCCGTCACAATGAGAATCTCGAGGAAGGTGCACAGATAACAGAAAGCACAGATAATAGAACATTAGAAAAGTGGATTATGATGATGATGGTGATAGAAAAGGACAACATTTAACATTTTGGAATTTCACCGACAGGACTACAAAACCATAAACATCCGCGTGGTGCTGGTCGGACTTCATTTAATGACGACGGAAGAGCAGGCATTGGTGGTTCAGGACGGTGATGCTGCTGGTTCGGTTGTTGGGAAGTTTGCCAAGTGGCGGCAGACGAACTACAACATCCTGGGGCGGCACGACTGTGGACATCTCTTGACGTGAGTGGCACACGGCAGTAGCACGTAATGTGGAGTGCCCCAGGTGTGTCAGTGTATCCGGGTGGTGTGTTTACTGTGGAGTCCTTTTTTGAGTGGCGTGGTACGGAGTGGTTATTAGTTCTATGGTTCAGGGAAGATTGATGTGGCGTTAATATTTGAGGATTTGGGAAGGCAAGGGTGTGGTCGGTGCTGCAGTCAGCGCTGCAGTGTTATTTGCATGGCTTGTAGTTGCTCTGGTAAAAAGAGTGCGGTGTTGTGTGATTTGTACCATTCTGGTGCACATCATCTCACGTGGAAATCCACGAGGTAAGAACACCCGTGTTGCACTTGGCACAAATGTTTTCCCGAGGTTATGTTATTAAGCTGCAGCCACTGATGACATGTGCACTGTAGATTTTTATTTTAAAGACCGACTTCCTTCCCTTTTAAACCATTGCTTGCATTTAAAAACATGACTGCGGGCGTAACTATATGGTTCATCTGTCGTGCCTGTGCCATGTGAGCACAGAAAAGCAGAAGTCAGCAGCATTTATTAATATGCTATTGAGTAGTGGTGTATTGATGCATCAATTAATTGATTATTTTGGTTCTTTTTAGGCAATAAGTTAATAAAATTATTTATCTTAGAATCGGTGTAAATGTATTTATCTAACTTTTATGTAAATGACTTAGTAACGTTACATTTAGGCTGCTGGCATGAAACAATATATTACAAACAACATGGAGACAAATTTTTATTTAAAGCTTTCGTGACTGCAGTAATTCATATTCTTAGTTTTTTCGGTAAAGTCACGTTGAAGAGCAACAACAAAATAATAAAATATATATAAAACAATAAAAAAATTCTCACGACGTTTCGACCATAACTCAAACGGTCGTCTTCAGGTGTGTTGGTTCGCATAAATGTATTTTTAAACGGCGCATTTATTTATTTTTACAAAAACGTTAGCGCCACGCGCAACGATTTGGCAGTTTACCCAGGACTAGTCCATCTATATTCTGAAAAGAGGAGGGGGGAGATGAAACTGGGTAAACTGCCAAATCGTTGCGCGTGGCGCTAACGTTTTTTATAAATAAATAAATGCGCCGTTTAAAAATACATTTATGCGAACCAACACACCTGAAGACGACCGTTTGAGTTATGGTCGAAACGTCGTGAGAATTTTTTTTATTGGTTTATATATATTTTATTATTTTGTTGTTTCTCTTCAACGTGACTTTACCGAAAAAACTAAGAACATGGAGACAAGCGAGTAAATACAAGCGAGGCGAACGACTGTTACATTCTTTAATTAAATTGTGGCCCTGAATTTCGACAGCTCGTCACATTTGCTGTGCTGGTGAAGGGCTATACCGCTAATATCAAGGTCTCCTTTCATCTCGAGTCTGTGGATATTTGAGAATTGGTGCTGTCTGTACAGTACAGTTACCCATTTATTTTTCCTTACAGCTGGGAATCGTATGGAGCAATTGTGGGGATGGCATATGTGGGAACAATCTGCTCCAGAAGTTCTTCTGCTGGTATCGCCTCGGTAAATATCACTTCTGCGGACCACACGCCTGCTCGCTGGTGTCTTCATTTCCACCGGATGGTCTTACTCTTCTGTGCAATTCAAGGAAAGTTCCTTCTGACTGCTCACATTGTTCTACCTACAACATCCTTTTCCTTCCTGTTCCACACTTCACTTCCATATCTCCCTGCACAACGTTTGTAGTTGTTCCAGCTGAGCATCTTATGCCTCGCATAGTACCACCACTTCTGATCAGGCAGGGTGGTGCAATGGTAACACGTGTTGCCTTACAGCAAGAATTCCCTCGGTTCGATTCCCAACTGTTTTTTGTGTAGAGATTGTAAATTCTCCCTCTACGATGTAACTGATATTGGCCAAACATCCCGATGTAAAACAATTACTTTCAATTAACTCGCATTATAATTACACACGGCAAAATCGCCCCTACTGTGAAAACTATGTATGACCCTCCTGAAAAATAGTATTGAGATTCAATTAGGCTCTCATGGTTAAAGAAACAGTATCTAAATAAATAAATAATTACAACCTGACCTTATCAGTAATTCCTATCTGTATTTATTATCAGTTGTCCTCCCTGATGTATGTAGGATTTCTCTAGGCACTCTGGTTTTATCTTGTTTGCATAAATGCCAAATATTTAATTGTCTATGCGTCCCAAATGGTATTTTAGTGAAGGCTGAGTTGAGAATCATTGAGGTTTTCCTTAAGAAGCAAATAATTTGTTTACCCTGAATTTATCAAATTCTGCTGCCAACTGTTACATCCATAATCGTGCAGCTGTGAGCTCTAACATGGGTTCAAATTTCCCTCTATCCACGAGGGTACATCGCTACCCTGCATTGCGAAGCTTCCCTAAATGTCCCTTGAAGTCATCAGCTGCATTGGCTTTCATTTGCCTCGTCATATTTGCTCTAAGACCATCGCAGTCTTCAAAACAAGTTTCTTTTCACGGCAAATGTTAATTTCTAAGGTGAAAACATAAAGGTGCAGCCCTGAAATTGCTTCGCTGGCAGAGGGTCCTCCACTACACGTAGCTCTCAAGGATGTTTGGTCCACTCTTCCACGCTGTCCAGAAGTCACGGAAGAGGTGGAATTACCCATACCCCACCGCGCATGACGTGCTGAGAAGACTAAGCTGTAGTGAGTGCTCATTTGTACTGCCGGGTGGACAGAGGTCGAGTGAACTTTAAGAAACTTGCCCATTTGTTTAAACTGCCGCACTGGGAGATGGACTCGAACCCCGTGGCCTCTGGATTGCAGGTCCAGTGTGTCCTAACCACCCTGGAACAAAATTTATTAACCAAAAACAAGAAGGTGGCTGACATTCGTGATTTTTGTTTTGTTTGGTTTAGTTGGACATTGTTGCATTCACTTGATGTTGTCATGGAGATGGTGCCTGTGTCTTATGTCCACCTTTTTATGGCCATCTCAATGGGGATCGCGTTTCTTAGTACAGGTAAAGTGGGAGAGCAGGGAATAATGACGCAACAGCAATTTTGATTTCGATCGTTCTTTCAAACTTTAACAAAATTATTTTGCAGACTTCTTTTGAAGTTGGATCTCACGTTTTCTTCTGGACTATAAAATCAACTCATGTGATTGTTTAAATATTAGAAAATGAAACTCTTTTGCTCATTTCATTCGTTTTTGGATGTACGAAACAGTATTTTTTTCAAGAATGTTTACCTGGTTTCTTTTTAGATGCCGACACGGCAAATTCCATCCGTGGCAGCTGTGGTGGCTCATGAAATGGGTCACAACTTGGGGATGAGCCACGACCGATCGCCCTGTCAATGCAGCACCCCCTGCATCATGAACGCTGGCTTGGTGTAAGCGATGCGATTGTGGTCTTACGCGCGGTGCCACCAGCCCCGGAGTGTGACTTTGTGCAAAGGGGACGCGCATAAACCCTCAAGGATGGGACGGGGGTGGGGGTGTGTGATACCACACAGCCCAGTCAATGTTAACAGGATGAATAATGATTTGGGCTGAATTTGCCTATTTTGTAATGACAGAGGTCAGCAACAGACTTGTAACTTGAAAGAACATTAAATATTTATTTACAGCGTAACGCAGAGAAATGTAACGGACTTAAAACATGAGATAGATTTACGCAGAGACATCGTCGCGAAGGTTATATATTTCCACTACACTCATTGTACAAATTTATTCATACAGTGATCACTGACACGATCCGGACATAGATATTGGATGACCACTCCAGTGGCCAACACTCGCGGACCTTCGCTTACTTTTTTGTAAACTAAAAAGTGCTTGGTTGCTATCCTCCAAGAACATGGAATTCCCTCCTGTGCACATTTTGTTTACCCCATTGTGCGTTTTTTTGTGTTGCCCTGCCCTTCCCAGATATTTGCATGTATGAAATGTATGGCTGTAGGCCGAGTTGGCTGTGTGCTTGCCTGTCAGGTGTGTATGTGTGTAGGAACCCGCCACCAACAGCGTTCAGTCAGTGCAGGCTGTGTGCTTGCCCGTCACGTGTGTATGTGTGTAGGAACCCGCCACCAACAGCATTCAGTCAGTGCAGGCTGTGTGCTTGCCCGTCACGTGTGTATGTGTTTAGGAACCCGCCACCAACAGCGTTCAGTCAGTGCAGGCTGTGTGCTTGCCCGTCACATGTGTATGTGTGTAGGAACCCGCCACCAACAGCATTCAGTCATTGCAGGCTGTGTGCTTGGCCCGTCACGTGTGTATGTGTGTAGGAACCCGCCACCAACAGCATTCAGTCAGTGCAGGCTGTGTGCTTGGCCCGTCACGTGTGTATGTGTGTAGGAACCCGCCACCAACAGCGTTCAGTCAGTGCAGGCTGTGTGCTTGCCCGTCACGTGTGTATGTGTGTAGGAACCCGCCACCAACAGCATTCAGTCAGTGCAGGCTGTGTGCTTGGCCCGTCACGTGTGTATGTGTGTAGGAACCCGCCACCAACAGCGTTCAGTCAGTGCAGGCTGTGTGCTTGGCCCGTCACGTGTGTATGTGTGTAGGAACCCGCCACCAACAGCGTTCAGTCAGTGCAGGCTGTGTGCTTGGCCCGTCACGTGTGTATGTGTGTAGGAACCCGCCACCAACAGCGTTCAGTCAGTGCAGGCTGTGTGCTGGCCCGTCACGTGTGTATGTGTGTAGGAACCCGCCACCAACAGCATTCAGTCAGTGTAGGCTGTGTGCTTGCCCGTCACGTGTGTATGTGTGTAGGAACCCGCCACCAACAGCGTTCAGTCAGTGCAGGCTGTGTGCTGGCCCGTCACGTGTGTATGTGTGTAGGAACCCGCCACCAACAGCATTCAGTCAGTGTAGGCTGTGTGCTTGCCCGTCACGTGTGTATGTGTGTAGGAACCCGCCACCAACAGCGTTCAGTCAGTGCAGCACCGACGACTTTGAGAACCTGATTTTGGTGCAGCACGGTGGTTCCTGCCTTCTCAACGTGCCCACCCCCAACGAGGAATTCCGGCAGCCCGTTTGCGGAGACAGCATTGTAGACAAAGGCGAGGACTGTGACTGCGGGTCGCCGCAGGTGGGCCATGCGTGCATGGGTATCGATGGATCAGTGTGTATGTGCCACTTTATTTGAGGGGCTGCTGAGTGGTCTTATCTTATTTAAGTCCGATTGATCAATCCTTGCCCAGGATTGATAAATCGGACTTATATAATTAATGCATGCATATTTTATTTATGTTTAGTGACTTGCTTACTGTTTCTCTATTTTGCACTCCCATAATTTTTTTTTAGTTGTTTGCAGTTGTAACTTGCTGACCCGCCCATTCTGGACGTCTGTGAAAAAGAGCTTCATAGCTCATCGGATTTCTCCAGTCTAAATCAAGATTCTGAATTTAGGGTAGGGGCGGGTCTGTGGTATCTACGTCTCCCATAGACACAGATACCTGATGCCTGTAGCATGGGTGGTGCCGCTTTTATGCTTCTACCAGCTCACTAATGGCGTACTGTGCGATGGAAAGTGGGTTGGGGGGGGGGGTAAACTCAGGAGTGGAGCCTTGTGTACAGAGGTGACGTCCCGCACTCGTTCTGCACTCTCATACTCACCCCCTCCTCTTATTCCGTCATTTCCTCTAAACCCATTGGCAGATAAGTTTTGTGAATGTAGAGGCAAAAGACTTGGCCTCAAGTGTATTAGGTGGGGGGGGGGGCTATAGTCTCGCATCCTTACTTTTGCTGCTCCTCTTATGGTCCTTCATATGTTTATTGCACTTGGCAAAATGTAAGCGTAAAACCATTTTCTTTGGTTCTTTCGGTAAAAAAGTAAAACCATTTCTTGAGAATGGTTTGGGATGTGATTCCACGTTTAAACGTTTAAGGGCCTGAATTGACGTCGTGTTTGTTTTCATGCAAATCGGCCAAAGTCGTCGTTGTCTCAGTTTTTGGTGTGATTCACGATGTGGAATGGGTGATGTCCCAGTTGTTAAAAAAAAACACAGCTTTATCGGTAGTCACTGGATGGCCAAACGGTAATTGAGGCAGAGCGTGCTGGCAATCACCTGGAGGTGAGAAATTATATTTATCAACACCATTGGAAGATGGAAATGGTGACGATAACGATAAAGTAGTAGATGTTCAAGAGGATGAAATAGACCGTGATATTTGATGATCGTGGTTATAATGATAACACAATGGAAGCGATAAATGCACACGTGAATTTGCGCGCAGTATGTCACCATCTCGGTGTTTCCTGCGGAAGCCAAACCCCAGAAACGTGACTGACGCATTTGCACATGGTGTCAACAAGTTTCTGTCATAACCTACTTTATAACTAAATTTTTGTAATACTTTTTTAATCATTGAGAATCTCCCCAAATCTATGATGATGTGTGTAAATGGTATTCTCAACAACATTAAGTTATGACATTTTCACTCGGATATGCATCGTCATTTATTTTTGCATATATTTTTTTAGGAATGTAACAATCCCTGCTGTGAAGCAAGCACTTGTAGGCTTAAGGTCAACGCTGAGTGTGCCTATGGCTTGTGCTGCAAGGAATGCAAGGTAAGGGGAAATTCTGAGTGTGCTTATCACTTATGTTGGAGCAAATGCACAGCATGTACAGCATACAAGAGAACTCCTCTTATCCGTGGCCCTTGTACCAACGGCAGCTATAGGGTCCGCTAAAGCTCAATAATCTGCGGCCCTATTACTTCCTATTATGTGCGGGTTGTCTGCAATTTTACCACAATGCAGAGCAAAGCGGATTCCTAATGTTCACGGCAAAGTACTCCCAATACCCACGGGTTGTCTGCGAACGTAACAAAGATGGCAGTGATCGTAAGCTGTTGCACGGGCGACATTTGTAATGATCACGGGACAACGTAGATGCGCAGATACAAATACACTCGGAGACACGGAGACACACATGGAGACACAGAAACTGACGTGGAGACACAAAGACACCGACACATGGAGGCAGACAAAGACAAAGACAGAAAGACATGAATAGTGGCGAAACGTTCCAGTAGTGGGTTTGGGCATAGCACGTCGGTGACTACTAACACTGGAAGTCCACGAGCTATCGGAGATAGAGACAGAACACGTGTCTTTGAAATGCTATGTTTAAAAATGAACGCAAAATACTTTGTGCTTCAACAGCTCCCACTGTGCTTTAGTATTACAATCGGTTGTTGAACGGAAAAGAGAAGTCACGCAGCGCATGTATTCGTTTTAGTTATTATATTAAGTTTCACTGAACTGGTAGACGAAAAACTCCCCGAATACAGTGAACCTGTTACCCACAACTCCTATTCTCCATGTGACGATGAAAGGCAACGTTTTCTCAATACCCCTTTGCTATCTTTCCACGGCCACTTTTTGAACTGAGAGTTCTGCTTGCCCAGGTCCAGTTAGAAGCAGTACTAGGGCTGGTTATTGAGTCCACAACTCCACGAGCCATGAGGTGTAAGCAGCTTTGCGTGATAAGGGTACCCAGTGACCTTGCCAGCTCATGCCTTTTGATAGTCACCGTAGTTACATAAAAAATTACACGGCAGACATTCGATTTCACGATAAGACGTCAGTATTTTTTTGCCCCTCGTTTTTACAAATGTTTAAGCCGCGTCAGTCAGCCCCGGAATACACAGCCTCGGCACGCATCCACAACTGTGTGGTTCAAACTGACACACAAGGAAACCATGATTCTGTGCGCCGTGTCTCCGAGCCTGCGATCAAACAATGATTTTTACGTTTAGTGAAAATTGTGCCCGTGAGTTTTTATTCAGATCATACTTTTTAGGAGCACTGTGCCTTCAACTTAGGTTATAAAGTGTTAATGCATTAGCTTTGTCTCTCCATCCGAGTGAAACTTTATTGTGTTGATATCAACACAAAAGGTTGCGTTGATGGCAGGGACTTTTTTTAAAAATATAAAATGGCCAAAATTATCAAAGGGTTTCTCGTAACTTGTAATACACAAACCATACCAAAAAGTCATATTTAGCAGTATGGCTTCCGTACTTATTATCAAAAACTTAAGAGGACAAGCACACGCTGGAATATGTTGCAATAAACTATGCGTATACATTATTTACTTTGTTGTTCCATCCAGATCATGGGCCAAGGCGAGAGTTGCCGCCCATCAGTGGGAGCCTGCGACCTGCCCGAGTACTGCAATGGCTCCTCGCAGTTCTGTTACACGGACACCTTCATACAGAATGGATACCCGTGTCAAAACAGTTCCGCCTACTGCTACAACGGTGTCTGTCTCACGTTGGACTACCAGTGCCGGAGCATCTGGGGAGGCAGTACGTATTCGGTGGCGAGATGTTAACTACCTCACCTGCTATACGGGAGGCCGTGGGCTCGATCCCGACCCTGTGACGCCTGTATATTTGGAGTTTGCATGTTCTAGATTTAAAGCTTTTGTGACTGCAAGGATCCATACTCTTTGGTTCTATTCGGTAAAGTCACGTAGGTAAAAAATAAAACCACAAAAATCATGACGTTTCGGCCACAACACAAGCGGCCTTCATCAGGTGAAGGGGTTTAGGCTGTCTCGAGGACAGCGCTGGAGTGAAACACAGCCACGCAGCTCTTAAATTCCCTTTTCACACCATCAATAGGTAAACCTCCCCCCCCCCCCCCCGCGCCAACCGGCATGTGCACCCGCATGTACACTTCTATGCTAAGTCGGCCAATCAAATGCTAATTTTTATGCTAATTCCTTTGTCAAGGTACCTTGTTTCCTCGCACACAGCTTAAAGGTCGCGGTCTGAGCGTGGCTGTGTTTCACTCCAGCGCTGTCCTCGAGACAGTCTGATCCCTTCACCTGATGAAGGCCGCTTGTGTTGTGGCCGAAACGTCGTGATTTTTGTGGTTTTATTTTTTACTGGCTAGAAATTCCCACATGACAAGCCATTTTGTTTGAGTTATCATTTGTGGCCAAGCCACTTCTGAAAAAGAGCTACATATCGCAGTGGGCTTTACCTGGTAAAAGAAAAAAATAGTTTAAATAGTTTGTTTAATAATCCTTGTTATCTCTCCTCCACGTTATTTGGCTTTAGTCATTTAATGGGTTGTGTAGTGCTATTTTCCAGTTGGGTGAAGCTTGGTTTTCAGATGTGAATATGTAGGGAATGATCTACATTGTATGACTGCATTCCACATGTGTATTGTTGTACTAAGAATTGTCAATCCCATTTATCGTTTTGGCAGATGCTGTTTCGGGATCGGATAATTGCTATCTTATTGTGAACACTAAAGGAAATGAATTTGGCAACTGTGGCCAAGGAACAAACGGATATATAACCTGCACCACAGCGTAAGTATTGCAAGTGTGATCTCTGTATGCAGAAAACAAACTAAACTGAGTGTCAAGCCTGATTTAGGTGGGTCCTGTATTGGGATATTTGACCATTTATTTTAAAGCAGTGTTTTACGTGTTAATTATGTATAGGTCCACGCACGATGCAGAAGATTGATTTTTTTAGGTAGCAGTTTATTTGTGATTTAAAGTATTTTTTCGAATATTTTAGTAACTGGTGAAAGACTGAAGATTGGTCTATAATTGTTAGGGTATAATTTAGTGCCATTTTCATATACTGGACGAATCAGAGCAGATTTACATTCTCGTGGAAATGTACCTTCGGTAAGTGACCGCTTGAAAATATGTGCAAAGGGGATTTATGGATGAGATCTGCTACAGCCACAAGTGCAAATGCAGGTAAGTCATCTTCTCCCATGGATGACGATGATGTCCTATGTCCTAGTTGATACGAGCTTCTGTAGTACATCCAGTTCAGATTTGGGACTAAACGAGAAGTAGGGATGATGACTTTGGCTAACATTTTTAGGGTTCATTTGTAATCGATAGCCAACCAATTAACACAGTTGGCTATGTACGGTGTGAAAAAAAGTTATACATGCATACCAGGGGAAAGAAGTGATTGATGTGAATGGCAGTATATTTGAATACATTTTATTTTGCTTTGTTTTGCCAAAGATATGTCCTACTGATCCAAAAATATGAATTAAGTCCATTAAAACAAACAATATATTCCAGCAACCCATCGTTTGTATATATATATTTTAAAAATGGTACCTAAAAATAGTTTTGGTGAAATAATTTGGAAGAACCTCGGCAAGGAGGCCCATCTGAGGTGTGGCACCGCACAGCGCTTAGATTTTATTCCAATTTCCCCTCGCAGGAATATTAAGTGTGGGAAGCTGGTGTGTGAAAACACACCCTCGAAGCCGCTCATCGTCGACGCCCCAAACTTTGCCAGCTACCAAGGTTGCAATGCCGTCAGCTTCAATTACGGCACAGATATTCCTGACCCTGGTCTGGTGCAGCCCGGCACCAAGTGTGGCAGCAACAGCGTGAGTACAGGGAGAGGAAGGTCAACAGTGATTTTTGCGGTGAAGGTGGAAATTCATTGTGGCAATTAGATGATGATAATTATCCAGAGTTGATCGTTGATAGCAATGCAGTGATAGTGTTGCGATTCTCTCTATGCGACTGGATGAAATTCGTTCCTTTGTAGGACGATATCCCCCTGGACCCACCGTAACGTCCATTCAACTCTAATGTGTACTCTGATAATATTGCTCGGTTATTCATCGGAGTAATCATTGTCTCCATCCGTTACCATTTAGCTGCTATTATTGACAGGCCCAGCCTTAGGTGGGGGCAATCGGTGTGGCCGTGCCCTGGTTGGCACCTTATGGGTGCAAATCTGCAAGGGCCCATATACGGTGTATGCATACAGAGAACTGTGTAGTTTTTTTTTTTTACCGAGGGTTATAGGTGCATCATACGTGTGCTTTTAATGGGTAACACTCATCACATGGCATAAATAATTGGCAGGGTAATTGCCAACACTCACAATCTAAAGAACAATCCTTTATTTGACGACTCCAGTTATCATTGCTAATTTTTTTTATTTTACCTTTATTTAATCAGGAAAAAAACCCCCTAGAGGTTAAAAACCTCTTTTTACGATGTCCTGTCGTATTTTAAGCCCTATATAAATGCAAGTCTTTATCCTGAAATCCTCATCCTAACTCTGATCAGGTTGTAAGGTCAGCAAATCTTTGTCAGCTGCCGGTGTAGATGCTTTCTCCCAGCACCATGCTTGCCCCATTGTGCCAAGGCTATTATTGATTGGTGGAGGAAAAGTTGGGTAATAAGGAGCTGCCTAATTCTCACTGGTGGAGTGAAATTTAACATCACTGTTCACTGCCATCTGGTGACCTCAGGCACCATCAAAATGGCTTTCCAAACTCAATAAGGCAATTCCAAATTTAGTTCGTTGTTTTTTCGAATGCCACGTGAAGGAAGAATAAGGGTGTATTTTTTTTTCCCCAAAGGCCAGTTTCACCCCTAGTAATAATAATAGATTATAACCTTAGGAATGGATTTTAGCCGCTGTAGATGTTACAATGCTGTGAGATTGGTGGTTTCTGTTACATGCAAGGCTGATAATAGCGGTATGTTCATCTCCAGGTGTGCATGGACAACCAGTGCCAGAACGCCACAGTGGTTATGGGCACCCTCTGCAATACGACTCAGAAGTGCAGTGGACATGGGGTAAGAGCTTCTTGTGAGCAATTGACAAGCACCTTCTCTTGCAAAGCATGCTTTTACCGTCTCAACGTGGTTGTTTATGGTAATGCGGAGGCATCTTGAAGGACTCTGTGTATTAAATCATATCATATAAAGATCCCTGGTTTTAATTGCTTTGTCATTTACTTGTAAAATAATAATAATATTGACACGGCTTCTACGCCGGAGACATGCGGACTATTGTGAGTGGCTGGCAGGGGCAGAGGGGACTCTTAAGAGCCTTTGCCAATCAAAGTACGGTCGTAAGAGTAATATAATAATATGCTAAGTGTTTTAATTGACAACAAGACCTCGAAATGATTTTTTTTATTTTACTTTTTTGTTACAAAATCGTATCCCCTTGCTCAAATGGAAAACAGAGTTTGTAAAGTGATTCCAAAAAGCTTGCCACTGTTTGGTGAAAACAAAAAAAATTGTATCGCCTATTTCCAATGTATTACTTGAGCCTGGATTAACCGTTCCAGCTTCATAGCTCTGCTTTGGTGTCATGGCATTAGAGGTTTGGAGTTGGAGGCAACATCCTGTGAGTAGAGACAACATCCTGTAAGTAGAGGCAATGGGGCTTGTATGAAGTGTAACGTCTAGAAATGTCAACGTAAGTTAAAATGTTTACCTGTTTTGCAGAGAGCCATTTGTTCTTGAGGTTCACCACAACTGGCATGTTTATTTTGATTTCAAGCTTTCGTGACTGCAGGGATTCATAGTCTTGGTTCTTTCGGTAAAGTCACATAGAAGGGAAACAATAAAGTAATAAAAATATAAAACAATTAAATTCTCACGACGTTTTGACTGCAACACAAGCAATCATCATCAGGTGTGAAAACCACAGCAAATTTTTAAAATTGTCTTGCTGTGGAAAATTTTCAAATTTTCTTGATGTGGTTTTCACACCTGATGATGATTGCTTGTGTTGCAGTCGAAACGTCGTGAGAATTGTATTGTTTTATATTTTAATTACTTAATTGTTTCCCTTATATGTGACTTTACCGAAAGAACCAAGCATATGGCATGTTTATCTTAATCTGGTTACCTTTCCTTTTGGTAAAACAAATATGGTTTGATATGCGCACAGTATTCCCTCACGTTTGTAAATTTGTTGACCGAATTGTATATAATTGTTAATTTCAGGTTTGCAACAACAACTTGAACTGCCATTGCAATGATGGTTATGCACCACCTGACTGCTATTATTCTGGGTATGGTGGCTCTATTGAAAGCGGAAATTCATACAAACGTAAGCTAAAAATATTTTCACATTTATGAACATAATGCCTTGCAAAACTAATCTATTCCCAATTCAGGTTACTGTATTATGTAAATATTACACAACTAAAACGGTACGACATGTTATTTTAAACACATTCCTGCGGAGGGAGCTGGTAGGAACGTTGGGTTGCTCGGTCAATGGCCAGGGTCAACGGCGGCACCACGTGGTGTATTCCACAAATATGCCCGACTGTGAGGGCGGGCACAAGCCGGCTTGAGTAGGTTAAACGTTGAGTTTTATAAGGGCACCACGGGGTGACCAACCCCTCCCCACCCTCCCATTTTTGGATGCACGACGGATGGATGGACACTAATCCCCTGTGGGCTGGTGTAACCAGGAGGTTCCTACTCGACTGACTGAAAGCAACACTCTCTGCAGAATTTCATTCTTATTATCAAAAGCAAATGACTATAAGTGCGGGGAAGCTGAACGCATTTCTCAATGTATCCGTGGCGGGCTGCTTCATTCCTTTTGTCAAGGAGAGGCTTCATTTGCGTGGGAGTCATCGTCACCGTCGTCTTGTTGTTGTTGTTGTTGCCCGACACACAGCAAGCTCCAGGCAGCTGTGGCTGCTGCTTCTGCTTCTGTTCATTCCACTCATCGCCGGGGGTGCTTACTTCTACTGGTCGCGGCACGGCGGAGGCCGGCCAAGCCGCCGGAAGGGACGCGGGTACTGCTTCTGGGATGAGGGGGGGGTGATGCGTGGGCATACGGAGGGCGGCTTAATTATTTATTTATGTGGCATCGGGCTCGAAGGAACCGGACGAGCAGCATCGTGTGACTCGTGCATCGTGTGACGCGTGCCCACCGGGCGTAGCGTTACGGGTTTGTTTTTAATGTCGCCCCATTCTTGTTTGGTTTCATGGGCACAACAACAACCCCCCCGACCCCCCCCCCCCCACCCTATACTTGTTAATTGTGTAAAGACTTTTGTAGTTTTATGAATTAGTTTCTGAGATCTTCTTTGGTTCTTTCGGTAAAGTCACGTAGAATGATAACAAAATAATAAATTGATAAAATAAAATAACACAATAATATTCTCACGACGTTTCGGCCACAACACAAGCGGCCTTCATCAGGTGAAGGGGGCGAGACTGTCTGGTAGGACAGCGCTGGAGTGAAAGAGCCACGAACGCTGGAGTGAAAGAGCCACGAACGTGGCTCTTTCACTCCAGCGCTGTCCTACCAGACAGTCTCGCCCCCTTCACCTGATGAAGGCCGCTTGTGTTGTGGCCGAAACGTCGTGAGAATATTATTGTGTTATTTTATTTTATCAATTTATTATTTTGTTATCATTCTACGTGACTTTACCGAAAGAACCAAAGAAGATGAATCATTGCAGTCACGAAAGCTTTAAATCGAAATTTAGTTTCTGAGATGCCATTTTATTGCATCAAGCACATATCTGCAGTGTGTTGAGAAATAGTTATTCAACTGTGAAGATTATAATCTCTCGGTGCCTTAAAAATGTTCATGTGACTTCATTGTTAGCTGGCGTATATGTCACGAGTGAATGCGTGAACTGGTCTACCTACAGCAACTGTATCGTTCTTTTTTTCTATGTGCTCACCTGTTGATTTGATGGCGCGTTAATTTATCGTCATTGTTATAGCGCTGCTGCTCCTTTTGGCATGCCAAGAAAACCCGCCCCAGCTGCCGCTGCAGCTCGCAACCAAGTGAGTGTTCGCCTACACTTGCCAGTTATTAAATCTGAGCACGGTCCTTGTTACTTCAGCAGCCCGCACGGTAGACATAAAGAGTCCGTCTACTCATCCCCTCGTCTGCAACGCCGACCTGTAATTGCTCTTTCACTTTTTTTCTTGTGTCTCCTTAACCCGTCATCAACCGAACTGATTTGCGAGACTGGATTTAAACGTGGGGGACTGCTGCCATTCATTATGCTACAGCACAGCTTGGGGGAGGGATCTTTTTACATTTATGTGTAATATTTATACGGGGTGGCCCAAAAGTCAGGACATCTGGGGTTATATTTATTTGAACAAATCACAGCATTATTTCATGTACGTTAACAAATGTTCAAGCTGACTTCCGTTAACATTAATGCATGCATGAATTTTTTTTTTTAAATGAAGTTAGGGCATGTGTTTGATTACAGTTATCTTCTTAAGCATACATAAAAAATGTATTGAACTCGTTTGTCTTTAGTAACATTTTCTTTTCATTTTTATAAGTCATCTGAAAAAGATGAAGAAACATCGATATTATTGATTATAATCGATAATATATTAACTTAAATAATGAAAATGCTAAAATGCCAGTGTTAAAATAAATTAAATAACCCAATATATCCTGAATTTTGGGCCACCCTGTATGTACACATATAGTGATGTTTCCAGATTTATATTGGACTACGGTATTTTTATTTTTACATCATGTTTTTTTTATTCTTTCATTATATATTTTTTCATTCTTTTTCATTAAAGTTGTGTTTGTTTTAATTTATAAAAAAAAAGTGGCCATTCGGCTTACTTCGATCCAATTACCTGAGCCAATGCTGATTTTTTTTTTTGCCAAGAAAATCAAATGTTATTCAACTAGGAACTGAACCAATGATATGGCCCTGGTATTTACATTAAATTTTACTCACCCATACGATGATAACAATGATGTTTATTCATGATATATGAGCCTTCTGATCCTCCTACTGATCACTGTGGTACGCTCAGCGTTTGCGAGGCTCCGTGTTTTTGTTTGCTAGCTGGCATCATAGCATTTGTGAACAGTCACAAGTTCAATTATTTTTCTTCTTTGGTTCTTTCGGTAAAGTCACGTAGAATGAGAATAAAATAATAAATTGATAAAATAAAATAGCACAATAATATTCTCAGGACGTTTCGGCCACAACACAAGCGGCCTTCTTCAGCTTTAAATCGAAATTTAATTATTTTATTAGGGTTGACATCATCCAGTGCACAAGTCAACCGCCTGTACTTGACTTGCGAAATGTCGACATTTTTCAGGGTACGCCTACGGTGGCAGTTATTACACCAGGGAACCCTCCAGCCAGGTATGTTGTGTGGTATGCAGTGTGATGGTCTCTTCATGGGGGGGGGGGGGAATTTGAAATATCTGTAATATGCATCGGTTCCTTTTGACTTTTTACACTTTGATTCTGTTGCTGACCTTGTGCGTTGCGGTGACGTGCAACTCCTTAATTAGTCGTATCATCGGTACGGATTATCGGTTCGATCATTCGACCAATCCGTTCACGCAAAAATACTTGGAAAAGTTTAACTCTTCCCACGTTTGCCACTGGATGGGGAGGTTGTGGCCAGGGCTTGGTGAGATCATCAGATTTATCGACTGTGTCCTGCTGGGTGTGGCTTGCAGGGGGTTTCCTGCCTTCGCAAAGCGGGGTGTGGGGGCCCCCATCCATCTTTTTTCGTAAAGTGTCAAAGTAGACTGTAAAAAAAAATAGTCGATTCAAAATTTTAGTTCATTAATGGACTCTCATCCCAGCTCTAACTCCTTTTCTTGTTTAACGTTGATGCTAATAAACCATTAAACTTCCAACCAGGTTGAACAGAGACTAAATTATCTCTTTGTACCCGATTTTCAAGGGGAATGACTTGTTATCCCTAGATGTGAACTCTCCAAAGTTACCCAGCATCCAATTAAATTTGTATTATACTTTAGAGCCCCATTGTCAGGCCACTGTTAGGTGAAGGTCTCCCCCAATGTCTTATCGTCCACGGCAGTTATATTTTACCGTATTGGGTGCTGAGCAGCCTGAGTTGTGAAGAAGGTTCGGGGGGGGGGGGGGTTTGCCTCGAACTGGTTAACATATCACTTGCCACTAGCCGTGGTCGGGAATCCAACTCAGGTTGGCAGGTTCATAGCGCAGTGTGCGAAAACCATTACTCTTCTGCTCCACCCCCCGGTAAATCAGTATCTTATCTTAAAATAATTTATATTGCGACTTATCCAAGGCACTTTACACAGAACTAACAATAGTGCATGAATGTCACGGTGGAGATGAGGTGAATGAAATAGATGCGAGGGAGCAATGGGGGGGGGGGGGGGGGAATCTGTGATGCGTGAATTTGGTGAAAGTGAAATTTATGAGAGTAAATGATGATGAATGGATTGAATGAATGGGGAATGAGTGAAAGCCGTTTAATATGAGAATAAAGTCACGGTGGCAGTTATGAGGGGGAGATTAAAAGGGCTGTGGGGTGAGCCAGAGAAAATAAGTGAGCTTTGAGTGCGGAGTGGAAACTAGTGAGCAAAGGTGACATTAGGAATTAAACTGGCCTTTAAACAATTTCTTTACTCGGTTTTGTTGGTGCTGTACCAACATTACTCACCACAATGTTTCTGCTCGATTGACTAATTGTTATATACCAGTGTACTTTGTGTAATAATAAAAAAATGACATATATCCAATGTTTATATTTCTCTTCTAGGCCACCACCACCAGCTAATATCAGTGCAGTTAATGGTGGCTATAAACCTCATACTTCCCAAGTGAGTTGTGAGAGTAACCAATGGCACATTTGCATCACATGCACACGTTTATATTCGTGTATCCCTTCAGTGTGACTTGCAGAACAGTAAATTAAGTTGTAATTTTTTTAGTGTCCTAATGTAAAAAAAAATCATCTTAAAATAATAAAATGTCTTTCATGGAAGTATTTTGGAATGAATGCTTTCTTCATTTTCACAGTTGCTTTGAGTGTGAGCATTATAAATGTATCATTGCCATGGATTGTATTTATAATCTTGTAGGAGTGGTCTTTTGAGATAAACGTCTTCTTTTTCAGTGGAGACTTTCTATGCAAAGTTTGGAACAAAATGATCGCCATGTTTTAGTATATTACGAGAGTGATTATATTCATTTCCATTTCTCAGCCTCAGTGGCCGCTGCCGGATGTCACTCCCTCCAATTATCCAGCCAGGTAGGCAGTGCTACTGTCTTACACACACCATGAATGCCACTCTCGCGTGAATTCTGGAAATATATATTTATAAAAAGAATAGTTTCCGTGACACTTTTCGTTTTAAAATGATGTTTGTTACGGTGTCTTCAAGGCCCCCAAAAGCCATTGCCAGTGCTCCCCATCCCGAGAACGTCAACTATAGAGACATTGATCCCAAGGTGAGCTGTGTGGGGTATTACAACCTTCAGTTGACGTGTGTGTGTGTATTTTGATAAATTGAATGTTTACATGAGAGTGAAACACCCCGGATCAACTTAGGGGAGTCCAGTTCCAGTCACGCTTTAGTTCAGTGGTTCTTCTCAACCTGGGGTGCACACACCCCCTGGGGGTGTGAGATGCCCTTTCTGGGGTGTGAGACATGGCCGGATTTTTTTCAAAAGTAAATAATCAAAACACAAATTAAGCACGGGCGCACGTAAGTACAACTACTTTGTTTAATCAAACCTCTGTATTTATAACGTAAAACATTTTAATGATTGATAACCAAAGGGGGTGCGCAAGGCTGCAGTGAGGGTTAAGAACGACTGCTTTAGTTAAAAAAAAGATTTTCACCCGTAAACCCATACGGTTTGTAAAGTAGGACCGCTGAAAAACGATGTAAAAACTCGCAGCACTCTGGGGCTACTGCAAGGTACAGCCCTGCGATTTCCTGCACACACAAGTGGAGTGAGCTCTGCTGGAGCCCTTCTAGATATTTGTTCCCTTCTCTGTTCACCAAAGGTCTTGGAATAGCTAGGATTGCCCACAATGTATCTCTCCACACGATCCGCCAATCAACTAACTGTATGCAGTAGTGATATAGTTATGCGAATACTTGTGATGTCACTGCTGAAAAGAAAAGTATTAGCAATTGCTGTTGCAATCGGCAGAGGATGTGAGGAGAACTCAAATGACTTGGCACGTAACATAACTTGGCATCAGACATTGTTGATGTAATTATGTACATTTGATTTTATTTCTGCATAGCTGTAAAACCATAAATCCATGTGAAATGGCAGATTTTTTTTATTGGATAAAACTTAAACACGTTGTGCTGTATTAATTATAACACATTTATCATTTATGCAGGGCTTTGGTCTGACTCTACTATTAATTTAGAAAATGGTTTGGTTTAAGTGTTTTGAAATGTTAGCGCATTAATGCTTACATATTTTTTGTTTATTACAGCAGGAGCTGCCATCATCATTAATTTCGCCAGTCAGGTGGGCAGTGCCCCGGTTATACACTGTCAGGATCTCTGCCACTGTCGTTTAATAATCACATTTTATCTGGAGAAAAAGGTTAGTTTCATTGGATGAGATTTTTTCCCTTGAATTGACCCATGATATTTGTTCTGGTGTGCTCCAGGCCACCGCCAGCCATTCCGAGTGCTCACACGAACGCCGGCTATGATAACTATCCCGAGGTGAGTCGCGTGGATTAATTGATACCTCTAGGCAACGTGTGGCATCAACAGCATTGACCATGAATGACATTGGTCTTGAGTCGACATGTGTGTGTTTTTATGACGAATCAAGCATGTATACAAGGTCATTTAATTTAAATGTTTATGTTGCTTGTACATTGCATAGCCATGTTCGATCAGGCTTTGGTATGATTTTATAAGTAGGGACAGCTGAAAAAATACTAAATTAAAAGTCACAGTAGCTGACTGTCACAGTTGTAAAACAGTGCAATGTATATGGAATTGCTGCAGCACATAAATAAATTGGCAAGTGCAGATACCATTTAAAATTTGTCTATTTGGGGGAACCTCATAGGTATTTTAATAAAACTTTTTTTTTTAATTTAAATAGTGACATTTACACTGGGCTGTCTCAGTGCTTTCTATGCAAATTGCATCACAACTCGTCTCAAAGATTTGAAAGGGCACCCACAGTGGCAGCTGTCCCGATGGGCACGAGGTGACTCAGCACCTTGCCTGCAATCGGAGAAAGAGTCTAGCTTTTTTTCAGAAGCGACCTGGCCACAAATGATAGCTCAACGAAGTGGCGTATCATCATCATCATGTGAAAATATATAGCAGCAGCCAAATACTCTAAATATATGTTTCTAAATTTGGAGAGAAAAACCAGAGGAGCCAGAGAAAAATCTACACAACCACGGGGAGAGCATGCAAACTCCAAATATACAGCAGGTGCCAGGGTCTGGGTCGAAACCACGACCTCCTGCATACCAGGCGAGGGAGTTAACGTCTCGTCGCCTGGATTCGAACCATGAACCTCTGCAACAAACAGCGAATGCACAACTGCTGGGCCATGTCACTACCTGACAAGTAGCTTGCTGGGGGTTCAGGGCACCGATAACATCATTTGCACATTTAAATGCATGTCTTCACAGCCTGTGAAAACATAGATGTGGAAGGTTAAGCATGTTTTTTGTTCGTTCAACTGACATTTTTTCTGAAACTATTTTTTGCACGTTTCTTTTCTTATCCTGAACTTGGTGTCTCCGATTCAAGGGCTTGGCTGAGTTTCTAAACAAATGTTTTCATGGATGAGAGCACATTTCAATTGATGCGTTTTTGTTTTGCAGTCTCAGCAACTGTCATCGTCAAGTAGTGCTCCACGGATTAATCCAGTCAGGTGGGCGGTGTTGGAATGTGTACATCTTTGTGATATTAAATTATTTGGAGAAATACTTGCCTTGCAGTGATACTTGTCCTTAGAACTGACCGATGATGTGTGTAAACGCATATATATAAGCACAGCTCCATTCTGTGGTAACGTCTGATCAGCCTAATACCTTTCCCGACCAATATTATCAAGGAGCATGTGTTTAAGCATGCAAATTCTAGGCTAGTTTCAACCCTCTAGGTCTCATCGACAAAAAATATCTGGCTTCTTAAACAAATGCCGCCGGATTAGCTAGCATATGTTATTGGCAAGAGCGCTCCTTATAAACCGTAAATATTTGTGTTGGTGTGCTGCAGACCCCCGCCAGCCGTTCCCAATGTTGGCTTCTCCACGGATGTCAGCTATGTTCCCCACGACTCCCAGGTGAGTTGAGGATGCCATCACCGCAATCCGCGTTCGCCTCACTGCTAGGGTTGCTGCTGTGATTTGGCAATACCATGACATACCATGTGATCTAAAAACCCACGATAATCTTATGGTCCGTTTTGTAAACTCATTTCTGTTTTCAATTTTGTAGCTCGTATATTTTTTTCTTGTGTGTTTTATCTCCTAATAACGTATTTTTTTTAATAATTGTTTAGAAGCACAAAGTACGACATAGTTATTACTCATTAAATTAGTGTTTTGCAATGTGAGCTAAGGAATAATGCACAGACATGATGGTTATATGACCCACTTATTCACTTTTTTTTAATGTACGCAACGCGTTATAGCATGTGTGTTATAGGTTATACACTTGCAATGATTAAAATACTTGCGGACGACTCATTTTGAGTGGACTGCAGTGGAACATTAAAGTGAATATTTGTTTTCGAAGTACAGCAAGACACAAAATCGATACAACAAAATTGTTAAATAAAAACTTAAAAGATGATGAAAACTTAAATCGTGATAATGACCAGAGCTTAAAAAAAAATCATGTTGAATAGTTTCATGAAAAAGTATTATCGCGGGAACCCCTTTTACTGCAACAGATAAGGACATCGACACAATGGAAAATTGACCTGGTTTTCGATAGCTTATAACAGATATCGCCACTTATGGCTTCATTTGAAGTTCACTTACGGTTTCATTTGAAGTTCACTTACGGTTTCATTTGAAGTTCACTTACGGTTTCACCGACACATGGCTCCAAACTGCATCAGTTAGTCTCCAGTGTGACTGCAAGGCGGCAGCGTGTGTCAGTCGCACGCCATCCCAGTGAGCAGTCGGCCGTCACCTTAGTCTCTTAACAAGTCACAGCAGTACATGAATAAAGAAGCTGCGTGATTTTTTTTCTCTCTCATTAACTTCTATTGGAAAGTATAAAGTTGTGTGTAAATGCAAATAAAAAAATGTGTTTTTATTCCTCATTTTTCAGCAGCAGCAGCATGCATTAAGTGTGATTCCAAAGTCTCTTGTGTTGTTTTGTCATTTTTGTAGGATCACAGCGTGGTTATGCTGGGCAATCATCAACCGTGAGTGCCTTTGTGTTTTTGTAAAGCAGCTTTTGGCAAACACATCACAGTAACATGTAACATGACAATATAATACAGTGTCACGTATCCTCCCATCACATATCCTCCCTGACCTATGAACCGTCCACACACTCAGTGCATTCTCAGTGCTCATTGCTAACACGCAGCAGCGGCATTTCCCCATGCTCAAAGCAGACTGCGCTCTGTTTTTGTTCCTTAACCCGCATTGCCTATTGTAACCCTCAAATGTGATGAGTGTTTGCTGTTGTTTTTTGTGCAAGTTGTACGACTGATTTTCGAAAGATGATCACGTTTATATTTTCACACATCTGGCTATATAACGCCAGTAGCCGGCGAGCCGGACGTGTTGACGTGGCACAGTAGTCTTGGGTGTGAAGACTGCAGCTGACTTGTGGGACGTAGCCTGGCATGGAATAAGAAACAACAGGGTTCATTGTGGTCGTCTCATCCTGGCGATCTGACATTGTCACCGTGCGCTTGAAAAAAAATGACCATGTACCTCTCCCCCCTCACCATGCTATTCTTTGGGTAATTTGATCATAATATGCCACACATTGTTGATCGAGGTGGAGAGCAAAGATGTGGAAGCATGGAATTACTGTACAACAATGTATTTTACCGTGCTTCCCTTTCCTGCTCACAACATATCCATAAATACATGATTTGTGCGCCGTGTTCAACCATAACAACAACAATAATGACCATCTCTATAGTGCCATGACATGCCAAGCACCCCAATGCAAATATGTCACACCTAGCAACCTACTGGCTCAAATCGTCTAAACCTGGACAAGTCACTTTTTCTCACGAGGGCGCCCTTCTAATCGCACCTGATGACGACCGTTTGTGTTATGGTCGAAACGTCGTGAGAATTTTTGTTGTTTCATATATATTTTATTGTTTCCCTTCAACGTGACTTTACCGAAAGAGCTAAGAATACGATTTACTGCAGTCACGAAAGCTTTCAATCAAAAGTTTGTATGTTGTCTATGTTTCATCCTTGCAGGGGTTGGAATCCACCTGTGCCACAGCGGCCCAAAAAAAGTGCTTGACAGAGAGAGCCCTCTTTGCAGGCACGCAATCATCTCCAGCCATTCATCTTAAATCTCCAGCCATTCATCTTCATCTCCAGCCTAAATCCTTGCCGAATGCACTTGTGTTCCACAGTGAACAACAAATGTTACGAATCTCAGGGTTGGGGGAAGCGGCGCTGATTTTATGTTTTATTATCTTGAGCACAGGCTGAGCCTGGAATGCATCATATAAGCTCCAACCGAATGAGGTTTTTAAATAAAATTAACGTGACTATAGTGAAAGTTAACTTTGGCCACATGCCTTCTCATAGTTAAAGCTTTTATAAAGATGGGGAGTATATGGTCCTTTAGGAACACTCATTAGGGACGACGGTAGAAGAGGAAAACAATGAGGAACATGTGCTGCTATGATCACCTCGTGATGCTTAAACGAAGTGGTAAAAGTGTATATTGAAGTTAATATTCTTGCTTCTTTCGGTAAAGTCACGTAGAAGGGAAACGATTAAATAATAACAATATAAAACAATAAAATTCTCACGACGTTTCGACTGCAACACAAGCAATCGTCATCGGGTGGGAAAACCACAGCAATATTTTTTTCTTGCTGTGTATTTGTATTATTTTATTGTTTCCCTTCTACGTGACTTTACCGAAAGAACCAAGAATATGAATCCCTGCAGTCACGAAAGCTTTAAATCAAAATTAAAGTTCATGTTTATATGTTAATGAGCTATTTTAGGGATGGTATATGGTGTCCCTTTTATATTTTGTCTAAAGTTCATATTCTGTTATTTCTATCATACATTTTGTGCATTGGTTGCAACATGTGAATTATTCTGCGCGATATATAAAAATATGTTTTTGTCTGTTCTACGTTCAAAAGGAACAAGTGTGGGAAAATTTGATAGGATATTTGGCCTCTTTAATCTGCAGCCTAAGGCTTTTACCGCTCAGGGAGATTACGATGAGTTAATGCCCAGCTTTGATGATTTTATTCTCTTGTTACGAAAGTAAAAATCGGGAAATTGGACAAAACAAAAAACTGTCGGACAATGGCGACTTAACTTGGTTTATTGCCGTGCCAGTTTTCATTTTTGCTAAAAATGAGGAGCGTTCTCACGTTTGCAACCTATGCGGATAAGTGTTAATGCTTAAAACAGAGTTGGTTAAACTGTCACGATGTCTATGTTATTAGATCACACAACATTTATTAAGTAATAGCATATTAAAAACAAAAAACACATTTCAGCTATTTCCAATCCACCAGTGGAAGAAGGCCCCCTTCCACCCCACGGTTGTCCTAAAAGCTCTTTTCGATCAAACTTCATGCCGGTGTGGTGCGGCTTGGTGACGGCAGAGGGAGAGGGCAGGGGGCCGGGTTCTGATATCAGTTGCCACTGATGTTGGTCGTAGCCGGACAACATCAGCAGCTCTAACCCACTGCACCACCACTCCACCCGAAAGAGCAATCTAAAGAAAGTATTTTAAAATGACGTCGCACAATTACTTTGCTCTGATCACCACACGCGATTCGAAATGTTGACTACATTGAGCTGAGCAGAGCTTGTGAAGCGACTGCATTTACACGATCCCGTTGTGCCTTCGTCCCCTGCACGTTTTGTACGTGGCATGTTGCGAGCTTGTCCGCTCATGTACTTGCAAAGTGCGTGTCGACACATCAAGCTCGGGCGTCTGTAACTTACAACGTTCATTTAAAAAAAGAGACAGAAAATAGATTTTTTAAAAGAAAGTACAAGATATAAATGAATATACCCCAAAATAATATGCCGTGAACTTAAGGTGCAATAAGAAAGGTATTGGATGTAACAATGAAAGGAACGTATATGTAAGTGTGCAAAAGTGATTCAATAAAGACGTTTGTTTTTCTTCAAGGTTTTTTTCGAGTAAATCACTGCATTCACGTTATGCAATCAACTATTAAAATGTAAATTAAATGAACCTAAACATGATTGATTCGGTGGTAAAGATGCTGCCTTGGAAATTATTGCTTATGCGACTTGCTGGCGAGAGCACATCCACTTCGAGAAGCAGCTCAAGAGAGCGTCTCTATTGGGTACTTGGCCTACTCTTCCACACTGGCCAAACGTTTTGGAAAAGGTGGCAGTACCCGAATGTTATACTCCACGCTGCACGTGCCCGCAGATTGACTGCAGTGTACCCATGTATGTATGTTGAACTTCTTTCTCACCGTACGTAGCGAACTGTGCTTATCGGAGCTCTTGGGGGGGGGGGATGGGTCAACTGGTGCCTTGGGCACGGCTGGGTAGCTCTGCTATATTTTAAGCTGTGTTTCGGTTAACTTTATATTATATCTGATGGATACCGAACCTGCTGTTGCCGCTCCAATGAACTATTGAGTCTCACCCCCTCATAACAGCACCAATTCATACTACGCGGTGAACGGAGGTGGGGGATTGAGATCTTGAACCCAGTCTGCTAACCATGACACCACGGCAAGCGTGCACATTCTCATTGTGGTTAAACTCGGAATGCGGCGTAGATTGTGGTTGCTTGCGGCACTGAAGCCCCCAACCCCCACCTCTCTCCCCCCCCAGCTGCCCCACCCCCCAACCCCCACCTCTCTCCCCCCCCCCAGCTGCCCCACCTCCCAACCCCCACCCCCCAACCCCCACCTCTCTATCCCCCCAGCTGCCCAACCCCCACCCCCCAACCCCCACCTCTCCCTCCCCCCAGCTGCCCCACCTCCCAACCCCCACCCCCCAACCCCCACCTCTCTCTCCCCCCAGCTGCCCCACCCCCCAACCCCCACCTCTCCCTCCCCCCAGCTGCCCCACCTCCCAACCCCCACCCCCCAACCCCCACCTCTCTCTCCCCCCAGCTGCCCTACCCCCCAACCCCCACCTCTCCCTCCCCCCAGCTGCCCCAACCCCCACCTCTCTCCCCCAGCTCTCCCGTCGCCGGTAAACAGTGCGCGAACTAAATTTTGATTTAAAGCTTTCGTGACTGCAGTAATTCATATTCTTAGTTTTTTCGGTAAAGTCACGTTGAAGAGAAACAACAAAATAACAAAATATATATAAAACAATAAAAAATTATCACGACGTTTCGACCATAACTCAAACGGTCATCATCAGGTGTGTTGGTTTGCATAAATTTATTTTTAAACGGCACATTTATTTATTTATAAAAAAAACCGTTGGCGTCACGCGCAGCGATTGGCAGTTTGCCCAGGACTAGTCCATCTATTTTTTTTTTAAAAGAGGAGGGGGGAGACGAAATTTTTTATAATGTATGCTGTCTGAAAGCCACTGTAAGCGTGAACAATCAATCAAGAACTGAAATGATTTATCAAATCTTTCCAATGATTGCTAAGATAGAATCCATCTTCTCGGTTGAAATTGTCTCTGTGCTTGTATATGTGGATAGCCTCATGAACGAATCTCTCATGGAAGCCAGATGGCTTACAAAGAACCTCCGTCTTGGAAAAGTCAATGGCATGTGAGCCTACTGAATTAGAACAATGATCTGCTACGGCCGAGGTGTTGGTCCTACCGTGTTTAAGGTCTGCTTTATGTTCACGAATGCGGTCCGAGATATGGCGTTTGGTTTCTCCAATGTAACTACTACCACAGAGGCAACTTAGTTTGTAGACACCAGGGTATTGTATGTCCGGAATCACATCTTTTACAGACGGAACCAGATCACGGATTTTATGTAATGTGTTGAAACGGACCTGGATCTTGTGTTTATTCAAGATTTTGGAGATCTTTTTTGTGATCCCAGCAATGTAGGGTAAAGTGATGGTTTTGAAAGGCTCCTCAAGAGGGTTCTTCTTCATGGTTTGAGTGATAGCTTTGCGGATTGTATAGTCGGAGTAACCATTAGCCCTAAGAGCTTGGTGTACGTGCTTGAGTTCACTGCTTATGTGTTCCTGGTCGGATATGCATTGGGCTCTATGATACAGAGTCTTGATGAGAGAATTCTTCTGTGATGGATGGTGGTGGGAATCTGGTTTCAGATAAGCATCTGTATGGGTAGCTTTCCTGTAGACAGAGTGGCTCATTGAACCATCAGGTCTCTTTTTAATTAGGACATCCAAAAAAGGTATCTTGCCATCTATTTCGACTTCCATGGTAAATCTGATGGCTGGGTGTATGGAATTGATGTGGTCGAAGAATTGGTCTAGAGCAGGCCGGCCATGTGGCCAGATGACAAAAGTGTCATCCACGTACCTCTTCCATAAGGTTGGGCGCAGAGTGGCAGTCTGGATGGCGTCAGTCTCAAATTTCTCCATGAAAATGTTAGCTATAACTGGAGAAAGGGGGGAGCCCATTGGGGTGCCCTCAGTTTGTTTGTAGAAAGTTCCATTCCAAGTGAAGTATGTATTGGTTAAACAGTGTCTCACCAGGGGGGGTACCTCAGTGTTTAGTCCTTGATGAACCAAGTCTTCAATGATTGCAATGGTGTCAGGTACAGGAACCTTGGTGAATAAGGAAACTACATCAAAACTGACAAGCAGGTCGTCTGGGGACAGGGAAATACCCTTGATTGTTGATACCAGGTGAGTAGAATTTTGTACCGCAGAGGTGGTCTTTCCAGTGAAAGGACGCAGGATTTCAGACAAAAAACGAGCTAGTTTGTAGGTGGGGGAGTTGATAGTAGAGACTATGGGACGAAGAGGTGTATCAACTTTATGTATTTTTGGTAAGCCGTATAATCTTGGTGGCCTGGCAGCAGAAGGTTTCAACGAAAACTGTTTAGATTGATCAATTAATGCGGTTGAATCAGAAATTATTTTGTTGGTTTGTGTGACGAGGCTGTTGGTGGGATCTCTTTTTATTTTTGTATAACTACCATCGTCGAGTAATTCTTTAATTTTGTTGTTGTATTCTATTTTATCCATGATGACAGTAGCATTGCCTTTGTCAGCTGAGAGAACTACAATATCATTCCTCTTTTTTAATTTATATAATTCAAAACGCTCATCGTTGCTGAGGTTGCTAGCTGGCATCTTAGCGTTTTTGAGGGTTGCAGCGATTTCAGATCTTGCTACGTCTGCAGCGATGTGACCCAGGCCCCTGAGAGCAACGTCTACTTGGGCAATTATATCATTAACTGGTATGTGTTTAGGTGTGACTGCAAAGTTTAGACCTTTAGCTAAAACGGATTTCAGACCATCGGAAATAGAACTGTTACTGCGATTAATTACGACTTTATTAACGTCTAAATTTTTGGTGTGTGGGTCCGGTCTTTTGTTGAAGAGGAGGTTAAATTTGGAAATCAGGTTTTCCTTACATTTGGTCGACATAGTAGCAGCTGAAGAGGCAGTCATATTGTCTACATGTTCCCAATCTGATGTGGACATTATTGCCGTCAATGATAAGTGTGATTTGTAGAGTGTCTTGTCTAACTGATCTAGTTCTGTGCGTATAAGTCTGATTTTTTCTGAGATAAGAGCTAAGCTAGTTTTGAAAAGAATTCAAACATTGTCGTTTCATTGTACAAACAATTCATTTGAAACGTGATAACACGTGCAATTTTAGTGTGAGTGGTTTATTCAGCAGTGCTTTAGTCAAAGGTAAGTGGTTGCATAGTGTATAGTCCCACCATGAAAAAATTTAAACGAGTTATGACATGTCACACGTGTAAAATATTTTTGGGATAGCCCGCACCTCCATATACCCCGCAGGGTCTTGTTTTGTTTGTAAAAAGTGGTATACCCCGCGGGTTATATGCAGGAAAATACGGTAAATAGATCCTCAAGAAGTATGGAGTGGTGTGTGGTGTCAAAAGCAGCATAAAGATCGCGTACAGGGGTCTTGAAGTATTTTCCAGCAGGTCACAATAAAACTGGTGTGCTAGTTTGCCACGAGATATGTACATGTGCATCAGTGTCACATTTTATGTTACACAGTCATGACGTCAATATCTACATGTGACCACTAACCTGAGACATCTCGTCTCCAGGTCTCTCTTGTTTAATCTCGCCTTCGTCTCACAAATCTGTACGTCTCATCGGACTACAGCTCGGTGGGCCACAGCAAAAGCCTTCGTGGGTCAAATGTAGCCCACGGGCCACAAATTGAAGAAACCCTAATGTGGGAGAACAAGTGTTCAGGTCTGTTGTGGTTCCAGTGTGGATGTTATTGGAAGGGAGTGTGTGACAGCAGCAGCATTTTTTGAAACCCAACGGAACCGTTATCACATGAGATGGAGGCAATGACGAAGTTGCTCATGTATGGGACCAGGCATGGAGGCGTGCGTTTGGAGGGCATAGGATCAAATAAAAATGTTATATTTTTTTGTATACATTACCAAAATTCGTAACTATTTGCCTTAAAAAAAACCGAAATATATATGTGGTGAATATCATGGATTGGTTACCATCTATTTTTAAGCTTCCCTGCATATACAAGGCGTGTAAAGCTCACAGGAATGTCGCGTAGGTTTAAGTTGTCACTTTACTTTTATTGTCTTGGTTCGAATACTGTTTCACAATGAATTGCCTTGAGAAGTTGCACGAGCAAGGCGTATAATGAATAACACAAGTGGAACAAATAAGTAAACATGCTGATATATCAAGAAAAATCGTGGGTTTTTGTTTTCTAACCGCTAAACAATTCTGGAAGAAATAATGGCAGCACCTAGGCATGCAAAACTGCATTTATACTTTATTTAATAGATGGCAGAAAAAACAGTGCAAAATATAGTCCAAAAAGAAATAGCACCATGCAAAGGTGGCGTGCACTGCCTGGGAGTGTTATAATGAACCACTTCTGACTCAAGTTTACATCGTGCAGATTGTTACATTCACAACAGCAAACCAACTGCATCTCTGCTGTAATGAACATTTAAATGGTACGCAAAAAACAGTGCCACACTGCTTTAGAACAACAGAAACATACATAATGGGATGACATTTAGGATTATTTCTTTTAAAAAAAATTTTGATTGTCGTCCAACGCTCAATCTTCGTCAGCAGCGTGGAGGGAGGGTCCCCGAGACCCCTGTCGAGTCCGGTCGGAGGGCGGCTTCACCACTCAAGGCTGGTATAGCAGCAACCTCATGATCTGGGCCCCATCGCCAGTGTGGAAGGTTGAAGCCAGGAAGGTGAATGGTTGGGAGTCGGCGAGAAGGAAGTGGTTCTTGATGTCGGTGACATTTCAGAGAATGGCCACTTAAGAGCAAATATGAAAGAAGGGCCATCGTGCAAAGTGTCACCCTACTATATATGTTTTATTTGGCAGTATGAATTATTAATATATGTAAGTTTTGGCTTGTGAGCCACTGCGAATGCAGTTTCTTAATATTTTTTTAGTGAAATGGTAAATAGTCATGATTTCAGCCAGGGCTTAATTTGTCCAGGAATATTTTCCTGGATCTCCAAGCTCACAATCTTCTGTACCTCGACCCAGTGAAATAGCCTGAGACAGGTCCAGTTGACATCAAGCCCTGGTATTAACTCCAAAGCAATGCAAATGTTTTGGCAAACATAATTTTCCAATTCAGCTTTCATGTGATTCAACATGCTGAACCTTGTTTTTATTATCTAAAGGATGATTCAACAATTCTGCTATATCCTTATGTAACTCTGTTGAAGTAATGTCATTTGAAAATGTAAATAATAATTTTAGACATTATGCTGAGCACATTGAAATAAGGACAATTGTAACACTTTGGAGATATAACACAAACATGCAGCCCTTGCACTGTTTCAAAAGACAAACACAAAAACTACAACTAGTTTTGGTATTTTAAATACATTGTATGTAGAAAAACAAGCTCAACTTTTAACACCAAATGGTCGTCAATACTGTGCACTGCCATGTACTCAAAATCGTCAAGACACTCAAGGCATTACAAGGTTGTATTTCAAGCTTGAGCAGAGAATGGAGCAGCTTCACAGCCGCAGTTTATAATTCGTGAAGCGGCAGGATAAAAAAAAAAATCATATTTGTTGCACTCCAGCGTCATCAACAAAGGGCCGACATTGCCGTTTACGTTTTGAAATATTACTGTGAAAGAACACATCCAATTGAATATTACAAACACGTTGGATTTTAATACTTTCTCATATAAATCAGGTGCACCTCTAAACAGATAATTGGCCAGATAATGGTTGCAATACCTCGCTTACTGTACCACGCATGTGAGTTATTCCAAGGCTTACGCTTAGTACAGCATTGTCTGTAAACCTTAGATGTATGACATTACACATTTGTCCTGTGGTTCCATTACAATTTTGTAAGGCACGAGGTATTAAGAGGTATGATTCACCAATTGAGGAGTGCTCAATTTTGCTCCTCAATTTATATGCTGTTAAGATAACCCACGCTCAATTCATGGGAAGACGATAATCCACTTTTAGTTTAGTGAATGATTTTTTCAAAGGTGGCTGGGTGTTGAAAACCTAAATCACATTTTTTATCCCTTTAATCTGCCGACACTCAACAAAAGCCTCGCGTTTAAGTAATTCAATGGTTTTGGTAGTCAAGTTTTTCCTAGCGTTTCACTGCTCAGTTGTCACGTGGAGGGTTACAACTCAATTCCAGAAGATTATTTTCTAATCATTGTGGTGAACGTTAACAGCCACCAGTGGCTGTAAGGGTCACGTGAACCCATTACAAAACATGAGTCCTACAACATTCTTACGCGTGCAATTCGACACACATCTTGAGCTTAAGAATCAATATTAAACGATGAATTGTTACATCATTAAATCTCTATGCGCTATGTCACTGTAAACATGCTGACTTGTTCCTGCACTTTACCTTAGGCTGTGGCGTAGCGTCATCTAATTTTTTTGTTGCTCCATATTGGAATGAAACGAAGGCAGCACCATATTTTAGTACCTCATTGTGGAACTGGACTATCCCTTGGTACTTTGACCAGTACAGCACCGATTAAAACAAGGCCTGTATCTTCAGGAATGTACGACTCTCACCTTGGAAAGGGTCGTGGTAGGCTGCGGGCCAGTCACATGCGAGTATATTTGTGATGTCAGCATTTATTTTTTTCTATGACACTCGAGTGTGCTGTAAATGTACCATCGCAACACATTTAATTGATTTATTTTGAAAATCCCTTGCGATGAAAAGCACCTGTACGTCATTGACTTTTTACCTTACGCTGGTCCATAATTTTTCATGTTATCAAAATGTCGTGTTAAACATAAAAAAAAAATCAATCGTAAAATACCGATTAAAGACAACAAATAAAATCTGCACCACTTCAATGGGTAGTGGAAACAAGGTGGATTTAAACCCATCTGAGATTACAAGTTTTAAATACTCGTGTTTTCATTATCATAGTAAGGTTTTGTTTACTCCGTCATTGCCTGAATACTGTTGGAATGGCCAAATTCTTCAGTAAATTGGAGAATCCCTTAAAGTCTCATGCCCTTATCGTCTTATGTGAAAATCCCAAGAGTATGCATTGTGTGTCCCTGGGCCTCTGAGGCGTCCATCAGGACTGCCTCTTTAAAATGAGCTAATGAGGTTGTTCAACTGGCCCGGGTAATTCTCAAATATCTTCTCCACTTCGTCGCTGAAAGCGTCACCTGCCGACAGACATATCACACCATCATCACAATGACCTTCATCACAATCATCATGACCCAAACAAAGCTTTGTTTACCATCACCATTATGCGTACCTGTGTGGTTATAACTGCTTTGGTACGCTGGAAAATGTCCTATTTCCACGGGCACATGCAGGCTAAGCCATCACCGGGCCCTCGTGGCAGAGGTGGTTTTCCACTGGCTACTTTCCATGCCGAGTCAGAACAAAACCGTGACACGCTAACCTCACAAGACAACTGCATCTGGCTTGGGGCCAAGCAAGGCCAGGGGAGGGGCTAATGACACGTCGATTTGCATGTAATGGAATTTATTTGAGGACATAGCCGTGTACGTCACTGCGTCGTACACGACGTCATTGGCATGGCTTGGGCTCTACAGTAGAAAAAACAAAACTGACACCTCTGGAGCCAAATCTGGCTGCTTGGCACGGCTCGGTTGCACAGTAGAAAAGAGGTATAAGAGCCTTGATATCTGAATAATTATCATAGAATTAGCGCTCTGGCTTTGTTTCTATGGTGTTTATCACTGTTTTATTTTTATAGCCAAACTAGCTTTACTGCCCGGCTTCGCCCGGGATTTGGATTCACCACGCCCGGCCGCCTTTGTCTCCCCAGTGGCGATGTTCACACACCACAGTAGTTACTCGTTTGAGGCTGAGTCGACCTAGGGGAGGCCAAGGAGCGGTTGAAATAATCGTCGCCGTTTGGTGGCTGTGAGCGGGAATCGAACTCGGGTCGCCGGGTTCGTAGCACGGTGCGCTACCCACTACACTACAATGCGTTACGCTTCCACGTGCGCGGGTCACATGACAGATTTGACGTCACAGCTCACTTGCCGTGCAATAAATAAATGCATTATTGAGCTCCCCCCCCCCCCCCCCCCCAAAAAAAAAAACACACAAAAGTGTATTTTTATAATTTTTGCAAGGTGTACAGTCTGCAAACTACCCACATGGCAAATTTCAAGTTTGTTGCATGTCGGGAAGTACGCTAAACATTTTGAACAGACACACATTCACAACTTTGCCTTTTATATATATGGAGATGGGTGATGCGTTGTAAAACCACGTTTTTCAGTAGCCCGGAATCTGCAGTAACATTGATGTCATGATGTCTATGCCTACTTAGCATGATGTCGCTTGCTTGTCTCGTGTTCTCAAGTTGTGCCAGTAATTTTTCCAGTTGGGTTTTTTATTGTGCTTAAATTTATAAACAACAATATGTAAATCAAAACAGTTTGACGTAATTTCAATTGTGAGAATCTGCTGCAGTGAGCGTATTTAATATATTACGACAAACTTGTTTAATGTTAACTGTTGGGATCGCTATTACTATTGTGCATACCCACACAAGCCTACTTTGATCTCGTGCTATGCTCACTCAGGCTTGCAAGAACGGGTTCTAAGTTGTACTTGTGGCAATGATGTATCTTAATTATCATAATTATCACGATCATTAAAATCACCATCATCTTTTGGAATTCTCTGGTCTGACACTGGTGAAACTAGGCCCTAAAGAAGGCTGTCTCTGGCGTAGACCAAGGAGCCTCAAAGACATTGTATAATTATCAGAGCATGTTTGTTTGCCATGTTCACCACAAGTACCGTGTGTGGTTTAACGCAGACTTCATTCATTGCAACATGTTTCTATTTGGTGTTCGAACGTCTTAACACAACCGTTTTATTGCCAGAAAGGGTAAAATCTATTCTTATTTTTCACACTTTGATACTGGCAAAAAAAAGTCCCCATGATATTGTTTCCTTCATCGATTGTTGCCATGGCTCGACGTCATAATTCGTTATTTTAAATCTCAGTAAAAAAAGGCATCGGACGTCAGAGCACTGCAGTCGGTGTCGCAAGTATGGCCAAGTGAAAACGCGTGGGAACCCACCGACGTGACAGTTGTACATCCATATCCTGTGCCCGTCATACTTGCAGTTGCACTTCATTGCATTGTTGGTGAAGTCCGTCTCGGCCACTTCGTAGTTGGGGTTAAGGACAACCTGGCAACAAGAAGAAATGCAGGGTGCTTAAAAAAAAAACATGTTAACACTTACATGGAACTATCGTTTTTTTATGTGAAAATAACGGATAATTCGCTGTAACGTGATAACAAATCTTCTTTGGTTCTTTCGGTAAGGTCACGTAGAATGAGAATAAAATAATGAAATAACACGATAAAATTCTCACGACGTTTCAGCCACAACGCAAGCGGCCGTCTTCAGGTGAAAGGTACAGACCTGTCGGGACGACATTGAAGCTCTGTCGTCCCGACAGGTCTGTACCTTTCACGTGAAGACGGCCACTTGCGTTGTGGGCGAAACGTCGTGAGAATTTTATTGTGTTATTTTATTATTTTATTCTCATTCTACGTGACCTTACCGAAAGAACCAAAGAAGATGAATCCTTACAGTCACGAAAGCTTTAAATCGAAATGATAACAAATGTATGTTAATAGGTTTCAAAAAGTCATTATTATTATGAGACCTCCTTTGCCAGAAACAAGATATAGGAATAGGTTTTACCCTTTTAACTGGCACAAAACTGACACCTTTATTCAAGGCATCATGTTTGCAATGACCACAACACAAGCAGTCAAAATGCAAACAAAAGAGACAACTCTGATAATAATATGCACTGTCCTTGAATTTGATTGGTCCACACCCGAGACAGCTTTTCTTAGAGCCTAGTCTCCATTGGTGTTGGACCAGAGGACGCCAAAAGGCGTACAACTCAAAAACAGCGCACTACCAGAGTATTGAGGGCTCGGGGTGAGCATTAACATTATGAGACCTCCTTTGCCAGAAACAAGATATAGGAATAGGTTTTACCCTTTTAACTGGCACAAAAACTGACACCTTTATTCAAGGCATCATGTTTGCAATGACCACAACACAAGCAGTCAAAATGCAAACAAAAAAGACAACTCTGATAATAATATGCACTGTCCATCCTTTTGGCGTCCTCTGGTCCAACACCAATGGAAACTAGGCTCTAAGAAAAGCTGTCTCGGGTGTGGACCAATCAAATTCAAGGACAGTGCATATTATTATCAGAGTTGTCTTTTTTGTTTGCATTTGGATTGCTTGTGTTGTGGTCATTGCAAACATGATGCCTTGAATAAAGGTGTCAGTTTTTGTGCCAGTTAAAAGGGTAAAATACTAGTCACGTTATCGTATTTCTTATGTTCCACTCCCTACATTCCCATCTCGGAGGCTTCGCCTTTCAATAACGTCAAACAGGAACCCCGATCGATAGCCACATTCAACAGGAGACTGAGAACTCGTGACTGGGAAGGTCTTCAAAAGGTCAAGGCTGGCCACATGTTCTCATGTTTTGGTGTACGGCAGGTCAAATGCTGCCACGATTAATAACCCTTCAGCGGACTGATTTTTGACAACAGCTTGTCCACTTATGTAACCCAATGGGATGGAGCGGTAGCAGAATGTTTAGTGCACCGCGCGCTTTTAACTCGCGATGTGAGCCACGATTGCAGACCACAGCTAACACTTTTTTGGCGAGTGATATCTGAAATGTTTTATTTTCCCTTGCCAACTCCAATTGACCATCGTGGTGAAGTATGGTGTTATCAGCCGCAGATTAGCAGCTGTAATTTAATTACGTAACCCAAGTACACACTTTTGGTATCGACCAATGGATAATTATCACATCAGGCTGCCGCAACTGAATGTGCTACCTGTTAGGACCGGATTCAAACCTTGCACGAAACGATATGTTTAGAATATATACAAACAATATGTCCAAACAACTGTGACGTTACATAACCCTATGTTTAGGTTGCCCAACCGACAATCGATCGCAAATATGAACGGCCGTTGCGCAACGTAGGATGTGATCCACCCACGACGTTTCGATCGCAACACAAGCAATCGTCTTTTTCACCTGAAGACGGCTGCTTGTGTTGCGATCGAAACGTCGTGATATATATATTTTTTACCTACGTGACTTTACCGAAAGAACCAAAGAGTTTGGATTATTGCAGTGACGAAAGCTTCGAATCAATGATGATAATTAAGAACAGCTATACTGTACGTGCACTTATAAACTCAAAATATCAATAAGAATGTATTGTGACCTCCCGCCCTCTGCATGTCTAATTAATTCTAGGAGATATATTGAAGTTACATGAATTTTATTTGAAATCAGTCATAAACGTCCCCCCCCCCCCCCCCATAATCCTTTTGGGAGATCCATGAGTGCTGCGTTGATCCCCTTTTATTCCTCGCATCTTCTTCAGGTGCTAGTGTGTACGTTATTACTAATATCCAAAAATGTATGGGGGGGGGGATCATATATTGTCTGCGTGTTAGTCTGGGTTTACAATTTTTTACGTGCAATCACAATCTCAAGGCCGTGTGGGACATCCTGCCAATGTTGACTACGGCTGCAGAAAACACTCTGGCTTGCAGCAAAGTTGGCACTTGCCTTCTTCATTATCCTCACTCGGATCCAAGAAAAATACCTCGACACGCGACGGCAGCTTCCAAAGTAACCTGTCATGCGCCCTCCTTGGCATCGGGCACGGCCACACGGATGCCACCATGGCTTAACCGACAAGCTTTGGAGTGGCTCTCTCTCCTCTCTCAAGGTCCTCCCGCCGTAGCCCGTCCACCCTTCTCATCGCGCCGATCACAGCGAGACTACCGCGTCCGACGGAACCCGCCTAATAATTTGCTCGTGGCACCGAAAACCGGGACTCTCCGTGGCTTAGCAACGTTTCTCTGTCCCTGCAGCAGCCATCTGGAACTTTCTTACACCGCACCATTCGCAGCATCATTCACCTTCGCGGAGCAGCTCATGGCTCTCCTCTGTGAGGCTGGCGTAGCCGGGACTCTGAGCTCTTTGCTTCCGTGCCTCCCGAGTTTTGGATCGAACATTGCGTCCGGAAAAGTGAAATATGTGCGCGCTAGAAATTGCGTAATTAGATCCCTGTTGTTATTAATTTTTCACTTCTCATAATGGTTATTGAACTATATTGAACTGTTCCCTGAATACAGCACCCATGCTATTGCACCAGCGATCACGTCAGTAGCGTAACGAGCGTGGGGGTTAGTGGGTGCCTTGCCCTCCCACATGGTGGCCAAAGCTCCGAGTTGGGGCCCCCTTGACAGCCACCACGAGATATGTGTTCAGCAAGAGTGTCGGAGAACAAAAAAAAACTTCTGTCACGATGTGATTAGGCAAGAGGAGCCGCCGGTATAGATTAGCCGAGGTGCCGCCGTGCGAGACAAATCATAACATTGTGGACCCAGCTAACCGACTGCCACACCCCGTGAGCTAACAACGCACGGTCGTTACGCCACTGTATCACGCGCTTGGCAAAAAAAAAAATCTGAATTCTCAGGTTTTTTTTAATAAGGGGTTGCGCAATAAAGAGAGGACCTCTGAATGCCAACGCCTTGGTTGTGACAATTCTTTGCACGCTGCTGAAATTCCACCTAGTGGGCAAAAATGAGATGTCTCCGTTTCTTTCTTTTAACGCTACAACTTAAAAAAAAAACAGGGCTCGGCACACGACGGCCAAAATTTGGAATACAAATACAAATTTGGAACGCAAACACAAATCGCCATGGTACAATGGCACGCATCTGACACATACGAAAATAAGGACTGGGATTTTAGAAGCTTGGTTAAAAAGACTAAAGTCCATTCCTACAGCGAAGATAAGCATTCATCATCATCTGCTTTGATCTATCCACTGCTGAGTGAAGGCATCCCAAAGTCATCACCATCAATCAAGATTTGTTTACAACACTCCATGGAGCTCCTCCACACGGGCCTGATCTCATCGCTCCACGTCTGCGGTGGACGTCCTCCCAGGCACATTCCCTCCATTATACTCGACATCTGTGGAAAGAGCTTCATAGCTGATCGGATTCCTCCAGGATGAATAAAGATTCTGATTCTGAGAATTTGGCTGCCACTCCATTGCCTATCAACCAAATGCCATCATCCCTTCTGGCGACGTGTCCTGCTGCCCAGAGTCCTGCCCAGAGTTCAGTAACTTTTTTTTTCTACGACCGAAAATATGATGTCTCCGACTTGCATATGTTCTCCTGGCCAAGTGTTCCTCTTTTTATCTCTCGGGGTAATTCTAAGCATGGACGGCACCATGCTCTGAGACTTGCACTGTAGCTCGGTGGACCGGAATTGGGCGCATGATGACTCGTGCGTGTGCTTTGCGTGTGCTTTGCACGCCGCCACAATAGAGGTTTTGGCAATTGAAGGGGTTAATATCGGCAACTGTCCCAGATTCACATGCCACTCCATCAGCCTGCCAATAGAGTGCCTCCTCTGCGTAACACTTGGGGCATCGGCCTGGCAGCAGAAATAAAGATGGGTTGACTTCTGACTGTGATGTCTTTTGCGAATGGTGTCATACACATCACCATGGCAACTCCACGGCGAATCCTCGGACCGAAATGCTACCGCAGTCAACATCTTGCATGCGAGCCGCACGTGCGTTCATATGCGCTGCATTAAAATATTAAGCAATTCAATAATGAAAACACGATTTTTTAAGTTAAAAAGCCAATTTGAAGGCCAGATGTGATACTCCCCGTAGATTTCTTCTGCTGTACGTCTGTACTCGATCCGGAATCAAATAACCCCGCAATGTTTTTTCCTCACTTTAATCTCTCAATCGCTTGCAAATGTACGTGTTTGACTTTGGTTGTTTTGTTGTAGTGACACTGAAGCGTTGGTGTACGTCAATTGTCATCAGTTATCTAATGCACAACTTACCTATAAAGTGGTGACAGGGCCCAGTTTTATTACTGTCACGGTGGTAGCACCAAGAGGGCTGGCGACAACGAGGCCTTCATCCAGCAGTGGATAGACCACAGCTGCTGCTACTGATGGTGGTGGTGGTGGTGTGGAAACAATCTTTAAATAACGAGCCATGACATTCAACATTTGTTCAGAAAGGCGCAAACAGCGCCTGATTTGCAGTACAGTGCTGAATGTCGAAGTGGAACGGAAATCAATAATTTTCGAGTGAGAGGCCAGTTTTGATTTCACACCAATTGTGTGGCACCGGCAGCGCTGAGTTTTAAATGACACGTGGCACACATGTATACGGCATATGGACAACAGGGTGGATCAATGAACCTTATTTAAACCAGGTGAGTTTCCATTGAGATATCAACGTCTGATTTACAAAATAAGACCTGGGAGGAATGTATGTATGCATGTACCTGGTGCAAAGGTACACATTTGGCCTGAAAGGGAAAAACAACACCCATGCAAAAAAATATACACACCCTTGTAGGCATCGTGTGTACATGTGCATGTCCATGTAGGTTATAGGCGTAGGTGGGGAATGGTGATTTAGTGGTTAGCGCACTGCACTACGAACCCAGCGACACGGGTTCGAGTCCGCCTCACGGCCAACATCGGTGGCGAATATCTGGACTGGTCCCGGGCCTCCCCTAGGTCGACTCAGCATCGAATGAGTACCTGGTGTGGTTTATAAACACATCATCGTTTGGGGAGACAAAGGGGGCCAGACGCGGTGTTCGCCACCCACCTCCTCGTGTAGTGCTGGGCCGAATAGCAGCAGCAGCAGCTGCCCCAAGAGTCTGTTAAAAGTATTCTTTGGGTCTTTCGGTCGTAGGTTTTTGTTATTTCTTTTTTATTTTCTTTGAACCTATCTACGTGACCTTACCGAAAGACCCAAAGAATATGAATTCCTGCAGTCACGAAAGCTTTAAGTCAAGATTTAGTCTGTTAAAAGGCTTATGGGGGCGGGGGGGGGTATGTAGTGTTTGTTTGGTTTGTATGAGTCGGATGAAAACACAAGTACGGCAGTACACGTGCAGGTGCTGGGTGCGTACACGGATGTCGCCCAGGCTGCGCGCGTACGGGGCAGGATTGTTCCTTCTCGGGGTACGTGTACCTGGAAAATGTAGTTTCCAGGCTTGAGGTCGGTGACATCCACCCACTGGCAGTCAATGTCGTGCCGGTAGGTGTCGTGGCAGTTCACCGTGATGCCTTGCTCGCCAAAGTTGGCACACTCGTACACCTTCTGTCCTCCTGCAGGTGGCGGCAAGCACACACACACACAACACAATCCCTCAAGGCGCTGGGTCGATGTTTGTGCACGCTCTTTCAACGAGGGCGACAATTCGTTCCCGAGAGCGCTTTTAATTGCACGGCAGTTTGAACTGCGCGGTTAAAATGTTCGCAGCGTATTCCTTTTGCACGCGTTTCGTGTGTAAATTTTTATCTTCTCTCAAGCCGAGACGCTGCGGCAGTGCATAACAGAAGCTTTGGATGTAATCACGGCCGAGGTGGTGGCAAATACCTCGGGCTCTAAAATCTCGAACTCGTGTCCGTCGATGATTGCCGTTGTGGACATGCGGATGTTTAAAGAGATCAAATGCGTGTGATAAAATCTTCACGCCGCCGCCTGCGTAGTTTTGTGGACCGGGCTCAAGCCACTGGCTAAATTAGACAAATTATTTGGTGATAATGCATTGGCAATGATGCAAAAACCGCAAATAACATTGCCCAAAGTGTCGCCTTGCGTATAGTTTTTTTTTCCCTTTAAGGTATGAGTTCAGCTTTTATTTGGATATGAAAACAAAATAAATGTACAGCATGGGTACTGTGATCACTCTTTTAAATTATGATCATTGGGGACGTCCATAAATGACGTCACGCACCTAGGGGGGGTCAGACATTTGTGACGATGTGTAACGAGGGGGGGGGTGGAATTTGAGAAATGTGACGTCACATCAAAATGCGCAACTTTAAATATAGACAACACGTTCTACTTAATTAAATAGACTTTTTAATAAATCTTTTCTCCTACAACTTCAGAGTGCAGCGCCACATTAAATACGCACTACAATGACAATAGTGATTGTAGTGCGTCACAAAGCTCTACAATGACAACAGTCATTGTCGAGCTTTATGACGTCATATTTGAGGGGGGGTCTGACTTTTTGTGACGCCGTGTGACGACGTGGGGGGGGGGGGGGTCAAAAATCGCGTGACGTCATTTATGGACGGCCCCCATTTCGTCATGATCAACGGAGACGCATGTATCGTTTATAGTGTAACGTGGTAAGGTTTGGTTATGGAACAAAAAAAATGGAAATGATTTTTTTTATTGATTTCTGAGGTATCAACTTCTTTACAGTACATCGCTCAAGCAAATGGCGTCACAGTAAAGTGGTGCCAACATTTTTTTATGTATATTGCATGAGAACAAAACTTAATAAATTTAAATTGACTGCATAAACCAAAAAAAGTATTTAATGATATTAACAAAATAAAAAACGCTTTTGAAATTAACAAAATTCAGCAGCAATGCATAAACCATCTGTTCAAGTGGAAAGATGCTTTGAGAAGGTCGGATTTAAACATCCATATTTATTCGGGGCGTGACCCATTTAAGCAAAACAACGTGAATACAAAACAACGTAACTATTTTTGTCCACGCACTCAGATGCTAGACGTCGTATTCGCGTTCAACCGAGCGGGGAGGCTGGGATGCGTGCAGTGTAGGGTGGTGCACCTTCTTGGCAGTCGGTATCCTCCAAACAGAAGCTGGCCTTGTGCCCCTCTGCAACCTTTGTGCCGTTTGTGCTCAGAATGTCATAGTGGGTGAACACCTCCATGCTGTGGTAGTGGCTGGGATAAGGCAACAACACAACCTGTTACAAGTCAGCCAGTGGGAGCTGGGTGGGGGGGGGTTGAGAGAATGCACCAGACGCCTACGGAGCGGCATCGCCACAAACTCTCATCATCCGGTGGTCGGCCCTGGGTTTGTATTCGGTATTTAGCAGTGTTTCTGCGGGCAGCAGAATCAGGATCGCATGGTAAGGGGCATACTTTCTCAGGGTTTTCTTCTAGAGTGGTGCGAGGCTGCGCTCCTCTACAGACAGTGAGGTCGTCGTGTCGTTTGTATGGGACTTGACACTCGAGCTGAAGTTCTAACCCTCACCTTCAGCGCGTTCAATTACGTGAATGCTTCTGCCTGGAAAGGACAGCAGCACAGCAGACATATGAAAGAGACGCTTGACATAGCTATGGAAGATGTGGAGAGCCATATATCGGCAACGGACGTATATAGGAGCAGTGCAAGGGGGGGAAAGGACATGGAGACAGAGGAGTGGAGTTCGGTAATGGGTGTAGAGTAAGATATTGGGAGCGAGAAATGACAAAGCCAATCACGCCTTTTGGCGTCTAACACCGTTTTGAGACGAGGCTCAAAAGAAAGCCGTCTCTGGTGTGGACCAATCAGTTTCAAAGACAATGAATTTATTATCAGAGTTTGTTTTTTGTTTGCATTCTGACCGCAAGCATTGTGGTTAATGCAGGCATGATTCCTTGTAAAAGGTTTCAGTTTGGTGTTTTAACATCTCAACACAGCCGTTTTGTTGCCATACAAAAAGGGGCAAACCTATTCTCACACCTTTATGTTAACAGACAGAAAGCCCCTTTTTGACACGGGAGGCCTGGCGACCGAGGAGAGTCCGCGTGATGATGCAGGGGAGCCAGTGGCGGCGGTGGTTGCGGCTCACCGATGGCACTCGTGCCACACCCACGAGTGCCGTCCAGCCTTGGGGCGGAAGTCCGCACGGCCCAGGTTGTGGATCTCCGACGAGAAACGGAGCAGGCGGCGCTGCCCGTAGGGCCAGTGCATGTTGCGCGCGCTCTGGGCCAGGCAGTCCTCCTCGGCGGCGCAGTAGAGCAGGTGCAGGGGCCGGTCCTCCAGGTACGAGGACACCTGCACCAGTGGCGCGTTCAGCACCAAGTCCGGCGCCACTGCACGCACGGGCGACACGCGCAACGAAGACGATGATGACAATGAAGACAATGATAACGATGATAACGATGACAATGATGATGACGGTGATGACAATGAAGACAATGATAACGATGACAATGATGATGACGGTGATGACAATGAAGATAATGATAACGATGATAATGATGACAATGATGATGACGGTGATGACAATGAAGACAATGATAACGATGATAATGATGACAATGATGATGACGGTGATGACAATGAAGACAATGATAACGATGACAACGATGACGACGGTGATGACAATGAAGACAATGATAACGATGACAACGATGACAATGACGACGACGGTGATGACAATGAAGACAATGATGACGATGACATTGATGATTGCGCAAGACAACGCGAGAGTCGACACCGTTCGAGTGCGTCCCATTGCATAGAGGCGGAGCAACGACCCCTAAGCGAGGAACCGCGCGCGCGCTTCACTCGCACACGTGTCGGCAGAGAGAGGGAGAGAGAGAGAGAGAGGGGGGGAGCCCGGCGTGAGCGTGCCAGCCACTCATTTACTCTCTGAGCAGATGATGCCGGCCGCGTTCCTCGCTCCGCCCTTCCGGCAGGCGATGTCGGCGCCGTGGTGGCGGCAGTACTGCAGTGACATTTCGGAGCCCACGCATTTCACTCCGCTCATCACCACCTGGTCGTGGAGGGGGCTGCCCTCAAAGTACCACGTCTCCTGCAGCGGGGGCGAAGGGAAATGAGAAAAGGGGTTGGGGGAGGGATGCGCAGCAAGGCGATTAATTCATGTTACCACGCGGCGCTGTTGGGATGTGTAGCGGAGGGTTGGCGTGCATTGTGCGGGGGTGGTGGTGGGGTGGATGTAATTTAATGCGGCGTGAAAGTTACATTCGCTGCAGCATGCAGTCGCTGAGAGGAAGAGGCGTTGGAAGACAAAGTTGGGTTTTTTTTAAATCGTCTAAGATACCAAATTATTACTTTGCAATACAAAACCGGAATCATTGAATGAAAATGGTGTCATTTGCACTTTAGCAGGATTATATATTGTTGCTTATGAAGCGACATAATAACTGCTCTGTGACCAAGTGCATTAGTAGCCATGGAGACTGAAACCAGCATTGTCCCCCTGAATTATATAAAAGTCTGTTCAGCATCATAATTATTGGAAACATTGACGAACTAGTGTCTGGCTCCCAATAGCCACAAGTGCTACACAGTGCCGTGCACACATGGTATGACTGATTCAATGTGAATGTTACGGAACCCTGCACGTGTTGTGCATTGGTCAACAAAGTCGAATTCAGACGATGTTATCCATGATGCATGATACATTATCCTCAGCCATTGTCTACCCCCTGTTGGATGAAGGCCTCGCCACGATTTCACCATCCGTCACAAGTCACGCAATCCCACAATCCATCTCACCCCTGCACACGAATTGATCTCATCTCATCGTTCCGTCAGTGCAGAGGTCACCCTCGTGGGGGCATTCTCTCCTCTGGCTTGAGGTTCCATCACCGGTGCCATCCATCAAGCATTATCGCTTCTGGCAATGTGTCCTTCCCAAAGACACTAATTTTTTTGTTAAAGAACGATGTGATGCCTCCGATTCGTGTTTGTTTTCCGGTGAATGTCAGTCAGTTGTGATTCACAACACGAATTTGTCCACGCTTCCCAAGCAAACACATATCAGATGTTGTTCCATTTTCTTTGTCAGAGTCGATGTTTCTGATCTAAATGTTATCGCCGGAAATATGTGCAACGATTGTAAATGTTATTAGGCACCCTGGTGTGGTGCTTCTCGTGATCAAATCCATTTTCCAAAAGGAATTATTTGCTTGATTTCATTATTTTGATGGTTATAAATCCGATTCTTCCATATTCCACTTTTTTCCCTCCAACAAGAATTTAATTGTATTTAGCATGATAAACATTGCAAATGCTGTACTGCGTTGATTGCATAGATTAGCTTAGAAATAATAGGGCCTGGAACATAACTTGTAAAATATGTTATATGTCCTCTTTGGAAATATTTTATTTAATAATGACATTATATGTCATAATATGATCTTATAATATGTCCTCTTCAGACATATTATACAAGCATGATGAAATACAAAATGATACATTTTATTTCATACCGCACATGCGCTTTTGAAAACACAAAACATAACGTGGCTTTGCGGTCAATGCTGCTGGCTTCCATGAAATTCTCCAAAGATGTTCTCACATCTTGGCTTCATGGACACATGGACAACTGTATATCAGCAGTGCCTTCACTATCAGAGCTCCAAGCCATTGTGTATCGGTGCTTAAAGAACCCTGAATCATTCAGAGCCCTGAAAATAAGTCCGATGGTTTAAACTCCGCTCCACACGTGTCTTGTGTTAGTGCTCGAAAAGCCTTTGAAGTCATTATCAATTCCGTAGCACGCATTTATTTACGTTTGAACTGCTCTCTGGAGTAGATTTTGCCCGTTTTGTTTAGTTTCATCGGCCGTACATATTTCATATCGTAATACATAAAGATGTTTAGCCAGTCATACAGGCCACTCACGCTAATCGACAGCAACAGGTGTTCCAAAAAGGTTCTTTAAAACTATAATATAATAAAGAAACGAATTTAATTAACATGTCCTGTAACTGCAATCGACCATTTGTACAACATTGTACCCATTGCACCACAACGATCTGCAATGAAAGAGACAATGTACGCGTGCGACATATTTCATACAGCACGGCTGTCAATCCCCTACGCCACAAGGCTTATACACCTCATCCAGCGAGCACAGGTAAAAAGACACAGCGAGCCGAGCAAATATAGTGAACAAGCAATTCCTAATGGGAGCTTGCTTTGAGGAGGTCACCCCCTTCCCTCCATAGAGAGGAGGGGTGGAAAGCGGGGGGAGGTGGAAGCTGAGGAGCAGCAGGGCTGAGGTGATGGCACAGATGTTGAGCTGGAATAAATCATCGTCTTGTACATGCAGGAGTTGTTGCCGTGGGGTTAAGCCACGAATAACACGTGAACGACGTGGGTTTGAATCGTTCCCTTGTTTACCCACCCCCTCGGGTGTACTGACTTCCCACCGAGCGATGGAATGTTTCACTTTTCACATTTTCAAATCTAGCAATGAAAACAACCGTATTTTCAGAACAATCATTACCTGCCGCTGTTAGTATTACGTCGTTTGGCATTACGTCGACCCTACGGCCCACAGGTATTTTTCGTTGGCGGGTCGGCTCGAGTCGCTTGCTCGCCACTTCCATCTCGACGCGTCCTTTCCGCGCCGTGGGTGGGGGGGGGGGTGGTGGTGGTGGTGGGGGGGTGGTGGGTGGGGGGGTTACCTGCAGGTACATGCTGGCGTAGCCCAGGCCGAGTTGGCGGCAGGCCACGGATGCTTCGAGCATCCCCCATCCCTCGCTGCACACCGTGCCCCAGTGAAGCGTCCCATTGAGGCCCCCGTCCGTGAGCACCTCCACGCGGCCCTCAAAGCGGTTGCGGCCGCCCTGCAGGCGGATCTGGTGGCGCGGTGGAGGTCGCGCAAAGCGTGCGAGAGCCGCGCCGTTAGGAACTGCCGCGGTTCCCAGGGTGCGCCGCTGGCGCATTGTGGGATAGCGACACTATACGCACGGTGAAAACTGCGCGAGTCGACGTGAAAGTCTGTACGTATGCAGTGGGGGGGTTGTTTTTTTTTTATAAAAGATTGAAAACGAACGTTTTTGTTTAAGTCGGGTAAATGGCATGTTAATTTTTTAGAAGGTAAAACTGTTTCGCAAATAATGAGGAAAATATTTGAAGGAAACTAGTTCTGGGCTTACTAAATATCCTCCGCTCCTTTTCTGGGCACTTGGTCCCAAGTGCTCCGTTGAAACGTTATTCCCAACTGCACCGATGCATACAATTTGAAGATTTGGTTAAAAGTATTTCTGATATATCAACAGCTGGCGTACGTATTTCTACATTTCTACTCCCCAAAAGCCGAGGTTCACATCCACCCAATTCCATGAATTGTGGAACCCTTTTGCGCACTGCCTGAAATTCTGGCACGAAGAGAGCAGTCGGACCGGTGTCCTGTCCACACACGGCTGCTGTTCGTTTGCGAGCGTTTACCCGCTTCTCGAAGCCCATGGCGGGCACGTGACAGCGAACCGCCGCGTCCTCATGGTGCCCGCAGCCGTGGTCCGAGGCATTTCCATGCGGGCAGTCGAAGATGCTCCTCTCCTGCCCCGTGCACTGCACCATCGCCATGTGGATGGGACCCATGGCTGCGACGGAGACACCGGCAACGTCGATCACGGCAACTCACAGCACAGTCGAAGTTGCCGCATATCAACGGGACGCAACAGCGCAGGCGGCCCACACGTTGGCGATGCACCATCCAGATGCGGCGGACGTTTAAGCTGAAGCAGCGGCGAGTGGCTCTACGTGCTGGGAATCGCGGAAGCCAGCGCACCGCGTCTGCTGCGCGGACGTGCGCACGTGTCACACTCGCGTGTGCACGTGTCACACTCGCGTGCTCTGCAACACGATTCTGTGACTTCGCACGCTCCAGCGCAGGCAGACGTGCACGTGCATGGAGACAGACAAAGACAAAATGCAAAGATCTCCCATTTAGCTTGTAAACAGACTGTTGGGGCAAGTGCTGTTAGCGAGCAGCACCCATGGAGGCCGGCACGGCACACGAGGGGGGTGGGTGGCCAGCACCACGCCCGGCCGCCTTTGTCTCCCCAGTGGCGATGTTTACTACACGCCGCAGTCGACCTCGGGGAGACCCAGGAGCGGTTCAGATAATCGTCACTGGTGTTGTCCATGAGAGGGAGTTGCACCGGGAGTGCAGCGCGCTAACCGTTACACTACCATTCCCCACATGGACACACACACACACGCCAAGGGCACGCACGCGCACAAACACATGCACACCACTCATTTAACACAGATGTCGCACGTGCAAACTTAAGGGGATGACTTGAATAGGAATAGTTCTTTCCACTCCCTGCTGGTCTGGTCATAGCTGACACTTGTGTTTGACCCACTGTTTAGGGTTAAAATGTAAAATGCAATGAGTAAGGGTTTTAAAGATATGTTACATAACGCTTGCCAGAACTATGAACCGTGTAAGATGTACTTGGCAGCCCCACGCTGTTGAAATACTTTTAGCACAATTCCATTAGAAATTTGTAAAAAAAAAGATTTTTTTAATAACTTCTCAATGCACTACATGTCTAACATAAACTATCTCGTTTACATTACGTAATTTGTACTGCCTCATATACTGTAGACTGTCTTGGTTGTACTATTTACACCCATTGTACGGTCACATTCGTGTTGTCTCATTTGCCCCGTCTCTTTTGTTCCATTGGCCGAAATTATCATTCGCACAGCATTTACATAAATCAGCATTGATTCGTACGCGTACACTTTGATGCACGTATCCTCGGCATAACAATTGACTTCAGTTGACGATTCCACGCATCGGTACGCGCTTAGTAAGTTCGCGGGCCGCTGATGTTCTCTCCCACCTTGGCCCATGCGGCCACTCGTGAGGGCCTCTTTGGCACTGCCGAAGCCGAGCTCGCGACACACGACGCTCGCCGACACGGTGCTCCAGCGCTGGTCGCACACGGTCCCCCACTCTCCACCGCGCTGCACCTCCACCCGGCCTTCACCCGTCATCGCCCCGCCCTTCAAGCGCACCATCGGGACCTGCAAACGACAAACATCTCCCGTGTGCCACTCGACAGACCGCTGGGACCAAGGGCTCTCAGCGAGCACCTGCCAAGGAAGGTGCGACGCGCAACGGCGTGGCGTGGCCAGAACCGTGCCCGACCACCTTTGTCGCCACCTTTGCTGACGTTTATACGCAGCACTGGTTGATGATTTAAGGGATTTAAGGCTGAATATGAATAGGGAAGGCCCGGCACACATTGCGATATCTCTTCCCACTGATGTTAGCCATGGTAGGGAATTCAAACCACTTGCATTGAGGTGGCCGGGTGGCTCAAAGGTCAAGAGCACTGCAACCGGCACTGATCCTGGATTCAAATCCAGGCAGTTTCCTGTAATTTATCTGGATTATCAAGTGCAGCGAGTTGATTATCTCAACCTGTCACTAATGACCGCACCAAATAACAGATCCCATCACGTGATATCCTGCACAAACAGCGCCTCTCTCGCGGCAGAGCAAGGGAAGCAGTGCCGCCACCTCAGAGGTAGCTCTGTGATATCCACTTCTGCCAGCTCTTCTCTAGCACAAAAGGGGTGCAGCTGCTCTGTGAGCAATCTTAATTGGTTGATCTGTCTCCTGTCACGATGTCGAAAGCACCATCGGCATACGATCTGAAGAAACAAACAAAAAGTTTGAACGCAGCTCGACTGCTCTGCGCCACCTCCGACTTGAAGATCTTCTTGAAGGCGACACCGGGCGAGTAGGCAGGGCCTGGCACGCAGCTCACAATGGCCGGCATTCCAGCAAGGCAGCTGTTGTGGGCCTTGGGGCCCAGTGGCAGGAGGTCGTGCTGGCACGCAGTGATGTGCGACTCGGTGCCCGTGCAGTTGAGGGAGTGCACCAGGAAACTCGGCCTCTCCTGCTGACGCTCAGAGAAATGCCTGCCCGTTGGAGACGCGGGCGCGAGTGCACGAGAGGAGAAAAAAAGGGATTAAACAAAAAAATCTAAATCAGGCAATGCTCTGTGAAATGTTCTTTTATATATGTGTGTACCGCTGTGACTTTGTGCCATTACTTAAACGGTCTATTCATTCCCTTGGGATGAACACCAAAAATTGCCTTGTGAAGAGTGCTGTATTTCCTCTGAGCGTGTGTGAGTCATTGAGTGCATATTCTGGGGAGCCAAGCGATTCACTCATTTCAGTGACAATGCTTAAAATCGTCAATTTGATAGACTGTTGTAATTTAACAGGGTGGCTATAAGATTAGGAGCATATTACAGAGACACAATTGTCATAAGCAAAGATCAGCACAGATAAGTGTTAAGCAACCCACAACACAATTGTCTAGGGATGGCTGAATTATTGACTTAAACGCTTGTAAGGACAGGGATAAAGTGCTGATGGCACATGAGCATAATTTTTAAGCTTTATATATATATCTATCACCAAGCGGACAGAGCAAGTAAGCAGTGACATTTGGATGACCTGGCAATCTAGAATCAATCACACCCCCGCACATTGCCTCTCTCTCTCTCTCGTGGGGCTGATAGAGAGATGCAAGGCTTCACTCTGGTGTCAAATGCTTCCTTTTATGTACACATTCTACTGAAGCCTCGCTAAATGACCACGTCACATTTCCATAGGCTCTTGCTTCAACACTGCCTGCTACACTGCTGGAGCCAATGATCGTGGGTAGATGTGGGTGAATTTTTAACGGCAATTGCTCTTCTACGAAGACGGTGGGGAACGGTGCCACTTAAAGGAACGTGGACATTATTGGTTCGATTATTGTACAACTGCATTTGCTGGAATGCGAAATCATTGCAATTAAACCGCGTTCATCACTCGTTTAAATGCCTAATTTTCTCAAACGCACCACATTGTAAATATATATTAAAATAAACAATTGGTGGCTCAATCGAGCATGTTCAATTGCTGATCATCTCCTATTTCCAACCCCGAGCCAGTGGTAGAAATTCCACATTCCTAAGGTGGGGATGAATATTCCAAAGGACCACCGTGGTTGATTTCCCCAAAGAGTATTACATCATTTTATCCAACCGTCGTGACATCTTAACCTTGAATACCAAACATGTATTTGGGTCATGTTAATTAGACCTCATAAGAGCTCTGATATGCCTGACTGTACACCCTGCATACCAAAACTCCGAGGCTGCAAGTAGCTGCTAAGATAGCATCCATAAATGTTAGGTCAGTTTCTGCATAAATCACGTGTCAAATTTTGAAATTTTCAGGGCACCATCTGTAATGCCAAGTCTCCACGTTCCAACATCACGTCTGATTTATGCACTGAATTACTGTGACTTTATTGCTGCAATTGGCAAGACGTAACATTTTCGTCTAAAAGCAAATCTGCTTCGGCAAAGCTTCCAAAAAGCAGCCTGGGCGGCTACACCTCTCCTTTGGGTTGACCCCGTTGGTCAAATTCAAGTTTGCCTCAGCCTGAAAGAGATCGCTGTAGAGACAAAGGTAGAACAGTGAACCTCCCTGTTGTCACGTGTCAACCGCATGCTGCGTCTCAACAGGTTAGCTTTGTACAAGATATTGCACTGGATTGAAACTCATTGCCGATGATATCATCGACACCAATCGTATCATCATCTGACCACCGGCACCACCGCCATCATCAATCACTTATTCTTTCTCCACAGTGGGGCAGTGGCCAAGTTGCTCGTGCAACGCGCTATGAACTCGGTCTCACGAGTTCAATTCCTATCTGACCAAGTCCAAGGCCCCAAAACCCCCTTCACCAACCCACGCTGTCACTCGTGTCGTAACGTCTTGTCAAATTACCCCACGTGTCCTGCATTTGATTAACAAACGGATGAAAGCTATCAATTATAATTTATTCCTAAGTCAAAACTGATTCCGTATCGAGTATCGAGTGCTGCTTTGCCCATATCATCTTGCGATTAAGCACTTTGCTCTTATAGCTGCTTTGTACGAAAAGCTGATCATGTTATCACTGTCCTGTGATTAGCACGGTTGGCTACGTATGGTGCAAATGAAGTTCAACATACATACATGTACATACGCGGTTCACAAGAGACCCATGAAAACACAGAAACAGAAAGGCTTCTGTGTATTTTTGCACACACGTGTGCGTCATTTCAAAACTGTTTCCATCGGGCTCAGAGCAGGAAGCAGCAGGTCTTGGTTTGCCGTTTGTTTTCCCAATGTAGCTTTATCTTCAAAGTGCGGTCAGTCGTTGGTGTATACTTAAGAGTGCCCCTAAGCACTGCCGTATTACACCATAACATTGCGAAAGATGGCGGTGACTTGGGGAGGACTTCAACCGGCTGTGGATTGTTCATGACTGTTAATGACGACTTGTCGAGTAATACAACTTTTAAAAGACAAACTATAACTCTGAATTTTGGTCATGTGTAAAAAATTAAGCGATTGGCTTCGGCAAGCTGATGCCCTATTGTGTGGTGGCAGGGATTTTGCCAGAGAAATAATAGATAATTTCTCCCGAGTGGAGAACTTTTGTTCCCACGGTATTTATTATTTTTGGGTCACACTGGGAGTTCTGGCTTCCTCTCTGCCTGTAAGAAATACACAATTACACACAACCAGCTACTTTAACTCTAAATGGGTTGTTTTGTCTCAGCGATACGATGTAATACGTACAAGTAAAGATATATAAAGTGTCGCATATACGGGGTTTGGAATTCTATTTTTATTTGAATAAAGGTAGTTTATTGATATAAAATATTTTTTAGAAAATTGGGGGAAAATTGTAAAAAGTCCTTTTGATAAAACTAATCATACTAATGAATAGGATCAAAATGTAAATATCCTTTACATGCTGTTAAATAATTAATTGCAACTAGGCTGCAGTGAATGAGTTTTAAGTCGCAATAAACTACCTCTGATCTCTTAGATATAATTACAGTTAAAATCAGGAGACGACTGTGGAATAACATAAATGTCATGAATTTAATGAAATTGCAATCAGGACGCTACTGTGTAAAAAGCCGCACAAGACGGATTACATCCAATTACAAATTGGCACTTGAAGTACAAAAAAAATGATGCGAGAAGTGGCTCTTTATGGAAAATCGAAAATTCCATAACTAATACGAATGTGAAGTCACGTAGAAGGGAAACAATAAAATAATAAAAATATAAAACAATAGAATTCTCACGACGTTTCGACAGCAACACAAGCAATCATCATCATTGTGTTGCAGTCGAAACGTTGTGAGAATTTTATTCTTTTATATTTGTATTATTTTATTGTTTCCCTTCTACGTGACTTTACCGAAAGAACCAAGAATATGAATCCCTGCAGTCACGAAAGCTTTAAACCAAAATTTTATACGAATGTATTTATATTTCTCTCGCTTATTCACGAATTAGCAGCGATAGTCTATATTTTTTATTCGTATTTAAATAAATGAACTTAACAAAATAATAGCATGAATGTTTTCAAGGTTGTTCATTATTCAATGAACATTGGACACTGGTCATCTCTGATCATTCACAGATGATAATATGAATTGTATTTTGCTATCCATGGCAGGCACACGAATATCGCTATACTAATACACTTACCGGGTGGAGTGGTGTCACGGTGGTTAGCATGCGACACGATAAGCCGGGTAACCAGAGTTAAATTTCTGGCCATCGGTGTCACGCAGGCATCAGACACGACCCAGCCCTCCAACTCCCACCCACCCCTTCACCAACCGGCGTGAAGTATGGCTGTTGAAAAATGCCATGACCAACATGGCCTTCATCTGTTTAACACGTAGGCTTTCTGGCGAATTGCTTGATGATGCTGGATGTATTTACCAGCGAAACGTCGTACTCAAACTGTAAATGTGGATTAACTCTTCAACACACCGGTGGGCTGAAGTAGTGAATTATTTGTCTTTTGTCAACGTGACACTTTTTTTGTTGATTGGCCGTGTCGGGTGGTGGAGGGTTACGACACATTTATAAATAAACGCGATCTAACCCAAAAACCTTTATTATGAATGGCCTTCATCTATTGGTGGATTGAGGATGATTGTGAATTGTAACGCACCTGCACATCTTTTATACTAGATTAGCATTTGTGCTTTGGAGGTGTTGGTTTAACATTTAACACAGTGGTTGCCTTGGTGTATTAAAGGAACACAAAGTGGTCAGCTTTTTTTTTAGAACTAGCTCTGATAACTTCTATTCAGTAGCACCTGCACATGATTTATTTGAACTCGCCGAGCGTGTCACGACAACTGCGGATTCTAGAGCGGGTTTCCGCTGAGTAATAATAATAAAAAAGGGTGGCTGTGTGGAGGACACGGGGCTGCCCTGTGACTGCCTGCACGCCCTCGGCTCTGTCTGGCCAAGCCACAGGCAGCCGTCAAATGACAGCAAACAGGATGGCACGACTTTCTGGAGCATGCCACGCATTCCCCAAGCCACATCCATATCTCTTTTGTCGGGTTTAGTTTCCCTCTCCAAGCCGTAATTGAACATTCCTCGTGACGCAAATTTCACCGAGCTTCGAGTTCCGATTTAGACTTCAAAGACGACCATTTTAGGACATTTTCACTCAACTATAAGGAGGTAGAGAACATGTTAACGTTCTCCGGCTTAAAGAATGAAATATTTTTGTTTTATTTATTTTTCATAAACGAATCAAGTGGCAACAACATACATAGTTTTTTTCTGCAATTCTGTACTGCTACGTCTGCACCCTCCGCCTTCACTAACCGCCACCGACCAGCGTGGCGTGAAGCACGCCTAAATAACCCCCGTGACCCACACGGCACGGGAAGGCCCTCAATTCAGCGGTGGATTGACAGCGGGGTTGTGCGTGCACACGTATACTCGAGTGGCTGCCCATCCTTCAGCCGATAACAGCTGTGGCCGATCTCCATCACGCCCTACCGACCTGTAGAGCACGCGGTTGACTTTGCGTTCGGCAGGGAATCCCATCATGCCGCAGATGACGCGGCTGTTACGCGGGGTCCAGTTTTCGTCGCACACGTGGCGCCATGAGCCCATGTAGCGGACCTCCACGACGCCCTCCGTCACGGGCAGCCGCTTCTTGGCAGCCGGGAGGATGGGGCGGAGGCGCACATCCTCCAAGCGGTTGTCGTGCACGGTCTACAGACGCGCAGGGTGACGTGGGAGAGCTTAGTCGGTTCATTCATTCGTTCATAAAAGTCAAAAGTGATTTTCTGTTCAAATGAGCATCGAGGCTGTGCTCATACAACATCGACAGCCCTGAGCCAAATGTAACTTTTCGATGGCAGGGGCGAGTCAATCCAGAGAAAAATCGCTGTTGACTTTCCAGCAAAGTGGTAGTCATCTAATCGAACCTGGAGGGATGATTAGCCGAGTCAAATCCTCAAGTAGGATTTGAATGCAAGCAGCTCAATCTCCTGCTGAGCCACCTGGTTATTACCTAAATGATCAATATCAGCTTTTGGCTATGTAGGATTTCACGGTTTTGCTGCATAGGTCACTGATGTGTTTTTGGGTTGTACCGCGCATTGTTCGGTCGGAAAGATGTTTCACGAAAGTTTCCCCAGCGCATTGGGTGAAATGTCGGACAGAATGCGAGTATAACCCCTGAAACACATCGGAGACCTTTTGATTTTGGCAACAAACGCCGCGTTTCATTTCCTGACCCAGCGGGCGGGAGCTATCGGGAGTGCAGGCGGTGCAACGGCACCGAGCCCCACGCAGGCGCCGCACTCCATTCCCTGCGCCAGGGTCCGTGCCAACTGCGGTGCACTCCCTGTGTTGAAGATTCGTGTTAGATTTTCCTTGACCGGGTGTGGTGGCACGTGAACGCATCGCGATTGGAATTAAATGATAAACGAAGTAACGAATTCTCTGGAACACAATCAACGAGAGTGCATCGCAGAGCTGTTGATGTTTCCAGGCAGCTCGAGTTTGGATAAAGCAGTTCGTGGGTTCTTGGCTACACAAACCGAGTCTGCTGCGTGCATTCTTCTGCTGTGACACAATGGGTTTTTTGTGTGACCACGTGACGTTGCCAGTAGCCACAGTAGCAGTGCTAAACTGCACCGGGTCAGGCACGAGTGCGGGTGTGACACATCCCCTCCACTTCACTGAAAAAAAGACAACCTCATTTACAAAAATGTACAAGAAATAATAATAATGCGAAAAAAAGTTAAATGTGAGCCGACTGGTGTTTTTTTAAGGCATGTATGAAGCAATACAGTGCAATAATAGTTTCAGTCCCAGCAAAATGCATTTTGAATAAATGTCGCTGGTATCGTGTAGTGGCTTATAGTTGAATAGCGCAGCAGATGTATTTATTGCAGGTAATGTGTTGACGAGGCAATATTGTTGATGGAAACAAATGATGAAATAACAGCAGAGTAATAAAAGTGAGACTGCTTAGAAGGTTGCCGATGTGTGTGGCGCTCGTGAAAGTGGCCGAGTAGGTGGCAGTCGTTTTAAGCGGAGCACTCCAAAATGATTACATAACATCCCACATTTCCCTGCTGGAAGACAATCCACAGAAAATCCACACTCAAACTCAAACTCTCCAGGTGTGCAAATTTTACCCCCTATTTATGCAGCGTCTTATAATGGCAGTTGCATATACAGTAGATTTACTTGTATTAATTGTAAAGGTGCAGCCCAGCAATTGCTTGCTCAGCAATTGCTGGTGGAAGGGCCTCCGCTAGAGCTATAGAGGGCACTTTATAACGCTCCTCCTCGCCTTATTCCCCCCCCACCGCCCTCTCTGACTTATATAAACCTCTTAACTCCGGCATCTCTCCAACTTTAGTAAAAAAAAGTATTGCTGTGGTTGTCACACCTGATGATGATTGCTTGTGTTGCAATCGAAACGTCGTGATTATTTTATTTTTTTCACCTACATGACTTTACCGAAAGAAGCAAAGAGTATGGATCCTTGCAGTCACGAAAACTTCAAATCTAGAATTAACTTTACGGAGCATTTGTCCGACTCTGCCATGTGGCCAGATGCCTTGGGAAGACCTGGGAGTACCCACACTTGACCCCACCACATATGACCTGCCGGTCGACCAGCTATGGTGTATTCATTTATACTGATGCGTGAACAGAGGCGAGGGGGTTGGGGGGGATTTAAGATACCTGGCCATTGTTTCAAGTGCAGTGTGCAAGCCATTATACCATGGTAGCATCCTTACATTGCATTGTGTGGTGCGTTATTACTCCTGTATTGATTTACTTTAGAGCCATCTAGCGATAATAAGGCTGCTAGCCCTTCACCGTTCCGAGATGTCTGCAAGTTGCACGGTGGGTCCCGTTCACTGCTGAGTCTTGGAACGCGCAAGCGGTTAGCGTTCATTTTATTTAGAGAGGCGCAGCGCCGTTGTTTTTAAAGACATTGCACTCACCGCAGAAAACCATAGCGATACGACCACGCTACGATAGCTGGTGCCAAACTGTGCCACACACCCTCTCGCATGGCCTTGTGGGAGCCTCAGGACTGATAGTTATTTTATTTGAGTTTTTCACATACGCCATCGGAACGGAATCGGAATAAAAACGGGTGATGCACATGTACGACAAAGGAATGGGAACAGGTTAATATGCAAGTATGCATTCATTATTTTGTTCGTGTACCTTCAGTCTGGATAGAGACGGCAGTAAATAGCGGCACCTAAATTATTAAGATAAAGTACAGTTATAAGCACAAACAACTATGCTTTCAAGTGTGGCCCAAAAATTTTCATTTTTCAACTGCTGCCAAGCATAGGGTACAGACTAATAATATAATAACCTCAACTCACCGCATCTAATCACGTACAGATGCCTGCATCATGAAGCAGTGGCATAGTCCATGGAATTTTGAGACTCTTACTGGATATGTATTTGTACTCTGGCAAAAAATGTATTGCACAAAGCAGCACAAGCAGTTAAACCTTAAGACATTCATCACAATTGCTTTATCCTAAGAAAAAGGTGTGCATGAGTTTACAAGCTTTGGCAGTCAGGACTGAATTAAGAAGAATTTTGTTTGCTAAATATCTTTATTTCTGTATAAATGTCGCTCTCTCTCTCTCTCTGGGCCTTCTGGAAAACCATTCATAAAGATTATGATACGTGGCAGTTGTAGTGAAAACATTCAGCTGCGTTGTTGCTGCTGTTGTTGTTACATCGCTCTTTGTTTCCCTACACTATAAAGAACATCAATCCGACCGTCACAGCACATTCACTTTTTTTTACTACAGGAAACTAAAATCCGACATTACGTAAAGGAAAAAAAACACATCGGGTTGTTAAATGATCGTTGGGTAATCCTGGGGGATGTGTGCGAAAGTACAAGCTACTAAGGGGTCAGACGACAGAAGTGCTTATGAAGCAGCCCTTTCTAACGAAGTTCTTGCAGTGGCTGGGATAGTCTCGTGAGACAGCCTTTTTCCGCCCATTCATCAAGTCTCTGTGAGGTTGGGCAGTGGCCTGGGGCCAGTGGCAGCGCTCTCACCACCTCCGGCTTCTACGTGTAGATGTATCCTCACCGAGAAGCGGCTCACCGAGGCGGGAGCCGTCGCAAGGGTCAGGTATGGGGCCGATCTCGATAGGGTGACACAAAAAGGCGGGCAGGATCTGATAATGGGAGTTCACCTCACACTGAATCACTCAGAGGGAGTGGATGGCAACAGGACATGTAGCCCACATTCCTCCGTTTCATGGTGCAAGGGGAGGCCAAAGCGATTTGAGAGCGCAATGTGCATGCAAGAGCCCAGGTTTTCAGGATTTTTACTCTCCACAGTAGTTGTCTTTATATTAGACCTGTACTCCCCCCCCCCACCCTTCCGAACTGCATTTTGCGTTAAGTTTGTTGTCCTTACCCCGCACCTCCGATTAGCACGGTTGGCTACGTACGGTGCGATAGAAATGCAACGTGCAGTACATACACAATTATTAAATCAAAAAATTTATTTTTTTATTGCGATGTACTGTGGTGCCTCGAGTGGATGTTTGGGGGATCCCGTATTTTAACAATATAAAAGGAAAATAAATACGTGAAAAAACAATCAACTTTTCAATTATTGAATACGTGTTTGTTAGCATATGAATTGATTGTTAATGAATAATTGACGCATCATTACACAGCCACTTTATAATAATATATAATAGTTGTATATTATATTCTAATACATATATTAATAATTGTATTATTACTCATTTCACATTTTTATGAAACTATGATGAATTCTTACTTATATATCTAGATTGAACCAAAGAGTAATTTTATATATATAAACACCCAGGTCTGTCATTCTGTCACTCTGTCATTCTGTGACTCTGTCATTGCGTGATTAACTGTAGTTTTTTTTGGTGCTTAAATCCACTGCTGGATGAAGGCCCCACCACACACTGTGCGAGTGGATCGTAAGGATTTACTTGACCAGTCTGTTGGGAGCCGCCGCAGGCTGTGGTTGTTGGGGGGCGCCATAGGTTTTTATATACTACATTTGGTGCACGTGCCATTCTGCAGGTGTAAAGCTACCACAATAGTGCTGCGCTTCACAGACGGGTACAGTTTGCCAATGGGGGGGAGGTGGGGGGGGAGCAATGTCGCTCTGTGGTTGTAAACCAATTAAGTGCCGTAATTTTTGCGAGTAATTTAAAAACGTGGCAAGTTTTCCCGAATAACGTCGGGAGGGATCTGTGCCATCCGCTGTGAGGCAGTGGCCACATTTTGTTATAGTTCATACAATCCCGCAGTATTAACCATGGGGGCCATGGGGCTTGAACCACGAACCTTTGCGACAAGTAGCAAATGGTGTTTCCGCAGCTCGTATGCATGCGTGTATGTTGAACTTATTTCACACCGTACGTAGACAACCCTGTTAATCGGAGCGTGTGGGAATCGGAGGTGCGGCCTTATCTTTGCAAGTATATATCAAAGCATTTACAGTATCATATCATTATTTTTTTTATCATACAAAGGCGTTGCTAAATAAACATGATCATCAGGTTCGAGCAACCTTTAGACGATTTTAAACCCCTGGTGAATGTCTCATTCACAAGGCGCAGGCTATGGAAGGCAACAAAACTATCCATATTTCGTGAATTTTTTTTAAAAGTCAAGTGTTGTAAAATAGTGCAGCGCGTTCCAATTTTTTTGG